TGAAAGAATACCAAAAACAGATGGGAGATGCTGAGGCGAAGGAGATGAACATTCCACTAATCGCAATCGCCAATCTAGATTTTACTCAATTAAAATTTTATGGACTTTTGCCAATTCGCCTGTGTCAATATTTCGCTGTAAATGGAAATTCGCTAATAAGTTGGGAGCGAAGAAGAGAGGCAAAGTGCGGCAAATTGGACTTTATAGATTGTGGTGCTATTGTTGAAGTTTATTTTATTCACCCTCTCCTTCTTCTCTGCACTTTGTTTCGTGCGGTGAAAATTATTTTCATTTGGTGGCATCTCGGAAGAAGCCCAGGATTAGTTGCTGCGGAGCTTGAGAATGTGTCTGGCCGACACTTTCACATTCTCTCCCCTTTGGTTTTCGGGCAGATTCCTTGCGGGCTGGACTGTGAAAGAGTTGGATGGTGAGCAATTTTGCTGTGCGAAACAGACGAGAGCTCATCTATCATGTGCCAAATTGATGAATAATAGCTCTGGGAGGTCTGGGTGTGTTGCCAGTATATGGGAATATTTTATATCTGCGAAGACCTGCGTGCTGTTCCTCTGCACATTCCATCAATCCAGAGGCAATTAATAGGGAGAAAGAGCCTGAGGGCGAAATCGCACTCACACTGTGCGAAAGTGGTGAAAAAAGCGAGATTTCAGGGTCCATCCAGACATGAAAACTTCATGAGCTTTTCAGTTTCAATTTGCGTTAGGGATTTTTACAGCTGCACAGTGTCTGTGCTCGCTTCTTTAAATGACATGATCTCATAAAAATCTGAGGGGAGATAAAAATGAGTGAATGTTGCAATGGGATGAGATTAAATACAAATAATTCAGTGAAGAATTCCAATTGAAGCTCTCCTGCAATTTCAGGAGTCTGACGTGAACATTTCACTGTCTTGTGAATTCCATGATTTATTCAACTGACTTCTTGAGTTGTTTGCTTTCCCGGTGTTTCAATATTTCTCATCTGTCTCGTGCACACAATTTGAAGGCCCCCCTTTCATCAACAGCCCTCCACGGTGTATTGCTGAAGTTTACAAATAAAACACTCCACGCGGGAATCAAAGAATGACTTCCGCAGACGCATTTAGTCTTATTATTGGCTCAGCCTCTTCACTTTTTCTCTCAATCTCACTTGCCAATGTTCTTTTGAGCCCATGGATGAAGTCAGGCAGAGAGAGAGAGAGAGAAAGCAGCATTGTTGGATGAGCTAGAGTGCTATTTAGAACGGTGAGACGTGAAATATCTTCCCAGGGAGGAGAACATTTGAAATATCTTTCCAGTCCAGAGGAGAAGGAATTTTTCCTCCACGCAGTATTCAAATATTTACTGTCGTATCTGGCAAACAAATAATGAAATCTGGTGGTGGTTTACTTTATTTTACTTCACTTAACATAAATACGAAGGGGAGACTCCTTGAGGAAGCCCATCATTTGAAATTAATTCAAATGCCATGAGAAAAAGGAAGATAGAACAGAAAAGTATGAACAAATAATTACTAACAAAGTCGTCTCTCTATGGTGAGATTCTTTCGCCATATCTCACCGAAACTTTGATGCACTCTGCTACACAAGTTGAAACTTTAAATTGGGGAAAAATCTTTTTCCTAACTTAACTCTCTCGCTCTTCGCTTGTGACGTCTTTGAGTGTTAAGCCACAAAGTATAGCAAAAGTTTCCCTCCTTTCATGATGCAATTCAATACGACTCTGACTCTAGTTGCGATGAAAGGCAAAATTCTCACATGACAAAATTATGGAGAATGTAAGTGAGGTGAAAGCACACGAAATTTTATATTATCCTTCTCTTTTGATGCAGATACAATCTCATGATATCTAATATGAGTGTGCTGAGCGTGTAATAAAGGGTGTAGTGAGAATTTCATACTTGAGTTGCAAATGCACAGTTGCTGATTATGCTTTAAGAATCAACAAGAAGCAATTTGCAGTGATAGAATCTCGCAAAAGTTCAATTTGGGGAGCTTTTTCCATGCAATTTCCAACACCGGAAGCTGCAGAAATGAGGATTCGGGTAAAATTACAGTCCCGAGAAGTGGCAGCATTCCTGTATCCGCCTTTATGCGATATCAGTTTTCTTTTTTTTCTGGTCCTCACCTGTGAGAACACAGGGATGTGAAGTGAGAGAGCGAGGAAGGGCTCTGAAGAAATGTAATAAAATGCAAGGAAAACACAAATACGCACACAATACAAATGTTCAGAGGTTACAAGAATGGAGATCGTGGAGTGTGATAAAATTCCCCAGCACGAGAGATATTCAAAGAGGCGAACACCAATTGAAGAACACTGTGGGCTCTTTTTTCGTCTTGTTCGGGAAAAATATATGTGTTTGTGCTGGCCAGGAGAAAAAAGAGATGCATTATAAATTTAAGAGGTGAGGCTGGGGGGAGGAAAGACAGAGAAGCTAGCAGTCAAGGAACACTTATATGTATATAATATGTGGGAAAAAGGAGAAGCTCGCTGGTAGGAAAAAAAAATGTGGAGATAAAAGACGAACTCCCGCTGCACGATTTTATGCAGATGATGATTTAAACGATTGCTTCCTTCTCCTTCCTCATCTCAAGGAGGCCAGCTTCCTCTCCCGCCACGTTATAAGATATGTCGTCCATTCATCTCACATCCTTAGAAAAGTGTCTTGAGTATATGACTTTCACTCCCAACTTTTGAACACCTTTAGAATATACATCGCCTGAATCTCAAGGTATCTTTTTAATTCAATTGAATCTTCCTTGAGAATATGTTCAGCAATCGATTGATTGATAAGAAATCACAGAATTGGATTCAGGAGGAAGCAAGAACGACTGGAAAAGCGACTCTTTGCTCTTTTTACAACACATTATTTCCATTTCACTAAGAGTTTTCTTTGAATCTCCGCTTTGCACCTTCTTGGATGAATAAATAGATATGCGATTGAGAAATAGTCTTTCCAATCAATAACAATCTGCAGGATTGTTGCTAATTGGCTGTATTTTTGGGACTCCCTCGGCACAGTGGGGCTATTGCCAAGGCAGAATATCGCTCTTCTCGCAGTCTCAATGGGGAATCGTGTATTTCTCAGTGGTGTGGCAATTTGTTGGTTGCACCACTCATTGCCACCTCTTGCATCTCACTTTCCGCTGCAGTCACCGTGCGTCTTAATTAAAAGTGCACCCAGGCCGGCCACAAGCGGCCAGATGGAGGAGAGGCGCGGCGGATGGATCGTGAGCTGAGAATTATCATTTACCGCGCGGACTCTGTTAATTGGCAAAGTCAATAGCATTTCAGGTCAACCAGTGCGTGTGCAGCTGATCACTGGAGTTCCCTCTTCGGGGGTTCTCACGTGAAAATCCAGGTGATTATCCCATCGAGAATTTCCACAATGCGCCACACTCTCTCGTATGTACACAAATTAATCAAGCGTGAGTCACTGGAGATGGCACAAATGGACTTCCTGCCGCCCCTGGTCATCACTGGTGGGATTCTGTGGCATTAGATTCAAGTCAGACGTGCCAGATGGTGAATTTGTCAAATATAATTTGAGAATTTGATATGCACTCTCCATGTCAAACGATTGGAATATCTGCATGTGCATCCGTATTTTCGCAATCTTCTCTCCTACTTCTGTTCGATTAAAGCTGAATCATTCTAGCTTTCCGCTCGACTGGCTGTTGGGGAAACTTTAGTTGAATTTCAGCACAAAATTCGCCAGAAGCGAGGCATCTTTGACGCAATTTGGGTGGTGTTCAGATGTGAGAGAGTGAAAAAACAATGCGGCGGTGGGAAAACTTTTGTCGGAAACACAGACTTTGACGCAAACAACAAGGAATTTCTGGCTCTCTGAGCACAACACATTCTGATTTGATTAATGAATCCAATGAGATGAAAATCCTCTGTATTTTTTCAGCAGCCGCGCAACGACCATTGAGGGTGATTTTCACCTTGTCGGTGCGCCTCTATTGATTCTTGCCTCGAACAAGGTTGTGAGTGGTGCCTCTTTGAGCAAGAATGTTTGACTTGAGTGGCCGAAGTGGGCAAAAAAACGCCTCGGCTTTAACACTGAAGGTGGAACCTTCGAGCAGTTCAAAAAGACAATTTCAAAAGGGGATGAGAAGATTAATAATACAATGTCTTGAGTGTTCTTTCTCATCAGACATCCTAATTCTTTTAGTCAGAGAAATTGAGGACTTTTCGCGAGGACCTATTAATTATTCACCGTGAAAAGAGAGCGTCTTCTTTAAAGGCAAGTCTGCATTGGCACTGCGAGATGGATTCAATTATTTATAGCCCCATTCTCGCGATTGCGTGAAAATGACTAAACTGTCCAGATTAGAATGCAATTTTATTGGCAATTGTTGGTAATTTGTCTGCATAAATTGCGTGGATGAGGATGGCGCTGCGCTGTGAGAAAGAGACCAACCTACGGAGGTTACAATCTGCAGGAGACACACCTCGTTTGAATACCTGTCTCGGGCGGAATTGAAGGGGATTCTTTCATTGAGAGAATCTCTCGTATGAAGTCGTTTATTATTTTTATGTTCAGTTGGAGTCATAAATGTCTATGTTGGTCTTGTTTTTTGTTGCGGGCCACACAATTTCTGTGATTTTATTCTCCTCTGCCAGAGTGTCCTGGCCTTTCGGGCGGGTGTTTGATGAAATGTCTGGCTTCCCGGGTCTGGAAGAGAATCAAGACCAAATAATGAGGCTTGCGAAGAGGAGGAACGAGAGAAGTCGGAATGAATAGGGTGGAATGCATTGATGTTGTGTGAAGAGAAGACAGTGGAATTCTTTTGAGTGCAGTATTTATTGGCGCCCCGTAAAATGATGTCTCTCTGAAGGCATCACACGAGTCCCTTTGATGGCAGCAGGAGCTCGAATGTTTGCGCACTCTTCCCCCAATCCTCGCCGGTGACAGTTTTAGCACTTTTGTTCTCCTTGAAGCACATGAAGAAAAAATGCATAAGACACTACATGAATTCGCTTTATGTGTGCTTGCAGGTGAAAAAAGCATGCGGAGCACCAACTCTGCTGCCAACTGAGAAGACAACGATCGTGGAGAAGCGGATGCAACTCACCGGAATGCCACAGAAATGGATGTCACCACTGGACCCGGACATGCTTCGTTTCCTCTCCACCATAGACAAATCCAAGGACTTCTATTCCAAGATTGTCACGAGGTGAGTGCTTCTCCATAACTTGCTGACTTTAGCCAAAACTTTTCCCCACGACGAATCATTCCAATTTTCCCACACCACCACAACTATTGGGAAGACTTGCAAAGTGGCTGAGAGAACTTTAGCTGAAGCCTCAGAGCTTTTTTCGCAATGGGAAAGTTTGTTTCGCTATTTTGTCTCGGTAAATTCGGGAATAGGCAATCAAAGCATAAAATGTGCGCAATTTAGTTGGTGGTTTTATCAATTCTGCAAAGATATACAGAAAAATAGGATTCTGTGCAAAAGAATTGGCATTTTCATTTTCTTTTCCCCAAACAGATTGAGTCGTAAGTTAATTTACCAAACAGACATTTAAGTTATGTTGCTATCACAAAAGGGAAATCTGAGATTTTTGCTCTAACTTTTAATCCTGCTAGATTTCACTGGCAAGAACTATTTCGCTTTCCACATACTTAAAGTGTGTCCTTATCAATTTCACAACAATACTTTTTCTGTGCTTAATCTGAACTTGAACTGTGAAGCCTGAAAGTTTTCCAAATAATCTGTTAACATTTGCAATTTCCTTCCTGGCACGAAGGTAACATGCGAAGCAATTGGATGTCCCCCAATTTTCCCAAGTGCCGGTGCCTCTTAGCACATCAGCAGAGCTGTTCTGGAGCTCACCTTCACCCTGGAGGTGCAAATTATTCTGCGATGGCATGAGATAGTGAGGAAAAAAGTCTTGACATCGTAAAGTCTCTCTCGTTAATGATTTCACGGCTGTCGCCAGTGCGGCTGCCGGTGAGAAAGTGCGCAGCGGCACGTGCCCCGGAGGGGCTCCGCACCCGGGGAGAGATGACTCAATTGACCCAGAGCGGGAGTGAGTGGCGACCTTCCCTGGAGGTCAGTGGGTGGTCAGGATGCAGAAGAGACTGGACACGTGCCCGAGCGTGAATGGCGGTGCAATTTGTGCAGATTGGGATGCATTGAGTGGAGAATCACGCGTTCAATTGTGATAAATTATGCTGAGAATTGGTGTGTGTGGACAGAGTGAAGTGCAGGGAAGGAAGTCATTAAGAGTCTGTATCAATTGCGCCACATCTCGCAATTGATGGAGAATGTCATCAATTGAGGATTGCGCTGTTTACTCCTTCACGGCGCTGATTTGCTCTTCCCTCTTTGTGTGTCGCTCAGAAAAGTGTCTTATAAATTTTCACCGTGTCACAATAGGGCAATTAATTAAATTGCTCTTCACTGCTCCCTTTTGCTGTCCTTTTTTTCCTTCTGTCTCATTTAATTACGGCAGAGCTGACAAGTATTAGATTAGATAGAATTGCGTGGACCAGAGTTGAAATTCTGAAGGCAAAAAGGGGCGAAACATTTGATAAATGTCACAATAAAAATTGCCGCCGTAAACAATTTATTATGCTGATCTATAGAAATCCAATCTAAACCATATTCTTAACTCTTGTCCTTTGGCAAAAAAAAAACAGTCGGAGAAATTTTGGTGGGAAAGTGACAGGAGGGAAAAGTGTCAAGTCTGAAAAATTGTTCTTGAGCCTTTTCTTTTCACTGCGTCATCGTTTGTCTGAACTAAGACACTCTCTCCCCTCCGCTTTGCAGCATTTGCGATGACGAGGAGTACGAGCGGGAGGACAAGGGCTGCTGGACCGGGGACAGGATCGGCGAGTACAGCCACGGAGTGATGCCCACGGGCGCCAACTCGCAGAAGTACAATCCCGAGGTGCCGCTGGAGAATCCCTACCGTGCCAATACCAAAATAAACGAATTAGTCGACAAATTAATCAACCTGCGACAAACTGTGGCGAATGCGGTAAGAACAGATCAATTTTCTCGCAATGGAGTGACTAATTTATGGAACTCGATACGAACATGCTTAGCACATTTGCAATTTATGGCAATATGGGCGAAGACATTCTTTCGATTGCAAGGGCGATTCCGGGACAGAGAAAGAATTCGGAGAGATAAAGTGTCAAGATCTCACATTGAGCGTATATTTCTGTGATGTGATTTATTGATAATCTGGCCAATAAATAATTCCAGTAGCAGAATCATTCCATATTTTGCCATACATTACACTAGGCAACAAAAATGACACTTTTTTCTGCCCTTTTTTTGAGGTGTGGATTTTCTGATTCCTTGAGTCATCAGCTTTTCAACGGTACCTTCCTTTTTTCTCTAGACCCTCAAGTTTTCCTTTTAGAGCCTATTTTCCATTTTCCACTATTTTCACCCACTTTGCCGCACTTATGTGCTCATATCTCGCCCAATTTTCCACGGATTTTCCTCAAATTAGGCTCAAATGATAGCTATTGAAATTACCTACTACTTTGTAGAACATTGTGAGTATTTTAGATCACTCCTTGTTGGTCAAAAATGATCTTTTGTGAACCACTAGGTAAAAAATTCACCGGGTTTTTTACCACTTTTTTCTAAATATCTCCGAAACGAAGAAACTTTTATGTTGGATTATTTTTCCTATGTGTAGAGCACTTCAGGGGATGCATTTCCTCCATACATGCCGAAGTGATATCTCTTCTCTATCTGCCGGAAAAACGAGGTTTTCCCTCGACAAGTTTTGCTTTTTTATGCTACGCGCACCCGCTAAAAAATTGAAAGAAGGTACATTTTGCTGTCTACGCACTCATTTAGATGATGATAATGCTTAGATGTTAAAACAAAAGAGAAAAAAGGCCAATATCTCGACTTTTTAGCTATTTTACGTGAATTTTTTGTGTTTTTTATGGAGTTGTTGTCATTAAGACCAAAAAAATACCTAAAATAGCTAAAAAGTCGAGATATTGGCCTTTTTTCTCTTTTGTTTTAACATCTAAGCATTATCATCATCTAAATGAGTGCGTAGACAGCAAAATGTACCTTCTTTCAATTTTTTAGCGGGTGCGCGTAGCATAAAAAAGCAAAACTTGTCGAGGGAAAACCTCGTTTTTCCAGCAGATAGAAAAGAAATATCACTTCGGCATGTATGGGGGAAATGCATCCCCTGAAGTGCTCTACACATAGGAAAAATAATCCAACATAAAAGTTTCTTCGTTTCGGAGATATTTAGAAAAAAGTGGTAAAAAACCCGGTGAATTTTTTACCTAGTGGTTCACAAAAGATCATTTTTGACCAACAAGGAGTGATCTAAAATACTCACAATGTTCTACAAAGTAGTAGGTAATTTCAATAGCTATCATTTGAGCCTAATTTGAGGAAAATCCGTGGAAAATTGGGCGAGATATGAGCACATAAGTGCGGCAAAGTGGGTGAAAATAGTGGAAAATGGAAAATAGGCTCTAAAAGGAAAACTTGAGGGTCTAGAGAAAAAAGGAAGGTACCGTTGAAAAGCTGATGACTCAAGGAATCAGAAAATCCACACCTCAAAAAAAGGGCAGAAAAGTGTTGCACAGTGTTATGGATTTCCACTTTTTGCTGCTAAAACATTTTTTGTCTGGAACGTCCTTTTTCGACGACTTTGCTCTAAATGGGTTAAAATCGCTAAAATGATATTTTCGCCATTAGTAGAATTTAATATAATTTTTTATTTTTCATTCTGCGCTACTTTTACGTGATTTCTGATCATCGATTAAATAATGTGCATGCAAATCAAACTGATATCATGCACACAGAGCACGCCAACTTTAGTATGATTATTTCGACGGACTGAGTAATTTATGCTCATTTGATTTTCAGATAAGTCAGCATTCTAACCACGTGGATTCGGACAAGATGCAGTCGGACATGGCAGAAGGCTCCGCCTGGAGTTCTGACAACATCGATGACACTGATCTGGATGGCGTGGAAGCGTCAGGATCGGGTGACGGAGGCATTTATGGTGAGTTTTCTGCTTCTCTTCAGCATCTTTGAGTCTCGTCTGATTGAAATATTCGCCTGTTTTTGCTCCAGGACGCGCCGGATCGGTTCCATTCGACACCACACGATCACCAGCTATGCATCCCGGCGGCGTGGCGCCTCCTGGCCACGGCGGAGCCGCAAAGGGTGCACCGCTGTCGCGTCTTCTCGTGGTGGCGCTCATCAGCATCGCGAGCATGCTGGCCAGCAGTCACTGAAGGTCCTCCTGGACACCGTGGCGAGTCTCTTGCGAAGCAATCCATCTCCCCAATTGACGATCCCTCCCCAGTCACGATCGCCCCGGAGGAGATCCTCGGATGGACACACATGATAATCCTAATCTGACTGTTCTTTCGATGTGAATCTTGTTTCTACTTTGCGGATGGCGATGAAAGTGGAGGAAGTCCCAAAATGCCACACTATTTTGTTGGAGAGCAATAATTTGTGTCTATTTTATTTACTAATTCTTACTGTATATACTCCGTTTCTATTGTATTTTTTTTTATTTTAGGAACTAAACAAATTGCAAAAATTATGCTTTGTACTCAAAGTCCCAATTTTTTAAATAGTTTCCCAGCAAATTGCAGGGCGTTTCAAAGTTTTTTTTTGTGTCACAAGAAGACAGTTGTAATTGAAACTGGAGAGGAAGATATAAATGAAAGTTTTTTGGCCAATCATATATATTTAATTGTGCAAGAAAATGGGATGCAGGAGAACACAAGATCATTGGAGAAAAAAAATATCGTGTTACATTTATACATATAGGAAATATTCAAGAAACAGAAGATATCTTATAAATGTAATAAAAAATAAATAATTTATTAAGTGTAAATAGGACACAAATCCGTGGAAAGCAGGTGGAGAAAAATAGTCCTTTTGCGAATGCGACGAAGATGGAGAATGCCTAAAGGAAACTGCTAAGAAAGTGTGAATGCGCAAAATAATTGAGTGGTCATAGAAAAATGGTCTAAAGAGTGGGCAAAAAATTTTGCAGAAAAATTCCAAATTTGTCCAAATTGCAATACTATACATGTTGATTAATTTATTTTAAAGTAAAAAAAAAAACACAAATACCGCCCCATTTTGTCATTTAACGTCGTCATTTGATCGCCCTCCTTAGTGAATGATTGCGATTGGTTGATTAATAAAACTGTGATTGAGATAAAACTAATTTTTAAACCTAAAGATGATGAGAAAAAATAGGGAAAATCTAAGAAAAAAAAATGGAGAAAGAGGTGAAGAATATTAGTGTGTATAGAAAGTATTTCTATTTAAGTTGTAATTTTACAAGAAAATCAGATACAAATTATATATCATTTTATCAATTTTCTGTGTAATCATTTTTTTTGTGAATGGAGAAAATTCTTTAAATTGCATTTATTTCGATAGGGAAAAATGTACCAAGAGAGAGAGAGAGAGAAGGGAGATTCTGGAAATTGTTGAGAAAAGTCAAGAAGATGGAAAAATTGTTGATAAAGTCGTATACAAATGCACTATAAGTTTGTTATGAGAGGAGAGAAAAGCATTCAAGCAGAGATGCCCATCGTGAAAATTGAAATCTGCAGTCACGTGGGCTTGCAGGAGTTTTTATTGTAGTGAAGGAGGAGGAAAAAATCGAAGCCATATAAACTGTAAATACTATATATTATTATATTTTTGTTGAAAGTACAGAAATTGAGGAAAAAAAAATACCGTAAACACTGATTTTAAAAATGAGCTAAACAACTTTCGCTTCTCTAAAACCACAATTTGTACAATAAAGTATGCATGGAGACATTTATAAATGTCACACAATTTATGATTTTCAAATAGAGATTGATGAAAACCACTAAACAATTTTTCAATGTTCTTTCCTTGGAGATTTTCCTCAGAGACAGTCTGAAAGAGCTTATAATGCTTTATTGAGTTTCGTTCTCAATTAATTTCGGCCATCTATTTGCAGAGGGCGCTGGTGAAAATTAAAGTGATCAACACACTGCAAAAAATTATGACGCTCACGCATTTACAGTGCACTAACGGCATAATCAAAAATGATCCACTGTCATATTTTGTTGAAACTTTAGTGCGCTGCCAAATTCCAAGTCACTCTTCTTTGGCCAAGAGCTCGAGATTTCTTCCCATTCTTTTGAGTTTTCCGTAAGTATCAATATCAGGATACTCTTCCTGACTCCACTCCAGCACAATAGCGATGTACGAATGTGGAGAAATTATGCAAATCATTGTGAGAGGGAAAAACTAACCCTTCCGGAATTTTCTGGAACAATGATGTTTCCACGGTGTTTTCTGGAATTTGTAGGTTCTTTTGCGCAGAGAGGATGGACCAGGACAAGTCGAGTAGCAACAGCTCGTTCGAGGACCTCACCAGCACAGCGGCGGAGCTGGACAAGATGCCCGAGAAAGCGGAGGAGAAGGAAGATGATGTGATGGACATTCTCGGCAATGGGCAACTGACCAAGAGGATTCTGGTGAAGGGCCGCGAAGAGCAGAAGCCACTGACTGGGGATGTGTGCAGAATCGTATTCGAGGGCCGGCTGGAGGACGGAACACTGGTGGAGAAAGAGGAAGACTTCCTGATCAACGTGGGTGAGCATGAGGTTTGTCAGGGTCTGGACATGACACTAGCCCTCATGTATCCTGGCGAGAAGGCAGAAGTCGTGGTGAGTCCACGCTTCGCTTATGGATCCATGGGACTGAAAAACGAGAAGGATCCCTCAAGAAACATCCCACCAGACTCAAAGGTAGCCCAATAGACTCATTTGCATATTGCATAAACTCATATTTGGCTGTTTTCGCAGATCATCTACACAGTGGAACTCCTCACAAGTGAGCCTGAAGACGAATCCCAGACCAAGACATTCGAGAATCGCAAGAAAATCGGGTAAGCGCCTGGAAAGTGGGTCGAATGGTTCAATAATTCACAGTCTTGGGCAATTAGAGATGAATAATTCGGAGCTTTATTCGGGGAAAACTGATTAAAGAGTGAAAAAGCCTAAATTCTTGACATTCCTTACTCTTCTCAGGACTCGCAAGAGAGAACGTGGGAACTTTTGGTTTAACCGAACTGAGTACAACATCGCTATCCAACTGTATCGACGCGCCCTTGAGTACTTGGACGACACCGAGGGCGCCCCTGAGACCAGTCTGGAGTCTTTCACAACTCAACAACTGCAGGAATTGCTGGAGTTGCGGATCTTCGTGTTCAACAACCTGGCAGCGGCTCAAACGAAGATTCAGGCCTACGACACAGCTCTCAAGTCCATTGAGAATGTCCTGCGCGTGCAGCCGGACAACGTGAAGGCGCTGTACCGAAAGGGGAAAATCCTCGAGGCGCAGGGCGACACGAACGGAGCCATTGCCATCTTCCAGCGTGCGGCGACACTCGATCCGGAGAACAAGTCCTTCCAGACGGAATTGGGCAAGTTGATCCTGAAGCGCACGCGCGAAGTGCGCAACGAGAAGGATCTGTACCAAAAGATGCTGGGACATGCGCAGAAGCTGGAGCAGAAGGACAAGCGGAAGAGCACGTGCACGGTGGCCAACTGGCGGCCGTGGGGCCTCCTCTTGGGCACAGTGCTGGTGGGAGTCGCCGGGGTGGCAATGTACAGATACAAGTACTTCTAATGCGCTCACCCGGGAATCTCCAGAACCTTATTTTTTACTTTCTCTATCTGTCCGGACACCGTTTTGTTACTCAAACTGGCTGAAGAGCTTCTCCGGAATCACTGAAAGTGACTTAGGTGCGTTGTTTTATTATTTTACTATATCTTTCGTCACTCTTTTCTCCATTCCACAATGCAGAGTGCATTTAGATGATGGTAGAGGAAATGTAAATATATTTAAAATAAATATTCTGATGGAATTATTTGCAATTTCCGCGATTATCATTTATTTCCTGAGATATTTTCAACGATTTTATTCACTTTTGACTCTCCACTCAGTTCCAAATTCACACGCCTGGTGGCGCATGCCGTGCGCCGCGTCCGCGTCAGTGAAGAATCAACGCGCTTTAAGTGCGGTTCTCGGTGCTACAGATTACTCTAATTTCTCTGTTTCTCAGTTTCTAGACACAAATATGAGTTCTCAGGCGCGTGACGTCAAGAATCTCTGGTCTTTTGTGGATCAGGATCGTCTTCGGAGAATGTCCGTGACTTCCGCGTTGGAGATTTGCAAATCCTATGTTGTCTCGGAGGGATCCAAGGAGGGATCTGAGGACTCTACTGATAAGAGTGTGGAAGTGATCAACTTTTTGCTCAGCACACAAGATTTCGCTGACAAAGTGCTCCTGACTCAGGCCGTGAGTCTCATCCAGGCATGCCTTCCGGGCTTTCGAGTGTTTGTCTCACGAACCTTGAAGGCGAATTTACTCAATGTCCTGGACAAAATAATCACCATTATTGACACGCTGTTGACCACAGTAACGTTCTTTGCTGAGAAGTTCCACTGGACAAAGCATCACTTGAAGCTGAGGGACGTTTATCTGAATGTCCTGACAATTTTGACGGAAGTATTCATGTTTTCCAGCAAAAATAATCCCCAGAAGAATCAGCTGACACAAGATCTAATAGACAAATCCACACGACTGCATCTTTTCCTCCTGGAAAAGCTCTCCAGCACAGAGATTAGCTTCTTCGTGGACTGCTCCTCGGAGGAGAGGGATTTTCTCATTGAAGTCCTGGGAATATTGTTCCTGATGGGTGAAGTTAGCCAGTCGATCAATCCCTTTCTCTGGGGCAGCACTTGGAAGAATACACACAAGATCATCGCTAAGAACAATGAAGAGCTGAAGAAGGTGTCCGATAACTTCAAGCAATGCCTTCAGGCGCCTATTAAATTCATCTGCCGACAAATCCGCGAGACAATTCGGGAAGCCGTGCAAACGGAGCAATTGACTGTTCTGAAGATCACGAAATTCTATCAGTCCATCATCACGAAACTCTTGGAACTCTTCCCAGGGAATTTCCTGCCGCACTGCGACATGATTCTGGAGAATCTCTTCTACTTGCAATCTGTGCGGTTCCTGAAGAAGTCGCAAACTGCCGAGGACATCCACAAGATGATCACGGATCCTTACATGAGCAATATTAGGATTCTGCAGAGGAATGAACAGTTTATTGAATGTCTGGTGAACACGAAATACTCGCACGATTCGGAGATTTACGCCTTCTTCGTCATTTCCACGGAGGTGCTCAGAGTTATTGGTCAGGAGAATCAGGTGGAAACTAAAGAAGCATTGGTTGATAAGATCCTCAGCATGATTCCAAGTTGTGAGTAACTTTTAAACGTTTTTTTTTCCAAATTCTCTCATAAAAATCTCCTTTTTCCAGGTTATTCGACATTCTTGGATTTTCCGGACATTTTCAAAGATCTTACAAGGAATTTATTTGTAGTTTTGACCAAGCAAGAGAAGTATAAAAACGTCTGGGTGAAATTCCTCGGAAGAACTTTGAAGAATCCTTCTTTTTTCGGCAATCTCACTTGCCTGAAAATCCATCGCAACATCCAGAACGCATCTCGCGAGAGTGTCCGTTTCGAAACCTTCGTGGTGTGGAAGAATAGCCTGGAAAGAGTCTCCATAATTACCCAACCAGTGCTTCTAGAGGATCTTCTAAGAAATTCCTTCGACTGTTTGTCCACCGAAAGCCAACACAGAGTCGTGAGTCTCAATAATCCCCAAAAAAACTTCCTTTTGTGGAGTATTTTGGGATTGGACAGAATTCCCAACGCTGAGAAGAAAAACTTCCTGGTTAAGAAGTTGATAGATGAAGTAGAAAAGCTGATAAGTGACTTCCTGGGGAAGAATTTCACGGTGAAGAGTGTGGAAGACATGGTGAGTAGTAATTTAATCTACAATATAAGCTTTTCACTACAAAGATTTTTTCCTTGCAGATTCTTATCTTGCGAATCCTGGGAAGAACAACGTTCTCACCAGAGGAAGAATTCAAGAAGAAGTTTATGGAAGTGTGGGAATTTATTGGGAATAAGATGAAGAAGACCCGGAATATCATCTCATGGATTGTGAATCCTCTTCTGGAAATATTCAGGAACATCAGTGCTTTCCTGAGTACGGAGGACAATCAAAAAATCTTGGGAATCATCGTGAAAATCTCATCAAAAGACAACTGGCCAGCAGAAATTCACATTGAAATTATTAGCTGTCTGAAAATCATCTCAGAAAATGACATTGACACTTACTGGACTATCCTGAGATGCTACAAGAAGTCCTCAGACGCCTTCCAACTCCTAGCCAAACTCACCGAAGAGGCTGTTGGCCTTCAGGAACCTGAGCCTTCAAAATCACCCCCAAATAAGAGATTCAAGGCTGATTTCGGGTCGGAAAACGAAGTAAAACTGAGAAAAATCCTACAAAGTGTTAATGACTTCAGAGAGAATTTCCCTGCTGGACATTCCCTTCCTCCCAACTGTGCCTCAATTGTTCAAGAGATTGTGTCTTCATTGAGGAAAATTACAAACTCGTGAGATAAACGTGTATTTTACCCCATTTTAATATGGCTTTACAGTTTGATGGGATTTTCGTCGATCAACAGCTTTGGATTTCTCCTCAATCGTCGGCTGCTGATGCGTCCATAATGAAATTATCCCATTCTCGCCTCCAGTGATATAAATATCCTCCTGAAAAAAAATACAGAAAATCAGTACTATTATAGCAAATTCAGCATGCTTGCGAAACTTACAGCCTCGTCATGAATGTAGGAGCGGATAATTTGATGATTTCCGATAAAGTTGGCATGAGGATGAAGCTCTTTCTCACGATATTTGAGGATTCTCAAGCACTCCCCGTTTTGGAAATTTGATCCCGTCATCAAAAACATTCCATCGGCAGAGTTGTGACTGCCAATCGTCGAACAATCCCTTGCAGACTTTCTTAACATGCGTTCTGTAATGTCTTCTCGCGAGAAGCTGGACAAGAGATCGCTGTCTTCTGTATAGACATGAAAGTCGTGTGAATCCATGATGCTGGACAGCAAGCTCCCCTTCTCCTGCTTGTGCCAGTTAATCCTTTGCACTGTCTTCTCAGTATTCAGGCTGTAATCCAGCGCGTCACTCTCACTTGCCGCTGAGATCTTGAAGACATTGATCAGTCCATCAGTGCTGCCCGAAGCCAGGATGTCGGGATCGCTTGGGTGGAATTGAATGCTCGTCACGTCATCCTCGTGACTTTCCCAGTACCCGCCGAGTAACTGTCTCTGCCTCACGTCAAAGAACAGCAGAAAAACATCATGCAAGATCTGCTCAGTTCCCACACAAATCACCCGGTCGTTGGAATTCACGTCAAAAGTCGTGAAGGGCTTCCGGGAACCATTAGTTGTGTCTTCCAGAGTGGCAACGGACTTCTTCTCCCTCTTATCATGCAGAACAATGCTTCCTGCCGTCTGTCCCGAAAGGAAGACATTGGAATTCTTATTCAGGAAGCGAACACCACAAATTCCTCCTTCACTACTATCGAAGTCACCTGAAAATGATCTCAAAACTCCTTAAAATCCAGTCTCCAATCCATGTTTTTTCGTTACTTACGTGTGTGTATTGTTGTCAGGGAACTCTCACCGATGTTATATAACTGAACTTGAGGCCCTGAAAGACCTGCCACGAGGGATCTCCCGGACTTGTGCATGTGGAGAACATAGCTCTTCTGAAGGGACACTGCTTCTTCGGTTTTCAAGTAGAATTTCTGACCAAATGCCTTCTCCACTTTCTCTTGTGATACACTGTCACCATCTGGCACGCCCTCATCCTCGACAGCGCCCCGGATTTCCTCTAAATCCAGCTTTTCCAACATTTTCCCTCGCAGCGACAAGCACACAAAGTTAGGCTATGACAAACAGCAGCTTCCGCACCATCTCGTGTTCGTTTATTGAATCAATGATTAACGACATGCTTTTTGCTTTTGCTGGGCAGTATTGCGATAAAATGCTGGGAATAGGGAAAATTATTGCGCTTCCCCTCGCTACAATTGAGGATTGCTCCCGTAGAACCTCTGTCTTCCACCAGGCTGCGTTTTCTTGCCGATCGTCTGCACATGGAAGCCGATCTTCTGCAGCCTCTCGTGATCAACGATCTTCCGACCATCGAAAATATACGCCGGTTTCATCATTGACTGGTAGATGCGATTGTAGTCCAAGTCCTGCCAGCCAAAACAGATCACAATTAGTGGTCATCAAATTCATTTGTCATATACTTACAATGAATTCATCCCATTCTGTGATGATCACTATCGCATGTGTTCCATGAACAGCAGCGTACGGATCGGCATGGATCTTCACCGCCTCCTGGACAGCTTCAGGACTGTCCGTCACCTTCGGCTGTGTGAGATCCAGAATAATCTGGTGCGGTTCCACCTTCGGATCGTACACATTCAGCTGCGCTCCTTCATCCAAGAGTTGCTTGCACACCGCAATAGCAGGCGTTTCGCGAGTGTCTCCCGTGTCCTTCTTGAAGGCGAATCCCAGAATGGCGATCCTCTTCTCCGCCACGGTATTGAACAGACTCTCAATGATCTTCTGTGTGAACCGGGACTTCTGGAACTCGTTCATATCAATCACCTGCTGCCAATAAGCCGCCACTTCGGGCAGATTCAGTCCTTCGCAGATGTACACAAGATTCAGAATGTCCTTCTGGAAGCAACTGCCGCCAAAGCCCACGGACGCCTGCAGAAACTTCGCACCGATGCGCGAATCCAGACCCACTGCCCTCGCCACTTCACTCACGTCCGCGCCCGTGGCTTCGCACACTGCCGACAGGCTGTTGATGCTAGAGATTCGCTGCGCCAGGAAAGCGTTCGCCGCCAACTTGGACAACTCAGAGCTCCACGTGTTGGTCGTGAGGATGTGCTCCTTGGGGATCCAGTGTTCATAGATCCAGCACAGCGCCTCGATGGCCTTCTGTCCATCCGGTGTCTCCTCTCCGCCGATCAACACCCTATCAGGCTCCAGCAAATCCCTCACCGCCGTTCCCTCGGCCAGGAACTCCGGATTCGACAGAATATCATACTTCACGCCCGGCTTCTGATTCGCCCTCAGAATCTGCATAATACTCTCGGCCGCCTTCACGGGCACCGTGCTCTTCTCCACCACGATCTTGTTACTCTGCGATATCTCGGCGATCATCCGAGCGCAATTCTCCACGAACTTCAAGTCCGCGGCGCGTCCTTTGCCCCTGCCAGATGTCTTCGTGGGCGTATTGACGGAGATGAAGATGAGATCCGCGTCGCGGATTGCCGGTTCCATGTCCGTGGAGAAGAAGAGATTCCGCCCGCGGCACTTCTTCACCACAGCATCGAGGCCGGGCTGGAAAAAAGCGAGACCGTCAATTCCATGGAAATATCTTTGGCGTAATTTCAATGGCACTCATCAAAAGGTAATTAATCTGAATTGCATGAATGATTGACGTACTATTTGTACAACGAACTCGTGTGTCATGATAAATCCCAATTGTCTCCCCACACGGCTCATTTATCTACACACTGCCAAGCATTGTTGGGAAATTTGTCGGAAATGTGCCCCGATAAGACCGGATAAAGTGAAACACATCAGAATGACCGATTTCAGCTAAGAAATGATCTCATAAGAATTCACGAAATGTTGGTGTGTTTCATGGATGTTTTTTCTTCTTTTTCTCTTTCTCCCTCATCTTCTGTTGGGTCAACATACTAATAGAAAAACGACGCGCGAATGCCATGGTGGCATCAGCGGTTATTTTTTTTGTCGCCACGAAGGCTAGAGATGCTCTCAAGGTATAATTCTCACCTCGTAAATTGGCAACTTGTCCGAATTCCACTGGGCAATGCGTGAAGCACTGCGATCCACCACGGTCACCTGGATGTCTGGACACTTAAGAGCCATCACACTGCACGTGGGGCCCCCCACGTAACCCGCCCCGATGCAGCACACCTTCGAAATAACCATTCTGAGTCGGTCCTTGCACGTTCTTCTTCACAAAATGCAATTCTATTGCTGAAAGAAAAACAAATTGAATTATTTAACTGTATCCAGTGTCTTACTCATCATCATCTCACCAAGTGAGTCAATTTTCGTCCAGGAAAGCTCTCCTTGTTTACTTCCTTCCGGGAGTCTTTGCAGTAAATTTCAAATTCTAAAATAAATGGCACTTTTTGATGAGTTTCCTACTTTTCTCTTAGTATATACTGCTTCGGTGGATGTGATGGGAATGTCTGGTCACAAATAAAACAATGCACTTGCTCGTGGCAGGAAATACTGAAGATTCTCCAGAAAACACTTGGCTTTCCCACCCAAGAAGAGACTCAAGAGCAGCAGGTATCGCCACCTTGCATCAATTTTTTTCAACTGCACACCCACTATTTTCCATCAATTCCACCGTTTATCACGCCTTCTACTCTCATTTCAGCACTATCTCACATTCTCAGGTGATCCACTGGCACTTTTATTACTTTTCCAGCGAGGAAATCGCCAGATAACCCAATAAAAACACAGGAAATAAAGCAGCTAAAGCTGGGCCACTTCCCCCACCACAGGTCACTGGCAAGCCAGCAAAACACCCGGCGGAGTCATAACCTCGCCTCTTTGTTTACATTCCGTGGCTTTGTGGAAATTCTCGTGTGAAAATAGTTGGAAAATGACAGATATTCCGTCGATAGCACAAGAAGCTGTGTTGCTTGGAAGTGAGGAGCTTCCGCAAGATACACCTACAGTGAAGGGATATGATTGGACACAGCATGGGGTGAATTACGCAGAGATTTTGAAGAGTTACACTCAGACAGGATTTCAGGCCACGAATTTCGGGAAAGCTGTAGAGGAAGTGCGGAAGATGGTATGAGAAAGCAAGGATCCACTTATCTAGTATCTGATTTCAATGTGTTCTATTGTAGTTAGAGCGTAGAAGTTGTCCCTTGATGGAGGAGCATCGAGATCTACATGAGGACGATGAATTCATAGCAAGGAAGCAGAATTGTACCATTTTCCTGGGTTACACGTCGAATATGGTGTCTTCGGGATTGCGAGAGACCATCAGATTTTTAGTGCAGCACAATCTCGTGGATTGTCTGGTGACAACAGCCGGAGGTGTCGAAGAAGACTTCATAAAGTGTCTGGCTCCAACATATCTGGGATCCTTCGAACTCAGCGGTCGTCACTTGAGAGAGAAGGGCATGAACAGGATTGGAAATCTCTTAGTGCCGAATGAAAATTACTGCCGCTTCGAAAACTGGGTCACACCACTGCTAGATGAGATGGTGGAGGATCAGAAGCGCGATGGAATGCTGTGGACACCGTCAAAAGTAATTCAGCGACTCGGAGAGCGAATCAACGATCAATCCTCAATCTACTACTGGGCGGCTAAGAACCACATTCCCGTCTTTAGTCCTGCCCTGACAGACGGCAGCCTGGGAGACATGATGTACTTTCACTCTTATAAGAATCCTGGACTCGTGGTGGATATTGTGAGCGATCTGAGACGCCTCAATACCATCGCCGTGAAGTCTGTGTCTTCTGGGATGATCATCCTGGGCGGAGGAGTGGTGAAACACCACATTTGCAATGCTAATCTAATGAGAAATGGAGCTGATTATGCGGTCTTTATCAATTCTGGATCAGAATTCGATGGCAGTGATTCGGGAGCGAGGCCAGATGAAGCAATATCTTGGGGAAAAATCCGCAAGGAAGCCACTCCTGTAAAGATCTACTCGGACGCGACCCTTGTTTTCCCGCTGCTGGTGGCAGAAACATTTGCCAAGACTGTAGACATCCCAATGACTACTCAGACACAATGAAATGACCGATAATTAGGCCAATTATAGCATATTCAAGTCTCTAAAGACCTTCTTTTCAATTAAATAATATATTTTTCTAGGGAAATGCACTTTTCAAAAATATAACATTGAAAATTTCATAGAAACTTCGTCACTATGCGGCTGATATGGAGACTTGCGAAGCCTACTTTATCTTGATCTTGTGGAGCTTCAGCTTGAATCCCAGAATTTCACTGAGAACACCAGAAAGCGCCGACAGGATGACTACTTTCACAGTGGTGTAGAGCAGCGGATTGGCACTGAGGCCAGAGATCTTAAAAGGCGATTCGAGTTCCTTGAGCAAATCCGCGGCCAGCTTCAGCACGCTGTTCGCCACCATCAGTTCCTCCTTTTTGTTCGGCTTCTGCTCAATCTGCAGATACAGATTTATCTGCTCCGTGATGAGCACCGAGATGCTCCTGTACTTGCGATTGATCTTCGTGCCCAGCGTCATGAAGCGCAGCAAGTATGTGCCCAGAGCACTGCTCCACACCAGCGCCTCGATGTTGTACTGCGTGTGCAGATGAGGTGAATCCTTGAGCCACTCCACGCTCAGGAAGGCCAACAGGAGGAGCGTGAGAATGAATGCAGCCGACACGATCACGTCAACAGATCTCTGAGGTCCGCGGCGCTGAAGAGACAAGAAGAGTTTCATTATCAATTAGAAGACAAACTTTACCGAGATGATTTTGACTGTATTTTCTCCAGTTATTTTCACTAAATTCAGATTGATAAAAAATCTATTTATTTGTATTATAATACATTTCAGTACAAGAGTATTCGGTAAATTCTAATCCTATGCAAAATGAACTCGAAAAAAGAGATTATTTGGATGGTAAAAGTAAGAGTTTAAGTTTATCAGTCTGGCTCAGTACTGAGTCCTTCTCCATTGGCCACTTCTTGCCATTCGTGGGATTCTCCTTGTCCCCACTTTCGGCCAAATTCAACTGAGTCGTGATCTCATGAGCGTTAGCTTGAATTCCCACGTCGCAGCTTCTCTTGCTATTGCGGGAATTGCTATTTCCTCGCATATACGAAGTAGACGTCTCAGAATCTGGTGATGAGAAGGAATACGTCTTCCCATCCTTCTTCCGATCGCCTCTAATACTGCCCTGAATGTCGCACAAATCGTCCTCATCGTTGTGTTTCACGGCCATTTGCTCATCATCCGATGTGTTGTATTCCTTCATGTTTGCACTGTTGTCGTGCATGGTAAAATCGTTGCTCTCATCATCACTAGTGTTGTCTTGGCCGCCAACTGCCTTCAAAATCATGTCTATTTGAGAGTCCTTCATGTGGAAAGACGCCGTGGAAGCGTTTTCCTCGTCATAAGGAATCTTTTGATTGTGCAGCACCGGCAGCAAAACTCTCTCATTGCTCAAGAGAGAACTGAAGTCATTGGAATTCAATCCTGCAGAAGCACTCCTTCTCTTAGTTTTGTATCCCTTGCTTGTCTTAGTCGCTGCGTACTCCTGCTTCCTCATCTTCTTCGACTTCTTCCCACGACTTCTGCTGGCCACCTTTGTCTTCATCTCAGCAATCTTCACCGCCACCTGCGAATCTTCCGAGTTCCTCCTCGATTCCACAGACACATGGCGAACATGGAAGCTGATCTCCGAGTCCCTTGAACTCCTCCTCGGCTCGTGGCTCGACGAAGTCACCGATTCGAAATAAGCTCCTCTTCGATTCACAAAATGCGGCAAATAACGCGCCCATGTTGTGCTGAAATCCTGACTTCCTGAGTTCAAATTGAAATTCAATCCCACAGGATCAGTGTGCGTGTTCCTGAAGCTAATGCTGCAACGTCCCTCCTCGTCCAGCACCTTCTTCTTGGCGAATGTCTGCGCTATCACTTTATGCTTCTGCACTCGCATCGGCTCGTCCACCTCATGGCCAAGCTTCCTGTTCAAATATCGCTTCCAAATCTTCACTGTCGGACAAGTCCACACCCAGGAGGACATCATGAGCCCCGCCGCGAAGAGACAGAGGAGATGAATCTGGAGAATCGCCACACTCGGCCTGGACTCCATTTTGCAGTTCCTCAGGTAATCCTCATGGTGAGAAGTTGTTATTTTACACATGATGAAGTTCCTGAGACTCGCAATCCACTCTCCTGAGTTTCTAAACTCATAAATATGGCACGCAATTGTGGCCAGAATGATAATCATCGTGAAGAGCATACAAAGTCCCATCCTCACGATAAATTCCCTTATCTTCTTGCCAGCTCTGGCTGAGATGATCTCCTCCGTTGACTCAAGTTTCAGCTTCACGAGCACCAGCATTCCGCCACTCACGAAATATACCCCAATGATCAGAACAGCCAGGATAGGGCCAATGAGAAGCGCTCTCATATGATGATTCACGTATCCCACGAAGCAAATTCCCACCACGCTGTTTCCATCCACTTCACTCAGTGCCATTATCGTTATGGTGAGAACTAGAGGCAGTGACCAGGCGATCAGGTGGAAGTACGAGCTCTTCTTGTCGATATTCTCGTGGATTTGCCCAATCGCCTTGAAAGTCATGTGCCAGCCATACAAGTAGATCACAAACCACACCATCGAAGCTATCAGGAAGTAGTAAATAAGCACAAAGACAACGATGCAGGAGAGATTTTCACCAGTGCTTGGTTCTGAGTGCCTCAAAGTACCATCCTTCCGGCAAACTATCTCCTCCCAGCCACTCAGGGTGAACTGAGCGAGCCATCCGAAGCACGTCATCATGTAGGAGATGTTCATGTAAAAGATGGTCAGGGCTGGATACTTGACGTTCTTCCAGTCAATTATAAAAGTGACAATAGCAAAGAGATTCGCCACCAGGCAAATGCTCGCTCCATATGCTATAAATTTGTGGATTTGCTTGTGCTCATCATCTGTGTACAGCGGATCCTTGCACTCCAGTCCACATCCGTCAATATTCCCGAAGTAGTTGGCTGATGTATCAGCAGGAATCAGAGGTTTAAGGCACTGTCCAGTGACATTGTACTTAATCTCCCGGACGTCATTGTTACACTTGGACGGATAAACTGATTCGTTGCATTTGAGGAAGTCCGGGAAGTAACTCGTGTTGTACAGCGCTCGACACGGTTCCACAGTCATTCTACACATCTCAAGACTTGGCAAGTAAACATAATCTTGGCCTCGGATGGTCTCACACTTGGGCAGAAAGACAGAACAGAGGAAAGGCTGAATGACTGCCCAACACTTTGGGACGTACTTCAGCGCCTGATAACTCTGCAGTCGGTCCAGCGTGTACTCCTGACTGTAGCTGTCTGACAAGTCCAAGCTCGTGAAGTTGTAGGGCAATCTAGCGCCCAGGCACTTTGTCTCCTTCAATCTCTCGCATTTGGACTGCCTTCCGCAGTACAAGTGCTTCATCTCCCAGCCCTCAAACCACGTCTTCTCATCCTTCCCGCGCCTGCGGTGGATTCGGAAGTTGACCGTGCCATTGATGCTCTCAACCAGTGGCCCATCCGGCAGAAATCCACCACCATTGCTGAGGGAGGCTCCCTGTTGTGCTTGGTAATTGGCGTAGGTGCATTCCAAGAAAAGGAAAACAAAGGTGATCCTGAAATGAACAACAAGGAAGTCAAATCATGTCAAAACACACCAAATCCTTAGATGATCAATAACTCACCTCATAAAACAATAAGAAATCATGATAGAGAAACTCACAAAGTTCACAAATTAGGAAAAAATAAAGAAAAACATCGTAAGAAACTATGCCGCTTCTGCGGGCTGACAGGACCACCCAGCACGGTTTCCGCGTTCGATCACTTTCCCACAGAGCGCGCTGTGTGTCATGGAGGGGGGCTGTTTCGCGCCAAAATACTCACTTTCAAGTACGACCGAACGCTGAGCCATGTCTTGATGTTCCTCACTTTGTTGAGCCGGAAGTGGGGCAGTTCCGACTTCCTCGCCCTGCGCGAACTCGTGAGATGCGAAAAGAGTTTCGCATACAGAAATCTCTGCTTGAATGTCCTCTCGGCGACGGCCAGGAGAAAGAAGAAGAGGTACGTAAGGCAGATGCGCTGCACAAAGTTCACAATCAGCACTGTCTTCTCCCACTGAGACTCTCCGAAGGCGAGCCTGAGTAGCGCCAGAGATTCCGAACTGGTCTCCATCAGCAGTACTGGCACATCCAGGAAATTCACTTCGGTGGAATTGCTGGAATCGATTGTGGCCTCGCAGATGCGACAGACGGCAGGAATCAGAGACAAAGCGATGCTGAACACTACGCCGATGTATACGTAGTCGCAAGTCTCGGGCATGGCTTCCACTCGCTCAATGATGGCTGAGGAGATGTCCAGAACTGACATCTCGGCCTTCTTGGCATCTCGTCTGTCCCACACAGTGCAGCTGATCCTGTCATTGGCACCACATGTTGGATTCAGGATCACTGAGGGCGTGAAGTCGCACTCCAATGTCTCAGAATACTCATTCTGAGAGTCTGAATGGTCAATCTCCGAACTGTAGCTGCACTCCTCGCTGTTGGTTGTCACACCAATCCATTCCGTGGCTGAGGTGGTCAATTCGTTGAATGTGAGATTGGAGCACGTGCCCGGCGTCGAGGCAGTCTCTCCGTCGTCCTCCCCATCCTCATCCGTGTCACTGCTGTCTTGCTTCTTCTTCGACTGCCCAGGGTATGGCAATTTCTTACCAGCGCCCTTGCCCCAGAAGTCAATTTCTGACTCCGATGACACTGGCTTCTTGAGATTCAGATGCAAACTCACGGAGTTCCTCCGTGATGAAATGCCCTTCACGGTGTCAGTGTCGCTGTCGGAATTCTTCCGCACTCTCTCCAACACTTCCTTCACCCATGAATTCCTGAAGTTGGGCGCCTCCTTCGTCGGAATCCCTGGTGAAGAGGTTGGAGAATTGTCCTCTCCACTCGAACTCTTCCCATTGAAGCTCTCAAAGCCATCGTCCTCCCCAGTTTGACCACGACTAGCATTCTCCACAACTCCCACATCTTCCGGACTGGCCACACTCTCGCACGCGTCCGTGAACACATCAGCCACCTTCGAAGCCTCTTCATTGTCCTCAGATCCCTCCACGGGCAGCACAACTTGGCTCTTAATCGGCGAGTCCCAGTTCACGTTCCTCTTCCTCAGCGAACTCCCGGCCGTCTCTATCGATGACACACAGTTGAGACTCGTTTTCAACGCCTCCTCAGTCACTCCTGACGGACGCAGTCGAACCACCTTCTTCTTCCGTCGCACACGATCTCGCACTTTCCGCTTGGGGTGCAGCAGGCGCTTCCGCTTCTCCGCGGAGCCACTGCTGGACGCCGTGGCCACGATCTGCGAGTGAATAACACTCAGCATGAGACTGAGGGCCATCGTGATCACCAATTCGGATGTGTGCACAATGTGTTCCGAGCCAGAATGCTCCTTATTGTTCACATGGAAGCTGAACACAGCCCAGGTGAACATCTGCAGGACGTACAGGCCCAGCAGGAAGGCGAAGACGCGCGGTGACGTCTGCTCCACCCACCACTTGGCGTAAAGCGGCAGGAAGATGAGCCTCAGAATGGCCAGACGGAACACCGTAAGCAGACTCTGCTTGGGCTTCGCTTTGGGAAAGGACGAACCCCGCACCAGATCCACATCGATGAGTTCCGTCTTGACTTTGGTGTTCTTCAACGGTACCTGGATGAAGCCATTGAGGATGCGCTGCTCCACTGTCTTCTCCCATTGCTGCTTATCATACGTCCCGATCTTTTTCTGATACCTGCAATCCATGCAGAGATATTTGTTAGTGTGAGACTTACAGAGGATCAAAGAATCAACATTGCCTGTGCATGTCACTCTTCAATTTCAGTTATAACACGGAAAAACACTCACCAAGCGACTATTTGATGTAATCTCATTCTCCAATATCGACACGCTGATTAGCTTTATCTGCTCCCAATGAACGTTCGATCACGGCGGAGAGACAGAGAAGAGAAACCACATTTAGGTCTGTACTCTCAATGAACTGATAAGATAATCAACAACCTCACAAAAAGCCTGATAAGAGAGAAAATCATGTAGGAATTTCGCAATAAATGTATTTTCGTGCCAGAAGACAACGCAAAAATATTCTCTGACGTCTTTTCAGGATGAAATCACTTTCTGTCTTATCATTATCGGACGATCCACCTACTGTGGGAGCTTTTTTTTTAATGTCACAGAAGCCGAGTCATTCGCACATAACTGCTCTAAAAAGTAGCAATTTGCATCGGTTGTTTTGTTTGGAATAAACATGTGACGACAAAGAATCAAAGACGTGAATAAATATGGCCAATTTATTCATTTCTAGCTTCCTTAACAAATATTTAAAAACAAAAAAATTGCTCAAAGGTTCACTAATAGACCACATCATTACATCTCCTAAATATCCACATTATATCCGTTTTGCTCTCATCAAGTGGAGCATGACGTCAAAGAAGGTCACTAAATTCAATTATATTAGAACAAATATTTTAACAATATTTCGCAACTCCTCAACAAACAACTCATGTATTTCATTATAAAATCACGCTCCCGAAAGCGTGGCTGAGAATTTCGAGGTCATTCTGCCAAAAAACTTTCACTGCTATTTTCACTTTAGAAATTCAGCAACTGAGATGCACGACTTGATTGCGAAATCCTATCTAATATAGACTCTCTCATATCAGTTTGTTTGCCCCCAATTGATAAAGATGATCAATAAGTCTATACACTTCAGCACTTTTTACGCAGAGAGAAAAGTTTTCGGAAAAGCCAGAGAACGACGGTGAGTGTGAAAATGCTCTTTTCCTGACTTGAGGAAGGTCACGGTCAAGGCTGAGAAATTTTCCACCCGTGGAATTGCCAACCTGAGACTCTTCTGTGTGACGACAGAATCGCACAAAAACAGAAAAAAAGCCACTCGATGTAATCTGGGGAACGCTCTCGTAAATTCCTCACGCTATTTTAAGACCACTTCTGCAGGCCAAACAATTCACTGAAATTCTTTATCGCGAGTCAAAACGTGGCTTCAGCACGAGGACGTGGAAGCTTCTGTGCCGGAGCCTGCGAGCAGAATTCAAGGTCCTGCCAGTATCTGCATCTCCCACCGCAAGGGATTCCGGCGCGATATTGCGCAAAATCCGCCTAAATTAGGCTTCAATCACCACTGGGGAGGGAAATCAATGAAAATTTGCCACCTACAGCTCACTGTCGTGCAATTAGTAAAATCTCTCGTCGTCTCGTAAGCTTCTTAGTCTTCTAATTAACTCAATTTTTGGGCAAGTTGCTATGAAATAAAGTGAAAAGGTCAAGGAGATATAAATTATTCACACAAGAAAGTTATCACCGGGTGGAAAAAGCATGTACCTATTTTACAGTCTTTCTGAAAATTACTGGTCTTCTAGCAAATCAACATTGCTTAGTAATTTTGCTAAGCTAATCACTGTTATATTTTGCATAATTCCCTTTAAAATTCATATTAAATTGTTTAATCGCCAAGCATTCGTGACGTCATTAAATTGCAAAATCTTATCGGTTTGCGTAGAAATACAGGAAGATGAATAGAACAAGAAAATTAGAAATATTTTTAATTTTCAGATTCTACAGAGAATATTCTTCAGAAGCACCTGTCTGGGGCATCAAAATCAATTTCCGGCCAAGGATTTTTCATTATTTTACTCAGTACATTTACTTTTCGCAGCAAACAATCTTCATGGTTTCGTTTTCCAGGGAAAGAGTCATTGTTCGCAGCTTTGAGTTCACTAACTGTGTGAAATTGAAGGTGAAAAACAGCTGAGTGGTCTGAGAAGGTCTGCTACAGTCAATGCAAAGCATTTTCCACTACATTTTCTCTCTGTTTATCCCACCCCAAAGGAGCTCTTCCACAAAAATATGACTTTCTTCGAGAAAACTCTAAACTTTCTTACTTATCCCGCTCAAAAAGACGATGCATTCAGGCTGGAGCCTCTCGAGAGACATTCAAAGAGTGAGAAAAACGTGGAAATTCACGAAGAAACTAAGGAAAATCCTTGCATCAAATGGTTTTTCCTGGTTACACTTTTCTGCACAATATTTGCACGGTTTCTCGTTAGTTCTCGCACGATTTTCACTGTTTAATCACTCTGGATTGATACTGCGGATACACGAGCACCAGCAACACAAATTTCCACGAGAATTTCTTGTTGTTTGTGCCTGACTTTTGCGATTTTCCTCGCAAAACGTGAATTTCCTCCTCCGCGGCAATTTATCGACTGACACTTTTGTCCGCCTGACGCACCCTCTCGCGTACTCTAAGTGAACCCGTCAGGTGTTGGAAACCCATCACAACCGTCGTATAACACTTATTTTGTCACTATGAAATCGCAATTATAGCGAAAATTCGTGAAAATACAGTAAATCTTTCAACATCTAGGAAATTTAGAAATATCTCAAAAATCCTCAGTTTGGAAATTTTTGCATTTAGCACAGTTGAAGTGGAATTCTTGTACTCTTTTAGCGCCCCGTATAACCGAGTGTTGCGCTGCCGTCGCCAATATTTTCCTCTCAGTTCTCAGTACGTTCGCGAGTGGGAGACAAAGCGCACTTCAGAGGGAGTTTTCCTTCGGAAAACCGTGGTGAAAAGTGTTGAGTGTCGTGAAAAATCAGTGACGACCACGTGCGTGCGTGAGTGAGATTGCACGGCGTGGGTGAAACACCCCAAATCTGCGTCATTTCTCCGAGAGAAGTTACTCTCTCTCTCTCACAAGATGCTGTTCTCTTGGCTGGCGGAATTATGCGATTTGCCCATTGATTTGGTGAGTGGAAAGATGTGAAAATGCACAGGAGATATTCTTGACAAGTACACCCACGGAATGTCCTAGCCAGCTGGTCATTTTGGCCCGCGACAGAGCAGTAAAAGGCCTGAGAGAGAGAATTTGCAAGAGAGCGCCATGTTGCCAAAAACAAAAACACCGAGGAAAATTCCCATCTTCATGGTGTCATAATCACGCGAAAAATTGCCATTTTCCTCTGAGAAAACCCATAATTTTTCCACAAATTCCCTCCTCAGAGACATGTTGCACGAAAATTTGTCACGAGTTGAATGGAAGATGAAAATTTCCAATCATATCAGGACACTTTTTCCGCGGATGCCACAGATGGGAACCGCCTCGTCGGCACATTTCCCAATTTGCCGGCACCGTGCGACCCTCACACCACCCCCTGAAAATCCACCCAGACTCATGCCGGGGATTTTCCACCCTCTGGTGACCTCTTCGACTCCGTGTGGGTGGGATCACCACCCAGAGAGAGCGAGTTTGACGCGAAAATCACTAGCTTGGGGGGCTTTTCCCCCCTTTGAGGAGCGCCTGGGATGGGTTTTTCCTCGAATTCCACCCCAACACCTGTCTCGGTGATTTTCCTCCGCTGAGTCGCCGTGAGTTTCGCAAATTTCGCCTACTTCGTGTGTAATTGAAATTTGGCCAATTCTTAGTGCAAAATTTGCCCCAATTATTGCCCATTTCCGTGAGGAGAGGCTCTTTTGGTGCGATGGGTGCGTCACACGTGGCCAGAGATTTCACATGGGATTGTGTACATGTCATGTCTGTAAATCCGTACTTAAACTAGGGCTTGACTTTACTGCTTGTGATTGATCAGAAACGACTTAATAATTATTCCATTTCGGTGTCTTTAATTGACAAAAGTCAGGCTGTGCAAACACTTAAGAATGGCTTAAACCAGATATAATCAAATTCAATAAGTTAAGAAATGCTCAAGCACATTAAAAACTTGAACTTCTCTTCCTAATGATGAGTTTGGGTAAGAAATAGTTCATTATTCAGTTGCGACAGTCGATTTCTTAGAAAACTTGTTCGCATATTTCCAAATTTGACTCTCTATGGCGAATAGGCACATTTAAGAAGAACGATTTACTCAGCTTGCTCTTTCCCACTGTTCACATTTGTAACCATGTGAGCACTCTTCTAGTAAGTAAATTCATCTCCTTGAATTGTCATTCCCATAAAATATTTATTAATTTCGCTTGTTAAAATGCCATCAATTGATAGCTATTCTATAGGGTCGGAGATATTTGCACCTTTGCCCCTAAAAAGAGTGCTGAAATCACCAATACATCCTCTTGAGCCCACCTCGTTTGATACCTTATCGGCTAATTGTGCGGGAGAGAATCACTCTTCGGTGGCGTGAGGCGAGAATGATGACTCAGGAGAGTGCTTGCAGTTTATTTTTTAAAGCAAATAAGAACATCACACCACCGGAGACGAATAGAGCGGCGGAGAGTTCATTGTGTTTCCCTGCATTCTAATTCCGCTGCGTTTGTATGCCTAAAGAGCATTTGTCTGCAAATTGGTATTTTACAGTCGAGGGAAAAAATTGCTTTTTCACTTTAGAATTGAAAAGCAATGAACTCTTGAGGTTCTTTTCCTTCCTCGTGCGGACATTGCTTTTGTAAACACAATTTTTCACGAGAATTTTTAACATAGCTTAAGTGAATTGGTCTCATTAAAATGAGATTCACACTTGTTGGCCACACAATCTTACGTAATTCATTGAAAATTCCCAGAGTCTCGCGCAGACTTTGGCCAAGAGTGCAGAGGAAAGGTGGGAAAATCATGCTTCAAACAGACGTGCTTTTGTGTTATATTTGGGTAGAAGAGTGTATGTGAGGAATCAAGGTGAACGTGTGTAAAATTGAGAGAGATTTTATTGTGACTTCACAGCATAATGTGTTGATCTTGAAATACACTTTTAGAGGGCATCACAATTATTCTCAACTAAATAGACTACGTTGAAAATCTCCCACAGTCAATGATGACGAAATTGTAATGATCAGACGTCTCTGTGTATCATACGAATAGGGGAAAAATAAGCGATAAAAGTCATCAGTTTAGTGTGAAAAATGGTCAGAATTGAGGGCAAGAGTATAGTTAGATAATAACGCGTGATAAAGTATACTTTCATCAGACAAACATCCATAAATTGAAATAAATTTTCTCACATTTCTTTGTTCTTCGGTTTTTTTTGGAGTTGTCCTGCGCAAAATGAATAGATAAAGAATGACTATTTTTGCAAGAACCTAGTAGATTTCATCACTGATACAGTGTGTTTCGTATAAGGTGTCTGACTCTTTTCTTTATTGCTATTTTTCCTATTTTATCACTGAACGACTTTTGTAAAATTTTCATAAAATTACTTGAATCATTGGAATATGGTTCAAATTTGAAGAAATCGTACCCAAAATTGAGCAATATTGTAGTGTTAAGAAATGCTAAGTAGAATCACAAGCGACCTTACTCACTGATTTCAAAACATCAAGACAAAAACATACTGTTCTCTTTAACAGCTCATTCATCAGTCTCTCTCTATTCGCCAGTTTTAGTCATACGATCGAATGATTAAGAATGATTATGCGCACTTAAAGAGGAGTGTTCTTTGTGCAGGAAAAACTCCGGGGCAAGAAGCGATGATTTTGCCATTTAAGAGTGAACCCAATTGGGTCGGTGGCACTTAACAAAACTTCTATGTGGAACCCTTTCTGTCACACTGGCGATGACAATGGCTTTTCCGGGCAGAGAGACAATAGAGACACTTGAGGAACTTTCCCACAAGTGGAGCGACTGCAAAAGTGTGTTTCATCAATGTGAGCGACCTTCGGCGCTCCAGCAGGGAAAATGCAAGAAAATAGCGTCATCTTGAACAATATATTGAGAAGGTGCTTGACCACAAATCATCGCCTTCTTTTACCGCACTTCTCTTGTACAATTGCACAAAGTGCTGTTGTGCAATTTGTTGGGCGGGATTTTTGTTGTTGGTGAATAAAAGAGAGATTTACAAAAAAAAAAAATGCATTTAGTGAATGTGCTGCACCAGAGTGTTGTTTTAGGTAAATGTAATGTGAACACTTTTGCGTTCTTGTTTCATTATTCCTCTCCATGCTGTTTCTCTGTCGCCGATATTCCACAAATGGGGTAAATTTGGGTGACAGCAATATAGCATTGACTAAAATAACACGAAGAAAGTCATGAAGAGAGTTTATTACACGAGTAAAGCTAATCGTTTTCAGTCTACCTTTTGCATTTTTCCCGCGAAAAGGGGGGAAAAAGCTTTTAAGGCCAGGTTGTCGAGCCTGAGGAAATTATCGGAGGGTGTATTTTTAGACGGAGAGTGAATTTGCCAAACAATTGGCCGGATATTGACAAGATTTAGGTTGAATGTGCTCGTCTCTCGTCCTGATATTAATCAAGTCAGGGGCGCAGGGCGAGTGTTGATGTTGAGGAAGTGACCTTTTGCAGTGTCTAGCCATTTGATTGATGGCCTCTGTGATGTCCTGTCGGCAGTCAGTCGGGTGTGAGTATTTAAAATACACAAAACAAACGAGAAAATCTAGCGTAAAGAGATCAATATCAGATGATTTGATTGTTTCCTTCGGGGCAGCAGCAAAACATTGCAATATTTGTCGTATCCGGAAGTAAATAGCGTAGGAATTCATAAGCTAAAAATAATTACAATTCTGAAGAAAACAAGGTAGTAAAAAAAATGCTAAACACTCACATTATATGGGCAAAGAATATGAAAACAGAGAGCAGGGCGAGAGAGAGGGAATGTAATGAGCCGAATAGCTCAAGTCCAGGCTTTTTTGGTCATTTTCTGATAATGTAATCTAGAACGAAGCAGATCATTGAGTGCGGATTTTGGTATAAATAGCCATATCGTATCAGAGGAGCGTCGAAGAATTGAAGATAAGTGCTCGATCACAGACTTACAACATGACACGATGATAAGGCGGGTTTTTAAGTGTGGTGTGGAGAATTGATTGTCATAGTTTTGCAAATCATTTTCAATGTACATTATTATTATTATCTTAGCAGAATCCGCTTTATAAGTCAATTTTTTGTCTCATCGCATTTCTCTGCTTTCATGCTGTGATATGCTATGATTAATCTGTCTCTGGGAATTGATAAATTGAAATCCCGAAGCTAAATAAATTACCTTCGAGTCAGATATTTAAAAATTTACCTTAACCCACATTTGAGCTGAACAGATATTAGATCCGGATTTATTTCTGTTTATCTCTGTGTGTAAATTCCGACTCGGTACTGTACAATAAAGCAGAGCCAGGTGTATTTTGTGAAAGGGGAAGAGTTTTTTGGCGCTTTAGAAAGGCTTTCAGTTGGATTAAAAAATGAATGCTTATCGTTCTGGTGTGAATGATGGAAAATTTTATGGATAATTGCCAAGAGAGTTCTCCGCGCGTCTTTTCGAGCCAGCAAAAACCGATAAGAGGGCTTACAAGTGGCATTAACAAAGGAATTATTGTATCATGTGAAATTGTTCTTTATGCAAATGTTTTGTGGATTTATCCAATGTGTCATTGGATGTCTCTTAAGAGGCATAAGAGGCATTTTCTCCGCAGCGTCCGTGAATAAAATATGAGGACGAAATGGGAGTTTTAGAAGTGACGCTTCACGACACGTGTGAGGCCATTGAACGCATCTTTTAGTGGAAAATTTCCATGATTTAACCTTCAACCTTTTTTTCCTGGGGAAAATGATATGTTTGCACACCGAAAGTTTTTCTGTTTCGGAGAGGACATTATTCAAATGGTTCCGTCGTAAAAGATGTGATGCAGTGTCGCTGTGGCGTGAAAAACATGGTTTTAAAAAGGCAGAACATAACAGCGACTTTCTTGTGGAGGCCAAGAATAAAGAATGATGTCACGAGTTTATATCCAAAACAGTGAATAATTTATTTTTGCTTGTCTCCTCGTCGGAGCTTCTTTTAAGCTTTACACAAGTTGTTTAGGTGAAGAAGAGGAGAGAGAGAGAGACATGAAAGCAATTGAATAAAATGGTCACAATTGGATTTTGTCGAGTGTCAGTGAAATTGTCGAGTGAAAACCTGAAGGGACACTTTTAAGACTTTAAGTAATTTTGTTAGCTGGATAAAGACCATATGGAGATAAGCATCTAAAAAAAAACATCAATTTTCGTGCTTTTGTGTTTATCAAAATCGATTCTCAATTGAGAATTGACTTGGAAATCTACTCCGAAATGAGGTCTCTCTGTATAAGTCTATATTTGTCCTCTTAACGTGTGGAGTTTTGAATGCAACAAGAGGTGATTGTCGCTTCAGTGGCTGGAGAAATCAATAAAATTGCATAAAATACACCCTGAATGGGGATTTCAGTGAGTCTCTGATGGGGCTTTTTCGTCTTGGTTATGCGGCAAAATGTGCCAAGAATGCTTATTTTTGCCAATTTCAACTATATGGCAAAAATGTGCTCTCTCTGGCATTTGTAAGTGATTCAAAATACACACTAAAATGCTCCTAAAATGAAAATTACATAATATGCTATTCTTTAATGCATTTTGCATTGAAGCCACTCTCTCTCTCTCTCTCTCCCTCTCTCTAGTTCAATTTAGTTAAGTGAGCACAATTTAAAGATTAATGAAAAATTGTGGTCATGTCAGTTGAATTTTCTCCTCTTCTAACTGTATCGCAAAATTGGATCAAATCTGTTTCATACGGAGTTTGAATGCAGCTGAGCAATGATAGAAATGATTTCGGGGGCTGATAGGATGGGAAAAGGGGGAGTGAGCGTGTCATGTTAATTAGCTGAAGATTACCTGTGCTTCCCTCCCATCAATTATTCCGTGATTAAAAGTGCCCTGATTGACGGACACTGGGGAGGAGATTATAATTGCTGTAAAATTGATATTATGGCTGTTCGCGTGTGAATATTTAATGTTTCCACGCGAGCATTGGCTTCACATTGCACTCCTCTTATCAGTTAACTCGTGTGCTCCTCCTTTTTCTCATGTTGCTGTTTATAGACAGAGAGATTTTTGCACCCAATTCTCACACATTGCTGTTAATTGTCTTTGCAGATCAACTTCCTGATTAGTCAGTGTTTGGCTCTGTTGCTGGCCTCGTTCTTCCGGTCTGTGTTGCACCCCTCGAAGGTGTCCGCGGGCATCCGACATGTCATTTGTTTGGTGCTGGGCCTCTTCTTTGGCTACTTCTGCTTCGGACAGCAAGCCATACACATCGCCGGGCTGCCAGCGGTGTGTTATATCGTGATCCGCACACAAAATCCACAGATTGTGCAGCGATTGGTGATGATAGTGGCCCTCACGTACTTGTCATGCATTCATCTGCATAGGCAGTACTACTACTATGAGTCCTATTCGCTGGACATCTCGGGGCCCCTCATGATCATCACGCAGAAGGTCACCAGTTTGGCCTTTAGCATCCATGACGGCTTCACGCGGGAACAGAAGGAGCTCACCAAGTCGCAGCAGTATCACGCGGTGCAGAAGCTTCCATCCGCCCTCGAGTTCTTCTCCTATGCCCTTCACTTTCAGGTAATTGGGATTTATAGGCATTTCAGCATGAGAATCTGATGGCAATGTAATTTATCGTCCCTCTGAACGCACGCAAAGAAGGGCATGGTGGGAGTGGAATAATTGATAAGGGGGAGTATGAGGAAATTCAATCAAGAAAGTTTTAGGTTTTATTGAAAGATTGCCCGCCCGTGGAGAAGAATTTCGTTGGAGCATACATTAAGCAATCTTTTCCTACCACTGCAGGGCATTCTCGCTGGTCCACTAGTCTTCTACCGTGACTATGTGGAGTTCATTGAGGGCTATCACATCCTGAAGCACGCTCCAGATGCCCCCTCGGCCATGAACAAATCCAAGTGGTCGAAGGAGATTGTCCAGGAGCCGTCGCCGATGAAGAGTGTAATTAACAAGGTGGCAGCGAGCATTGTCTGCGCATACATCTTTATGAAGTTCAACACGATGTACTCAATTGACACGATCAAGGAGGATGAATTTATAAACAACACAAGCATGGCGTACAAGTTCTGGTTTGCCATGATGGCCACAACAACGAGTAGATTCAAGTTCTACCATGCATGGATATTTGCTGATGCCATTTACAACAACGCTGGCATGGGCTTCAATGGATACGAAGCGGATGGCAAGTCCAAGTGGGATTTGATCACAAACATTAACGTGATTGGGTTTGAGTTTGGCACAAACTTCCGCGATTGCATTAACAGCTGGAATTTGGGAACAAATCGATGGCTCAGGATGATTGTGTATGAGCGTGTGCCAAAGAGGTATGGAACTGTGCTCACCTTCGCTCTCAGTGCTCTCTGGCATGGATTCTATCCTGGATACTACATTACCTTCGCCAGTGGTGCGCTCTTTGTCATGGCAGCACGCTCTGTGAGTCCATAGTGTGCTCAACTTGCAGTTGATTTGTCTCATAATAATAATTCATGTGTGTTTACATGCAGGCTCGCCGATTGTTCCGCCACAGATTCCAGAAATCTACATTTGTTCGACGCTTCTATGATATTCTCACGTGCTTTGTGACAAGATTCTACATGGGATACGCTACATTCCCATTTGTCATTCTTGGATTTAAGGTAATACAAATTTCTCCATCTTGTTCTGTTGATGATTCTGTTGGTTTGACGGTTTTGTTGTTGTGTTTCCCAACAGGCGAGTCTCACTCTGTACCTGAAATTTTACATGTGCCTTCATGTGATCGCCCTGGTGACTATCTTTGTGCTGCCGCGCTTCATGCGGGGTGAGAGGACCGCGCGGAAGGCTGTGGCCGTGGCGGAAGAGTCGCCGGCAGTGAAGCAGGTGACAAAGCAGGCCGAGGCGATGGAGGAACGCAATGATCCGCTGCCGGAGATGGACAGTGACGCGCTGGCGTCAGTGATAAAGAAGAACTTGGAGATGGAGGCACGCAATTTGGAGGAGTTTCTGGAGAAGAAGGCCAAGGGCATCGTGGAGCTGAAGGAAGATCTCTGGCAGGAATTGCTATCGCCCGAGAGTGAGCTGAGGCGACGCTATCCGGACGGAGTGACACCCGAGGGCGGTGTTGATGCGTTCATCAAGAAGGAGATCAATGCTCTCAACCAAGCCGTACAGCAGGCCACCGTCTTGCCGGCGGTGCTCAGCAATGGGCATGCCAAGTAGGTGATTCCCGCGCTTTGTCGCTCTCCTCCTGAGTTCACAGAACACGTGGCTGTTCTCTCAGCATAATAGATTCCGAATTGTGTGGTGTTGTTGTGGCGGAAAAAGCAAGAGATCCTTTTGAGGAGGCATTTTTCCAGTGTATTTGTTCGTATATAATTGGGATATTTTCTTTCTAAATCAATTTGAGACTGAAATGAGACTAATTGTGTAGGAAGTTTTAAAAGCATTGACATTGGAAGATTGAAGTAATGATGACAATATTGAAGCCTCAAATCTCGTTGTTTTACTTTTAAAATCTCTCTGCCTTTCCATCACAACATCTGAACGCTAGAAGGAAGTGTTTAGTCGTAGTTATTGCTAAAATTAATAACTAGAAACGCTGTTCTGTCGAATTTGGGGTGAGAGTGTGTGCAATTTTTCGCCGTGATAGCGTGAGAATTGAATGATAAGCGATGTGACAAAAGGGGAATTTTGGCAGTTTATTATTTGTCCAAAATGTGATTAACCAGACGAAAAGATGGCAAGAGAATTGTGCTGAAAGAAAATGTGCAAAGTTCTGTATAAAATGTATTGAAGAATGTTTTTTCTACTATGTAAATTTGTTAATGTTTTTCAGCCATATGAAAATCCCTTTCGGGGGCCATTCAATTCTCACACGCGACAAGATGATGAAAAAGAGGACAGATAAAGCAAAAAAGAAAATGGAAAACCCTAGAATTAGAGATGAGGAGAAAAATACTTTATAGGTTTTGTGAGCTAATTTTTGTGTGGTAAAGAACATCACATATATATTTTCTTTTTTATAAATAACATTTTGTGAGTAAGGTTTTGTTTGCGGAATTGTGTGTAATTTTGATGGAATGTATTTCCTTCTATTTTATCAATTTTAGTCCAGGATATAAAAAATCTGTGTGAGAGTCACAAAAAGTAATAGCCGAGAGTAATATTCTAAACAAGAAAAAAAAAGAGAATCAAGCAAAATATTTAAAGGGAGAATTCTAGTCTAGCGTTACAGAACTTATTGAGAATGAAGACACTATACACCGAAATGACACTGTTTTTATGTGTAAAAATCATCTAGTTTTCCAAACTTAATTTGCCAATTTTTCACAGAAAAAAAGAGAGGAATCTTAAACATATCTTCCAGTTTTACACTTTACTTTCCTTCCGATATATTTCGTAGTCTTCCCACCAAAAGTCCCACTGGAATTTGCAAACAAACATGAAAACTCTGCTTTGGCCTATGCAATATTCAGCATTTCACCTCCGCGTGCTATTGAATTATTCAATTATTCTTCCGGGACAAGGCAGGAAGTGGGCGAACATATTCCCGGAAAGTGGGGAAAATGTGTGCCTCCTGAATATTGCATTGCGCCAGATTCAGCATTAAATTTGTTGAAATGGTCAGTGGAAGGCGTTTGATGAGTAAAGCGCGACCTCCACACAATTGGTGTCAATATTAAAAAAGAAATGTCAGAAAAACCAGCCCGTCTTTTAGCTGAAAATCCCCCTGAAAAATCCAACGAAGCGCCACAGAAGATATTTTAGCAAGAAATAATTGCACTTTTTGTACAGATATTGGATGTTATTTTCTTTCCTTAATTTCTCCTTTTTTATGACATCATTTTTGTCACACAATTATATTCTCTAAACATTGAATACACATATTTAAATATTACATGTAATTCTTACTCTTCTATGTAAGATTAAAGAGGAAAAAAAAGAAATACAAGAAAAGAAGTGAGAAAATAGAATGTGAAGAGGAGATAAAATTTGAGATATTGAGCTGTTTTCAGCTTCTTATCATTTACAAAAGAAAAAAACGGAGAGATGAGAAGAAAAAGTTGAAATATGACATTGTAATGGTAAAATCTTCCTAAAGTTCTCCAAAATACAATTATTATACACAGAAGAAGAAGAGAAGTCTTTCATTTCTTCACTTTTTTTTACCCTTGCTTCCTTTCTTTGTCCATTAAAGGAACCACTAAGCAACTAAATTAATAACATTGGCCACTGATTAAAATAAATGCTCTTTCGTCATACCTGCGATGAGAATTGAAATTCTTGTATTTCTTCACTAGTATTGCACTACGAGACTCCGTGATTCTGCGTTGCTATTTTCCTCCGCTTCAGGAAAATCATGGAATGCTTAGAAAATTGCCAATGAATCAACAAGAGTCTCTCGTTTCGAGGTTCAATGAACAATCAACATCTGTTCTAAATTCTCACATATCATCATTTATATTCCCTACTATTCGACTAGAACTCAGTATATTTTTAAAAGCCCTCCTGGTAAGCCTGGAAGAGCGCTTGCAAAGTTGCAAATAAACATGGGCTCCTAATGAGAATTCTTGGTCAGTTTCTGCCTAGTAAATCTACGAAAAAGGTTTCTATTTTCCACACTATAATTTTCTTACTTTCTACGAGGATTTCTTCACCATATGAATTGTGTTTTTTTAGGTTCAACTGTGAAAGATTTGTCGACTCAAGTCTAGAATCCTTCACAACTTTCTCCTAGATGTCACATATCTTCACCACCTCCACAAATCCCCCGGGGTGAATCGTTCGAGACAGAGAGTAAGACTGGGGAGACATTAACAACAACCTTAACTATGTTCAGCCCTGCGGGCGCGCCTTAGTTGAGATCGAGGATGTTTCTCGCCTCCAGATGATCCTTGAGCGAGTTGAAGAGCTGCAGCTGTTGCTCCGGCTTCAGCGTGTACACCTGGGCCAGCAGCTTCCCCGGCGACGCCGTCCTGATGAAGCTCGAGATGTACACATTGACGAACGTTGCCATGAGGAATTGGCAATCGAAGCGATCCATGATGCCGCCGTGGCCGGGAATCATGTCCCCGAAGTCCTTGATCTTGAAGGCGCGCTTGAAGCCAGATGCAAAGAAGCCCCCGAAGGGTCCAATGACCGAGCTGAAGATGCTCAGCGAGAGCGAGTGCAGCATGAATGGGTACATGGTGATGCTGTGGCCTAGAATATCATACTCCTGGGGCCGGAACAAGTACCCCGGCTCACACTCAATGGCCATCCTGAAATGCAAAGCATTTTAGTGTACTCTTCAGTGCACAAACAGACCCACTAGAAGAACTCACTTGTTGAGCTTCTCCTTGTACTCAATGGGACAGACAAAGTACTGGTAGTGGCAGAGGAACCAGGAAAACATCAGACCGAAGATCACTGTGGCGAATCCACCGCCGATGAAGCCCTCCCAAGTCTTCTTGGGACTCAGCTTGATCAGAGGCGTCTTGCCGAAGAAGAAGCCAAACATGTAAGCCATCACGTCGTTACAGACAATCATCGACACCGGCACAATGAACCAAATCATGCCCTCGAAGATGTTCTGAATGATCAAGTAGCTCTGCGTCACCACAATCAGCAGCGCCACGTGTGTCCAGGCGAACAGTGAGAACTGCTTCATGTAGTATTTCTTCACCAGCGACAGCACGAACCACACGAAGCCGACACAGTACATGGAGAAGGACAGGAAGCGATGATACTTGACCAGGAAGCGCAGATAGTCCAACTTGTTGATCGCCACGCCGAAGTAATCCACGAGATTCTCGCCATAGAAGAAGTAGTTGGACGTGAGCAGGAAGTACCATGACAAGGAGCGGAACCATGGCAATCCATGGATTCGATACACTGAGTAGCCAATCGAGATGATCTCCTCGAAGCATTTCACCTGCACGAGCAGCGTCTGTTGGCGGATAAATGGAGGTGCTAGTGAAATTCTTCTGTCCATTCATTTGAGATTATTGCTGAAATTTCAGCGGAATATTTCAATCTGTGGCATTTTGCCAAGTTTTCCCGTTCAAATAAAAATCCAATGAGATAATTTACAATGATTGCTACATGGGCGTAGCTCGTCAGATCGCAAAATCAAGCGATAAACTCACCGTGACCATTAGGGCCAGAGGACCTCCGTAGATGATCATGCCGAAGCCCGAGATCATGATCATCGTGAAGACACCACGAATGACCCAATTTCTCCATCGCGCCGGAAGTCCCGAGACGGCCGTCTCTAGCAAGTGTGGCACCTTATCCGTTCCCTGCTGCAGATTCTTCGCCATCTCCTCCACGTACTTCTCCTCCGGAAGCTTCTCCTCCTCCGAGTCAATCTGCAAGAGCGACCAAGACGACAGAGTGTCACTCAAAGGGAAAAACTCTCGCGTCACGACAGAACTGAGGCAAACAAGAGGGACATTTAGCAGAATAGATATGATTGACGCCCCCCTCGAAAGGTTTACTTGCCCTACTTTTCCATTCTCTGCTTTATTGGCCAAATTTCTCTACACTTTTATTGGGGTGGTAAAATGTCGAGTGGCCGATAAGATAGAGTGCAGATTATTAATTGAATTAAGAGTGTAGTATTTTCCCCCAAAAAGCTGCCATTTCTGCAAAATGGTGAGAGTTTGAGAGCAGAACTTGAGATAAAATTAGATCTTATTTACAAATAAACACACTTCACAGATCATCATTCAAACATTTGGTAAATAACCTGTATTTATTATGGATTTGTCGATTTTGTGATTTATTGTAAAGTGTCGGAATTTCTTGAACTTGTTATGGATCAATCTGATAAGATTTTTAAACCATAATAATATTATCAAGCTGTTTCATAAAATATTCATTGAGGTATCATTTCTTGCAATTTCCCTCACTTCCCCGCCACAGGATGTACCTAATAAAGGTCTTATCAGCCTGGCAAGAGATTAATTTCCGCTCAGCGGTTTCCTTTATCCTAAAACAAGGTCAACTGTTCGTCATTTTCACCCTCAAAGCAACCCCTTATCAATTCTCCCTCACTGACCGCTTCCCGAGATGCCTGCTGCACTTACAATTGGATCATTTAGTCTTAATGGGATTACTGAGAAGTGAATTGGCAAAGAGTTTTGAATTTATTGATTTTTCATGCAATTGCGCGACTTTTCCGGGCGCTTTTCCTTACATGGTCCGAGGAGTCAGCCGTTGCTTGCGGATTCTGCGGCTGTGGCGAGTCTCCCGCCCCCTTTCTACGTCTCACATCGTCCGTCATCCTGTCTGCGTTCACCTGCAATACTTTTCACACAATTTCCTGCACTTTTCTCTGCGGTTTTCACCGAAATTCTGAGCACAGCAGAGAACCTGCGTCCGAGAAAATAAGCCCGTGTCAAAACAATGGAGTCGAAGGGGTGTCCGATGAGACGGCGTCAATCTTCGGGAGACTTCGTGATGTGTATTTTTCTACATTTTGCTACACGCCATCAACCTTATCTGACGAAATGTGTGGTTAGACTGCTTTGTTGAGAATGAGCATTTCCGCAGAGCTTCACTGTCTTATCAACGCGATAAGGGGCTCTTTATCAGCACCCACTGATCATACGAGCCATCAAGTATCCAGTCGCAGACAGTCAGATTAATCCCGTACAACAGGCAACATTGTTGCTCGCCTCCAGAGTGTTCGTCATAAATCAAAACTTCTGCCAGTGACTTGAAATATCTCTAAAGCTCCAGCTGAGCTGCAAACGCCCTTGAAGCTTTCTAATTACAAATTTGCAAAGATGTCTTCGAATCGTGTACTGTCCATTCAGAGCCATGTCGTGCACGGCTATGTGGGCAACAAGTCTGCCACCTTCCCTCTGCAGGTAAAGTCCTCGCTAAACATCCTGACAGTGATTAGTAACTTTCTGTTTTACAGCTCCTTGGCTTCGATGTGGACACCATAAATTCAGTACATCTCAGCAATCACACGGGCTATCAGCACGTCCGGGGTCAGCGAATGAATGATGCTGAATTGCAGGATGTCTTCGAGGGCATCGTGAATAATGATCTGCACAAGATGTATTCCCACTTGCTGACAGGCTACATCGGAACCCCTGAGTTCCTCAGGAAGATCGTAGACGTCGTGAAGACCCTCAAGAAGGCCAATCCGAAGCTGATCTTCTGTAAGTCTCAATTGAAACTGGCTCTTGATCTCTCCTTGACCAGCAATTGTGTGCTTTCCCCGCAGTCTGTGACCCTGTGATGGGTGACAATGGTCGCTTCTACGTCCCAGAGTCCTTCGTGGAGATCTACAGAGATGAGATAATGCCATTCGCGGATATCGTGTCGCCCAATCAATTTGAGGCCGAATTGCTGGCTGGACGCACGATTGCGACCGAAGAAGATGCCTGGGCGGTGTTAGATTGGTTCCACTCTCGTGGAGTCAAGATTGCGGTGATCTCTTCCACCACCATTGGCGCCCCGGACAATCTTCTGGCCTTCCTCAGCGAATTGCCAGCGGGAAGCTCCACACCCAAGCGCTCTTCGCTCATGATGCCCAAGATTGGCAACGTCAACTTCACTGGCACTGGGGATCTCTTCACTGCCCTCTTCCTGGGACACACCACATCATGTGCACACGCCAGTGAAGCCCTGGAGAAGACCGTGGCCTCACTGCAGGCCGTCATTCGCAACACAGCCGCACGCTTGCCGGCCAAGAGAGAGCCTGGCGTGAAAGTGCCGTTCGAAGACAGAGAATTGCGCATTGTGCAAAGCAAAAAGGACATTGAGGAGCCCAAGGTTACCATCGGAGCCACGCTTCACCCTTGAGTGATTGCTTGAATGCGCAGAAGTTAAAAAAAAAGAAAAGAAAAAGACAAACACAAGCAAACAAACGTTGGATAAACAGGAAGTTAGAATGATTAGGAATAATTTGTAAATAAATTTAAGTTTGAGGGTTTTGTGACTCATATCAAAATTAGGACAATAAATCTATCTGTGAATAGCAATGATGAAAATATATTGGCATTGTCTCAAAACAATAATTGTATTTATTTTTATTCTCATATTCAATCGCTTCTCATGATGGGAAAACACAACTTCCCGTTTACAATTTCTTCCCAAATGGACAATTGGCTAAAATAAATTATATACTTCTTGGAGAAACGATCGAAAATATGTCTGAATCCCTCCCGGAAAATTCTTATTCTACTACAAATTTTATATATCCTCTTGTGTTTAGAGTTAGATAAGACGAAAGTAAATGGGACTGGAAACTGCCTCTTACTCTCTAACCTCATCAATTTGTGCTGGGACTGTCCGTTCCAGAGCCGCCGCTGTCCTTGGCCACATTAGTGTCATTCCTGGCGCCTCCGCCCTGCTTTTTGGACGTCTTCTTGAGCGCCGCCACTTCCTTCATCAGGCTGGTCACCTTCTGGTTCAGCGAGTCAATCTTCGACTCATACATCCTCTCTGTCTCCTTCAGCTTGCTCCTCAGCTCATTCTCAGATGTAAAATTCTTCGCCTTCAATTCGGTGATCTGTCCAGAAAGTTAGAAGATAAATCAGAATCCTCGCCAAAGATCTCACATCTTGACACCCACCATCTTGTCCTTCTGCAGCAGATCCTTGTCCTTCAGACTCAGCTTCTTCTGCAGACTGGCGATGGTCTCCTTCAGCTGCGTCATCGCCACAACGTGGTCCGAGCTGTTGGGATCGATGGTGCCACTATTGGCCACCCTGGCCATCTTCTCAGCCATCTCCGGCACGCCACCAGAGCCCTTGTTCAGCTCATTCCTGGCCACCTTCTTGGCGTTGTTCTCCTTGATCTGCTGCTGCGCCGTCTTGTCGCTGTTGTGGCTGCGCTTCTTCGACATCCGGCGCTCCGTTTCCACCTGACGCGCCTTCGCCAAGGCCCTCTTGTATGACAGCGTGCACAACCAGCACAGCAATTTGCCATCGATCTGCAAAGGTGAGAGAGAAAACATTCAGAGTGCAGGACATTAAATACATCTCATGACTTCTATGCTCATCATGCTAGGGACGCAACCATTCTTTCAATAAACTACAAATTACGTGATTCTTCGCGCGATATTCACAGAAGTATTGCACAATTTCAGTTGTGCTAAAATACACTATTCATAAGTAAAGTGACGATCTGATATTAGTTATGATTATGATATTGTTTGAAAATGTGTCTTATATCAATACAAATACAGATTCTTCTAACACTTCAGGGAGTCTCGATAAATGAATAATAAACACATTCGCTTACTCTTCTGTAGAAACTAAAATTGAATTAATAACTTCATTTCCTATGTTCCAAATTCATTAACTATTCAAATATAACCTTTCTTGCAGAGAAAACAAACATAAATTATTAAAGTATTCGATTACGGTAAAGAATAGTTAATATTCCATAAATATCATACGAAACTGATCAACTATTAATAAAAACGACCTGAATTTTAGGCCCGACAAGACTAATACAGTATTATTTCAAAAATAAAGCTAATCTGCATAAGTATAGAATAATCTTATGACTCATTTAATATTTAAAAGTCTGTCTTTAATACAATATGGTCCCTACGCTTAGAAACTACGTATTTCTCTAGTCACAAGAGAGGTTATCTTACAAGCTAGTTCTTAACAATTCCAGCTCTAGTAACAATATTTCCTAGAATATCGCTTTTCAAGTCTTCTCTCCAAATTCTGAGGCCAATCTTTCTGGGCCCCCGTCAAGCTGATCGTCGGAGGTTTAAGCGTCGCTACTGAGAAGCTCACTTGTGGATGACCAACGAACCTTCTTATTATCGTCTTGCCTATCGAAGGCACATCGCTGTTTACACTGTTCACACGTCACGGCAGGTCCGTATTTTAACTCGGAGTTTGTACACCTAATATCACAATATAGAATGGTTGCGTCATAAACATGGTATTTCATCAGAAAAAGAGAAGAAGCATTTCTCTCTCTCTCTCTCTCTAGGCTAGAGTGATATTCTTTGATTGAATGGAAAAGATATTCTGCTCGAAAATGGTGACGCATGAAATCGCCCGAGAATTCTGCTGGGCGAGAAATCGCTTGAGAATCGAGCCTCAAAAATCTCCTGCAATATTCTTTTTTGATTATGTTTCACGACATTTTGATGGGGTTTCGGAAACAGGTGGAGTTTCACATGTTAAATCTTGTGTTATTCACAATCATTATCATCCACTTTTTACTCTCTCGGCATAATCAAAAAATAATGAGGATTTCATTGAGGATCAACTCAGGACATCCCACAGAACACTAGGGTGACTTCTCACTGGGCAGGTTGAGGTGAATTGAGGAGAGAAAAGTTATGAGAAAGTGACTTTTTCAACGAACCTTTGGCATTTTGACCCGATAAAGGCGGCAATTATGTTGCAATATTCACATGCTGACGGCTTTCCGTACTGCTTCACATTCTGCTCGCACTTCTTGCAAATCGTCGAGGTGCTGCCCTTGCTGGGAAAGATAGAAAAGATCAAGATGTAGAAAAGATTGCATCGATAATCTTCATGAAGAAAGCATGTTTCATTCAAAATTTCCTCAGCCGAGACACATTTCCTGCAGTCCACCCCCATGTGACTCGGATAAGAATGGAATCCGGATGCAAAAAGAACCCCAATTCTCGCTGAGAGTCACCTGCTCTGTTGAAATTCAGATCTGCAATATGTGCACTTCACGATGGGATATGCTCCACGACATTCCTATAAGAGAAAGAAGCAAAAATTGCCAATAGATTCAAACTTTTGACTGTTATACAAAATTCTAGCAGCGCTTTGTATGACAGCGACAATGGGGTCAAGCTTTTGGGATCATTGCCACAAATTCAAGGGCGATTTTGACACACTCGCAATGTAAATATCCGCCATTTGGCGACGGAAATACCTCAATTGGTGTGCCAAGAACAATTCCTGAACACCACAGGTGCTCCCGGATGGCAAAATACCTGGCAAATGCTCAACATAGTGACGCCACTCTATTGGTCACATTTTCACCACTTCGATCACCAGATTTTGTGGCAATTTCACACAAAAGCTCTTCCCAGGCACAGCCAAAGCATGCGGAACACCCACAGAAGGCGTAATTCACAGAACATCCCCTCGGAAAATGGGGGAAATCCCGATGCGTCTTTGTCTCACTAATCACCTTGCAGAGTTGCTGCCCTGGAGACAATTCATGGAACTCGTGGCGTGTGAAGCACTTGGAACAGGCAAATAGAACCACTTGCGCACTCATTTTAGTCCTTTTTGCAATTTCTCAACTAATTTTCCACCTATTAACCACGCAAGAACGTCACATAAAATATCTCGTCACGAGCAATATGGCGACTGTGCTAAAAACCCGATGGCATCACAGCGCCGCTATTCTCGTTTGCGAAAGAATCCGCCAGAGGCGCTGCATGGACAGGAATTTGAAAGGTATAACGATTTACAATGGGAATTTTTTCTAATTTTACAAATCGTCTGCAAAAAATATGTAAAATGTTTTATTTCCTGTTGTAGTGATGTAAATCATCGGGGAATAGTCAAAAATTGCCATAGTCATCAAGAGGATCGACTTTTGGACGCAAAACAATCAATTGAAGGCAATTCAGATAAGAAGGAGATTCCGAGTTTCGCTCAAGAAATGATAAAGGGTGATATAAATCAAATTTCGTTGACGGGGAGATGAATGAATTTTTCAGGGGACACTTGATAGATGTAATTAAGCTGTATTTAATCGAGATGTTGAGCAGCCAACTGCCTTATCAATGTTTATGCGCGGAAGATTTCACAAAGTGAGGGGGTTTTCAAGTTAAACTGGACAATAAACTTTATGTTCCATCATCTTCCTGATCAACTTTTGGGTTTTCCATTCTATGAACCCCAATTGCGTCTATCAGAACGGACCAGTTGACGACTACCGCGGAGGACCGTGATAAGAAGCCGATGGAAACGTATAAAAGCTGGAGTCTCTCAGAGGCGTGCTCACAATTGTGACTCCCAAAGTGCAGTGATGAAGACCCTAGTAGTGTTGTCAACCCTCCTGGCCGCCGCTCTGGCTGTGCCAAGTAACGTTCGATGGAATTACTCAAGAGTTTCGTGACTAATTCAGCGCTCTTACAGCCCTTCCCCTGTCTTCCGTGGGCAGCGGACGAATTGTGGGAGGCGTGGATGCCCTGCCTGGTGAATTCCCTCAGATTTGCTCCCTGCAGTGGGTTCTGCTCACAGCCAGTACACATATGTGCGGAGTGTCCATCATCCAAGGAGTATGTATTTTTGTTGTTTGTTGGGGTTCTCGTACAGGAGGCAAAATGGTCGCTTGTCGCCTCCTGTACGAGAACCCCAACAAACAACAAAAATACATACTCCTTGTCCATCATCAACAACAACTGGGTCCTCACGGCCGCCCACTGCCTCACCGAATCCCCCAACATTGGACGCCTGGAAGTGCTCTGCGGTAAGCTCAACTTGGCCATCACGGAGCCCAATCAGGCTCGCGTTGGCATCGCCAATCAGGTCATCCATGACGAATGGGTAGCCGGAGGCGTGGGACCATACGACATCGCTCTGGTTAGTACACTTCAACTCGCAGCTCATCACAGTAATTGCTAGAGGAATACCAATCTTTCTACAGATCCGATTGTCCGCTCCACTCATCTACAATCCCTGGATCCAGCCAGTGACTCTCCCGACGCCCGGAACTCATCCGACCGGAGCCGCCACCATCATTGGTTGGGGAAACACGGCCACCGGCCAGATTCCCAACAATCCCGACATCCTGCAAAAGGCCCCAGTGCCCATCATTGCCTACGCTCAATGCCGCGCAGCCCTGGAGGCCCTCAATGCCGGCCATGTGTTCAGTGACGACAAGATCTGCACTGGTCCATTGACTGGTGGCATCAGCGCGTGCAGCGGTGACTCTGGATCGCCAGTCCTGCAGGGCAACACGCAAGTAGGAATCGTCTCTTGGGGCTTCATTCCTTGTGGTGGTGCTGGCGCCCCATCAGTCCACATGCGTGTGTCTCACTTCATCGGCTGGATCAACACTATCATCGCTAACTGAGTGCTCAAGAACTCTATCAGTGGCGCGCCGTGTGGAAAACAAGGGCGCGAGTAATAAAATTCTGCCATCCGAACACAATCCGTCTTTTCAATCTCCTCCAGCGATATGACAGAATTGACGTGTCTCAGAGATTAGATCGCCCATTGCTTCATCTTTCTTTAATTCACTTGTCTCTAGAATTATTGAGAGATAATTACATAGAACACATATTTACAAATAAATCCATCGCATTCATCGAGACGAGCCAGTGAACTCATCTGCCGGCATTTCCCGTGTTGTTGATCTGCGTGGGCGACGCTGTGGCACCCGAAGAGGCGCCCGCCTGGACGCCCTGGAGATCGCTGGTCGTCTTGATCTGCTGAATGGGCACGATGTTCACCATCCGCGGATTGATCTGCGTCACAAACTGCTGCCCCGACGTCACGGCGGCACCGCTGTTCTTCAGATTGGCATACATGATCCTCTTCCTGTCCACATCGATCACCATGTTCAGTCCCCGCGCCGGCTGCGACTTGATCGTGGCAATCTTCCCATCCGCCGTGGTGGCCAGATGGCCCACCGTGGTGCTCTCGCTGGCCTTCAAGCCCGCCGAGTTCACTTTGAGACTCGGCCCCTGACTGAAGCGCCCCTTGGGCTGTGCCACAACCACCTTCTGCGGCGATGCCACAGGACTCGCGCTGTGCATCACCACCTTGTTGGCGCCCTGGAAGACGGGCTGGTGCGTGAGAAAGACCGGTTGCGTCTGTGTCAGTGTCACTAGGCTCTGTTGTCCGCCACCCGTGGACACAGCTTGAAACAGACTTCTTCCTCGCGCCACAACTGCAAAAAAAAATCCCAGAGAGATGAGAAACGCATCCTTTCGCAAAGAAAACCAGCAACTCACCGTTTTTACTGTCCTGCGAGCCATTGAGTACACTCCTGGAGGCCGTTGAGAGTCCCAGAACGATGCTTTGAGGCTCAGAAGCTGACGTTGAAGCTCCCTGCGCTGCCGCCGCGGCGGCGGCCTGGGACTCAATCTGGTAAGCCACAAGAGGAACGTCATCACTATCATTGGACGTGTCAGCGATGTTCTGCTCCACTTCCATCCTCTCTGCGGACGCTCTCCGAGAACTCCTGGCTTTGCTTGGCAATTGATCCGATCTTCGATTCGTCATATCTGCCACGGCAAACTGGGAACATCCGACGGTTACCTCGGGATCGACTGGGGTGTCCTGAAGGGCGGCAGCGAGATCACTGTCCAGATTGAGATCACTAGAACTGATAAGATCGTCGAGTGTGAAGGGCGTGGGGTAGAAGACATTGTCTGACAGCAGTAAATCACACGTGAGACTCCTGTCCTCGATAGCTTGAATCTCTAACGCATAATCCCGCTCGTCCAGCTCCATTCGCGGCGATTCCACATGGAGATCCGGACTCTTGGGATGGTAGCACGACAGAGAATCCACAGTGAAGTCGCCTTTCCGCATCATATCTCGCACATCCTGCGGCACAACCTCCTCATAGTCCGCCAAGTCCTCCTCGCTCCGCCACTCCACACCATCGCACACCTCCTCACTCTCTCTCAACGGATTCACGTGATTTGTCACCGCATCTTCCACCTTCAATACTGCCTCCTCCGCACCCTCCTGACCATTGCACTGGTCACCCTCGGCTTCCTCCAGCTTCACCACGATCGGCTGCTCCGCCTCCTTCTGGGCCTTCCAACTGTCGAAGATCGTGTAATCCAGCTTTGACCACACATCATCGACATTGCCTGATAGCCGGTCAATTACCACACGGCCACCGCGGCCTATTCGACGCCGCACGAAAGCCCGCTCACGCGGACGCACGGCGCCCAGTGTGAACTTACACCGGTAATCAGGCAGAACGTGCCGGCCCCGGGACGCTCTTGACCAGCCGCCCACACCACTGTGGATGGGCCGCTTGTATTGACAGTTCAGGTTGCGCCGGAAGGCAAACACGCCCTCCTCCTCCGGCATCTCTGGCGCCCCCGACAGGTTGTACAGCAACTCATCGTCCTCTGACGACACCAAAGAATCACCGCCACCTGCAGACAGATGCGCATTAGACACAAGAAACGCTACAAATTCATCCACAAAATGTACCTGGAATTAAGTTTCCTCCCGCTGCCAGCGAACCACCCTGGGTTCCGCGTGGAATGTATTTGTGTTTCCTCTTCTTGTACTGCCTCTTCTCCTTGCGCGACGACCCGCTGTTGGCCACCAGATTCATGTCCAGATCCCCCTTCACGCCGTACATCTGCGAGTGGTGGTGATGACCCGAGTACTGCGAGTAGCTCAGATTGTTGGAGTTGGCCCACATTGCCGTGGAAGCAGACGAATGGGATCCGGTCATGTGTGAGTATTGATTGCCCAGGAGAGGCGCAAAAGCAGATCTGCTGCGAGAGGGAAACACAAATATCAGCCACTCAATATTCCAGATGAAGAAACACTCCGCAGGAAATACCTGGCATTCTTGGAGGCGCTCGATGAGTACTCAGCCAGAAGATGGCCACTGTAGTCCCGAACTTGGTATCTTTTCTCAAAAACTTCAATGCTCAGATGCAAATGTTCACGCTTAGCCTTTTCCCGCCTCTTGATCATTTCCAGGAGTGTCACAGCTCGACTGAGATCTCGTCTGAAAAGGTAAATAAATACATTCATAAATCCAGAGAAAATCACCCAAAATATAGCGACAAACCTCAGTTTGAGCATCTTCTCATAGGAAGCCTCGTCATTCTTTCGATTCTTCCTTGTCTGCATCTTCTCCGTTCGCCTTCTAAATGCCAAGTAGGGATTATTAGCTGTCTGTCCGCCACGATTCTCCGTCTTCACCGACAGGATCAGGGGATGTTGCTGCAAGAGACGAGCATTTGTAAGCTCTCGAAACCCTTTGAACTTCCTCCAAAGAGTCCTCACCGTCTTCAGTCGCTTGTTCAACCAATAATCGTACACTGCAATACTGATTTCGTCATCCTGCTTAAGTAGCGCCTTCGCCTCGTTCAGCGTGATCACCGTCTGTCCGGAGCTCTTCTCCAGTCGGTCCATCATCTGCTCGAATTTGTATGGATTCAAATCCAGCCGTGAATTCACCCACACCTCATCGCCGCTGTCCATGTCGTAGTCCGGGATGTCCTGCTCCATGTTGAACGCTGCAAGAGGCATAGAATTAGGGGACAACTCTAGAAGGGATACCAAGCGTCTCCTTACGCTGCATGTGGATCATCTGTCGCGGCATCTTGTAGTCCTTGGGATAGTTTCTATCGTAGAACTCAGGATCCGTCTGGAAAACCTCTGGCGTGGGGATGATGAGACCAGTGCAGATGGCACGTTGCAAATGGTGCTCCTGCAAATACAAAAAACAAATCACCATGTAAAATACCTACAAAAAACAGCTATTCTCCCAAAAGAACAAAGCACTCAGGTATCCAACAAGAACAGATGCTTTTTGGGCATTGTTTACATTCTGCGCGAAAGTCTACTCGAGCGCCCGCGGGAATTGTTGACGCGTCAGAGCCCAAGCCTGCAGTCAGGCGGGCATCCTTGCTCAACACCAGTGAGCCCAAGAGATCTCTGGCGCGCTATCCGCGAGCATTATGTTGCGCCCGAGCATATGTATGTTGCGGGGCGCGTGTGTGTGTGCGCTCTAAGATGGCGTAGTGGAGGCCCAACTTACGGACTCCTCTTCCTTCTCCATGCCGCTGGGCATCTGGGGCACAGCCCTGTTGATGGCCGAGTACTCGGGCAGGTCGGGCAGCTCGTCCGTCAGGTAGATGGGCAGGGGCTTGGACGGGTCCAGGGCCCTCGCCCGGAAACTCAGCTTTGACATCCTCTCCTCCCGTGTTTGTCTGTGTGCGTGACAACTAAGTGTGGCGGAGGAAGAAACTCCACGATGCGTCCCTCGCGCCGATTCCCTCACTGTACGCTACACCGCCGCATCGCCACGGACTCGGGGGGCATCCATTGGGGTGTGTACGACACGCGGAAATGCACTCCAAGGGGGCTTTTTTTCGCCAAAAATACAAGAGTAGTTTTCTGCAACTTTGACCTGTCAAAATGTTTGGACTGTCACTGAATGGGGTGTGCGAGGTTTCTCGTGCTCACCGCACTGACTCACTGGCGTCGCAAGCCACTAAAAGGGGGCGCGTTTTTCGATAAGTCGCCCGGTTGACTGAGTCCACGCCATGTGATGCAAGCCTCGATTTGTTTTGATCTCTTTCCGCGGAAATCCAGTGAAAACATACAGGAAAAAGGTGAGTTTTCCCGCTGAATTGTGAAACAGTTTAATTGATTTACTGATTTTACAGGAAAGCATGTCCAAACCAATAACATTTGTCACTGGCAACGCCAAGAAACTCGAAGAAGTCGTTGCAATTTTGGGCCCATCGTTTTCTCGTCAGCTCATTGCCAAGAAGATTGATCTGCCTGAACTACAAGGTGAGATTGAGGAGATTGCTCAGAAGAAATGTGAAGAAGCCAGTCGACAAGTGAAGGGCCCAGTCCTAGTGGAAGACACTGCTCTGTGCTTCAATGCCATGAAAGGACTGCCCGGGCCCTATTGCAAGTGGTTCCTGGAGAAACTGGGTCCCGAGGGACTCTGGCAAATGCTTGAGGGATTCAAGGATTACTCAGCAGAAGCCGTGTGCACATTTGCCTTCACTGAGGGTGAAAATGAGAAGGTTCATCTCTTCTATGGCAGAACACCGGGCACAATTGTTAGTCCTCGAGGACCTCGAGACTTTGGATGGGATCCGTGTTTCCAGCCAACGGGATACACTGAGACCTACGCTGAAATGGACAAGAAGGTGAAAAACAGCATCTCCCACCGATATCGCGCCGTGGATAATTTTAGGGACTTCATCTTGGCACAAAAGTGATTCCATTAAAAATCGTATTTGAATTCCAGTGGAGGGTGTTCCAGTCGGGCTGCGCATCAGTGCTGCCACCCGCTGTCAGTCGTCATTCTCGGGCGATCGTGTGAACAGGTGAAAATTCGCCTCTGGCGCTCACAAAAGTCCCAATTTTCCGCGGAAAAGCACACCTCGACTCCACTATCACCTGTGATTCCCCCCAACTGTGACCCGCGCTCTATTGACACAGTTTTGCTGGTGAATTTTTCACATTTTGTCGGCGTGAAAGTTTCCCGGATTGAGAAGTCGCGTTTCAAGGATTTTCACCGGATTTTCGAAGCATTCTGTGTACACAAGTGTGAGGAAAAGGGTCAAGAGGTAGAAGAAAGCAGCGCGTTGAAGAGGTAAATTGGGGTGTTCTGTTTGCTTCGCACAAGTGGGCGCCTTTCTCACCACCCAATGCCCACTTTGCCCTTTACAGTGCCAGCCAGCTGTGGTCATCCATTCTGCTCCCCGATCTATGTGACTCCCTGTCTGACTCCTCAGCACTTCAAAGCGCCCCACAGCTATGAGCCACCTTCAGGGCACTAAGGCCAACATCACGGCCGTCTCCGACAGCCCCGTGATGGACCCCGGCTCCGTGACGAAGGTGAGTAACGACTCCGTCAATCACGGCAATCCGGCAATCTGACTGGCGATTGACACAATCTCGTGAGCAAATCTTCCGTCAACGCACGAGCTGACAGAGTGGCCAGAAACTGGATAAATCTTGCGAGAAAACACGCCCAATTTCCACTGTTTACTCGCCCAAAGCGCGGCTGCAAGACAGCGACAGTGGCACATCGCGCACTGTGTCTGCCTTTGGCCCGCACGAGCCTCACAAATTACCATAATTACACGATTACGATTGCTGTGTTTTTGCCCTTCTGCAGTCTTTCAAAAGCTCTTCGAAGAAAGCCAGACGATTCGGGTGGTGTTTTTTTTCTGATTATGGCGCTAAAAATGGACACTCTTTTATTACTGAAATTTAGCTGTTCAGGATAAGGCGTATTGAGGGCAACTTAGCTGCTCATTGATAAATTCACACCGGTGTTAACACTCAGTACTCCATTTGAACGGTGTTTCATTCGACCGCTGGTCTAAGTTAATTAGTAAAAAGGATCTGGTGGTGTATAAGAAGATTTACAATGCCAGGAAACATGGGAGGAGCTTCAAAATATGCAGAACTTTAATGTAATTGAATTGGCGAGCAAAATCATTTCAATCGATCCGTGAATACAAAATTGACAAAATTGTCTACCATTTGAATCGGAACAGATATAATTGTGCCATTGGCAAGCGCCATGAGTGAAACACTCTCGTGCAAAGCTCTCAAGTTCGTCACGTTTCTGTTAATTGGATATTTAAATTTAGAAAAATATAATAACATAAATAATCGGCATAAAATGCAATCGAAGCGAACTTCTATTGCAACCCTAGGAAGCATTTAAATGCTTTTTACGTCTGTAAAGGCAAAAACGCCGCGCGCTGGTGAAAATGCGACGTACAGTTTGAAAAATCGAAGGTGGGAGAGTGAAAATTGCATTGGGATTTGTGCTTGAAGTGAAAACCTTGATGACATCATAAATTGCTCGTCTGTTTTTCATGCATTTTCCCCTTCACTTTTTCCTTGTTTAATTGCCACCATTTGTTGGTAGCTGAGATTTCTGGGGTGTTTTTTTTTTTTGCTACTATCAGGTCGGCAATTTACGTCGCGATGTCCCAGAAATATATCAATAATCACATGGCATAAATTGAGTGTTGGGCGAATGGCCGAAAATCAGTGTGGATTAAGGTTGAAATGATTAATCGACATGCCGGTGACTGACTTTGCTGGGGTCAGAGATACGCGAGGGTGGCATTAAAATTGAAAAGGGTGTCTTATCGCTGTCAATTTGGCGCTGCAAGTGACTGATAAGAGGCATCAATTGAGGCCACATTGGCCAGTTGTTCTCAATACCAGTGCTCACTTTTGTGTGTTTCTTTTTTTCTCCTTTTTCCAGGAGACCAAGACAACGTCAGGGGCTCTGAAGAAGAGCAGTCGCTATCGCAGCCGAAGCTTATCAGCCTCTTCAACGGATTCATTTAGTTCAGGTATACTCTTTATCTCTCTACTCTCGCGGCTTGACGCCATGGCAAATATATTTCGCAACTGGGCACTATCGCACACTCGCAAACGGCGAAAGATTAGGCTCAGCCCTCTTGACGATCCAGGAGAGTCTCCAGAAGAGCACCGAATTTCCATTGATGGCGAGAAGTGGAGCAATAGAGCGGCTTTATTTATTTACTCTCTCGGTTACTGACTCGATTGGTATAATTGATGAGGGCAGAAATATCCAGAAAGTGAAAAGCAGACAAAGAGAAGCCAGAAAGTGGTGGACAAAAGCAGTTTTGAGAGGAAACTTCTACAAGTCAATGGTTAAACAGATGGGAAAAGTATTTACTAATCCAGATATTGTATCGTGATTTGCTTCTTGGCAATTGAGATTTCAGAAGAGAGAATTTTGTGTTGATCTAGTGGCCAAGTAATGAAAGACAAGAACTGTCGCCGGGCGAAAGGGAGTGCCAATCGACGTGAGAACATGTGGAGAATGTGTGGTGGGAAAAGTGCTTTGCTGAAATTGATAGAGGCGAATTAAAGTTGAGAGACAAAAGAGTGCACAACTACAAGACGAGGTATTAACACGTCGCTCGAATTAAATTCCTAATTAAATATTGATACTCCTCCAACATTGGCACACCGGTTGGCCGTCTCAGCCGTGCAGTGTTGCTCAAATTGTCGCGTCAGGCAGTGCTTTAGTTAACTAAAGTCCCTCTTCAACTAGTCTTCTGTAGTGTGTTTAGTTTGGGAGATAGGAAATTTCCACCTGAGACCATGTGTAAATATCATATTGCTCTTTCTTATGAATAATTCTATAACATTGTGGGAGATTTTGCTGAACTGGAGCGATGAGAGTGTGTGTGCTATTCGTTATGCAATATAAATTAATTGGATGATATCTCAAGATCGATTGGAAGCGATCTGTGTGGGGCTATAAATTATCTTCTTATCGGCAGTTTCAAATGTAGTTGAACATTCGCTTTGAGATGCACTGAGAGAAATTCATTAACTCCTTTCAGCTTCCTATACTGGCAGCAGTTCGGAGGATGAGAGTTCACCGCGCGAGAAGACGCAGAAGAATTCATCGGGATTCACGGACTTTTGTGTGCGCAACATCAACCAACATGCTTTTGGACGGCGTGAAATTGAGATTGCCGAGCACGAGATGCCCGGAATTATGGCACTGCGGAAGCGTGCGTGTGATGACAAGCCGCTGAAGAATGCCAAGATTGTCGGGTGCACGCATATCAATGCCCAGACTGCGGTTCTTATTGAAACTCTGGTGGAATTGGGGGCCACAGTGCGCTGGGCAGCGTGTAACATCTATTCTACGCAGGTAAAGTAGGAAGAAAACACCGTGAAATTGAGACATTTTGAGTACTATTTGGCCAGTTGACTAAACAATACCAAATCACGAGACTCGATAGCAAGTAGATCAGTAAACAATGTCTCTCTCTCTCTCTTTCTTCCGGGTAGAATGAAGTGGCGGCCGCCCTGGCTGAGGCTGGGTATGCCGTGTTTGCGTGGCGCGGAGAGACGGAGGAGGACTTCTGGTGGTGCATCGATAAATGCGTGAATGCAGAGAATTGGCAACCGAATATGATTCTGGATGATGGTGGCGATGCTACGCATCTCATGCTCAAGAAGTACCCAGCCATGTTCAAACTGGTGCGCGGCATCGTTGAAGAGAGTGTCACAGGTGTCCATCGGCTGTATCAACTGTCGAAGGCTGGGAAGCTCTCAGTGCCTGCTATGAATGTCAATGACTCGGTGACCAAGACCAAGTTCGACAATCTGTACAGTTGCCGTGAATCCATCATCGACAGGTGAGTTGCGTTCAAGAGGGACGTGCAAGTCTGTAAATCATTGCTCTTCTGTTGCAGTCTGAAGCGCTCCACGGACATCATGTTTGGCGGGAAGCAGGTGGTGATCTGTGGGTATGGCGAGGTGGGCAAGGGCTGCTGTCAGGCGCTGAAAGGATTGGGCTGCATTGTGTACATCACGGAGATCGACCCGATTTGTGCTCTGCAGGCCAGCATGGATGGCTTCCGCGTGGTGAAACTGAACGAAGTGATCCGCAATGTGGACATCGTGATCACGGCCACGGGGAACAAGAATGTGGTGGTGCGTGAGCACATGGATAAGATGAAAAGTGGCGCGATTGTGTGCAACATGGGACATTCCAATACGGAGATTGATGTGAACAGTCTCCGGACGCCGGATCTGACGTGGGAGAAGGTGCGTTCGCAGGTGGATCACATTGTGTGGCCGGACGGTAAGAGGATCATTCTGCTGGCTGAGGGTCGTCTCGTGAACCTCTCCTGCTCCAGCGTGCCCTCGTTCGTTGTCTCCATCACGTCGGCGACACAGGCGCTCGCGCTCATTGAGCTCTTCAACGCCCCCGCGGGGCGCTACAAGTCAGACGTGTATCTGCTGCCCAAGAAGATGGGTCAGTTTATTGATTAATCAAAAGCATGATTTGAGTGTTAATTTCTGATCTTCTTCGACTGCTTACAGATGAATACGTGGCGAGTCTCCATCTACCAACATTCGATGCCCACCTGACGGAGCTCACGGACGAGCAGGCCAAGTACATGGGCCTCAACAAGGCGGGACCTTTCAAGCCCAATTATTACAGATATTGAGAGGCGGGAAGGATGCAGTATCCTTGGCGCAATTAAGAGTATTTCTCAATCTTTATTTTTTTTCTTCAACTCGGCAAGAAAGCATTTTATTCTGATGCATTTTTCCTCAACTTATATACTTTAATGAGCAGATAGAGAGATTCTTTTGTCTCTTATTTTTTAACATTTTTTTCCCTCCCCACACTAATCTTTTAGTACGTATAGTAGTTGTGAAACTTAGTCAATTGAGAGCTGATCAGCTCTCGAAGGTTGGGACGATAACGAATAAAGTATGTAAATTCCGTTTGCGAAGGTTTCGAAGGGCGCTGAGTGGGTTTGTTGTATGATAAGGACGCGTATGTACTTACATATGTCTTCTTGATGTCTATAATCAATCCCATTAGGTCTCTTCAGTGACTAAGATATATACCCAAGAAGGACGAGAATGTCATGCGGAGAATGAATTTATTTGTAAAAATTTTTAGAATGATCAGAATTCAGTTGAATAATGTGAAGCGATTTCAATTCCCTATTTTGCCACTCATCATGAGATCAACGACCCTCTGCCTGAGTGACTCGCTTTCTTTCAATTTGGTCTCCAGATGCTGAATGCGAGCGTCCTTTTTGGTGACTTCCTGCAAAGGATATTCCAGAGAAGATTACAAAATGACGTCTACTGAAGAAACGGCGATCTTACCTTCTTTTGCTCATCCATGGCTTTCTGCATGATCTCAGCAGATTTCTTCTGTTCCTGCACTTCGGAATTCAGTGATCTGACAGCTTCTTTCAGTTCCTTTTCCTTTGCTTTGGCTTCCTCGCGTTCTTTCCTCGCTAATTCAAGCTTCTTGGCGTCTTCCTCAATCTTGCCATTGACTTGCGTGAGCGCAATCTGAAGGGAAGTGATTGTCTCCTCGCATAGAGCAATCTTTCGCTGAGCCTTTTCATTGGTAATGTCATAGTGGCTCAAGAGAGATCTTACAGAGTCCCTCTCCGCCTCCATCGTGGCAATCTGGAGTTTTAGTGAGGAGATAAAACGTTGGCTATGCTCAATCTCCTGCTCATGGATTCTATTCACAGTCTTCGAGTAGGCAATTTGATGCTGCATGAGAATAGCAGCAGAAGAGATGGTCATATTACTAGGAATATTTGTAAAATCCTTCAGAATCCGATCAATTTCTCTTGATTGCTTCTTCAGCACTTGAACAGGCACAAAAGTGTCTTCTGGACGAGCACGACGACAATCAGTCTGTCTCTTCACTGGTGACTTATGCATGAGACGTGTGATTCTTTCCCTGGGGAAGTTTGTATGCTGAGCCAAATTTAGGCAGCAAGTGAACATCTCTTCATGTCCTCTGGAAAATCCCTCGGCGATGATTTTCGCAATCTCTGGCGTCTTGAATGCCTCATCTGCTTGTCCATACCACTGCAGTGGCTCCACAGTTGAGAAGTTGGTCAGGAGATCGAGGCAAGTCAACAATAAGAGAATTTTATCATCTTTCATCTTATCTATAGCCTCGCCCGTTGGAATCATGAGCAATTTCTGTATCTTCTCCCGACTTACTGCACTTATAATGCTACTCTGACACGCTGGATTCCTCACAAATACGCTAATCAGTTTGAGAATTGACTGAGATTTCGCTTCCTGATCCAGCCATGTGGCTAATTCCTTCCACATCCCATTCAGGCGTTCCACAGACGGACTTCGCAGTTCAATGTTTTCCGTACCGAGAATTTGAAGAAGCCGGAGAGCATGTACGTGAACATTGGAGCCTTTCATAAGGCTCTCCAGTGCGAAATCCATAAGCGATTCATGAAGATCCTCAAGAGAGTGTCCGGCCATTAAAATACCACTAAAAAGTCTCAATCCTGCGATTACAAAAGCCTCATCGAGAGGATCTTGCAGTCTCTCAAGGATTTTAAGCACATGCTGATTAAAGAGATCTGAGTATTCTCCAAGAGGCTCATCAGTGAGTTGCAGAAGAAATTCAAAGCATTCCTGGCACGATTCTGCGTCTCCTTGACTGATTAATTTGTCGATCTCTCTAAAGATGGCCAGTAAAGTGTTCCAGAAAATCTTATTATCCCTCGAGTAGATTCCTATGCCATAGAGGATCCTCAAAGCCAGGAGTCCGTAGCCTTCCTGTGTAATAATCTTCTTGGTGAGATTCTTCGTATTGCAATACTTGCAGAGAATATCAATTCCCGGTCGACTTTGACATAAATTCACTAGAATTGCCAGACTGATCTTCGATCTATCGAAGGCTGCCTCGACTATTCCGTCCACGAGGAAAGGTATGAGGCTGATTAGAAATATTTCAGGAGTTTCCATCCGGAAACCTTTTGTGAGCTTGTTCAAGACGCAGAGAATTTCACTATTTTCCTCCATCTCTCTATTTAGAAGACAGTTGGCCAACAGTGAAATGAAGTCCATCTTCTGTAGGTGTTTCCGGATCTTAGGATTGTTCCCAAGTTCCTTCAGAATGCCTAGGAGTTGATTCAGACCTGAAATATTGCATTGCGTTGAAGCATGTTGCGCATGATTCAGTACCAGTAATGCTTACTATTGGAGTCTTTGCAGCAGAAATCCAGCATCTGGTGTAGCTTAATGAAGAGTTCGGCCGCCGAGGGATCATCCAAGGTGTGCTCATTATTTCCCAGTCCATCCAAGGAATTGCAGAGATTCTGTAAACAAAGAAGTGCTGTATACTCTTGTCGACCCTTCACTTCCCCTTGCATTTCTACTTACTCTCGAGTCTTCGAGCAGAATATCCTCATCAGTATAAGTGTTCTCGTCAATCTTTGCCAAGTGCGCAGCCAGTGATTTGATGGAATCGTGGAAATTCATAGTATTCTGAGAGAAAAGCCGGGAAACCACCAAGAAACGCCAAGAGACACACAGGAAAGCACCATTCAAAATGAATTCGATGCCAACTTCACTGCATTGGAATGTTTCGTGGTACATTCGTGGGACAGTAGAGCAATGTTGGCAGCCATGCAGCAGATGTACACAAACCCGCCATTTTGCATCTTTTTCCATCAGTCAAATAATTAATTTACCCAGTTGTTGCCCTCCATTGACCCCATTCTTCCGTCCAAAATCCCCCGGGAGGCATGTCAATTCAATTAATATGCCTTACACTGTCCGGTGGCATCCCGATATTCACGCGCAAGAAAGGAGAAGGTGAGAATGTGAGTGTTGTTTACAGATCAACATGAAATTTAGAAAGCACTAAAATGCCCGGAATTTGTATTTTTTAGCTCTCCTTCTCGACCATTGGATCTCTCAATGGTGTTCACATGTTCTGCAAAAGTCAGGGACAAAATCTGAGGAGTACAGCGTGGGATGATGGCCTTCTGGTGTGGCAGGAGTTCGCAGACACCTTCCTGGTCGTGGGTTTTGGCCGGGGAATTGGCGAGAAAGTCCTCAGGCGGCTAATAAACTCCACTTTTAGCAGCATGATCTTCACTGTGGGCCTGCCAGAACTTGAGAACTATCACTCAGTGGAGCGCCTGAAGAGAGAACTCCAGCCGGCCTGGAGTGTCATCGATCATCTCCTCGAGAGTGCAGATTGTGAACTCATTGGCTTTACGGATTGCATTCTCAGTCCACAAAATGCAGCAATTCTTGAAAAACTGACAGAGTTCTGTGGTCAATTTGGCTCAGATTATGCTTGTTTAATGATCCGACAGAGGATTTCCGCTGCCACCGAAGCCTGGTGGGATTTGCACCCCGATGATCGACAGCTTCTGTTCACACTCATTGCCACTTCGAGTTCCCTACAAAAGGACACGCCAGTGTTTTTGCCGCAGAAGAGTCCAACGATCGCTTACAGACTCGTGTCAATTCCTATTCTGCAAAACATCAATATTTGCCTCTTGTGCGGCGCCGAGCCGCCCTACAAAGACGTTGAAAACCTGGTGCATCAGGTCTGGCGGCCAGACTTGAAGACACTGGAGTTGGCGGAGCAGTGCTTCCCACGCAATTTTCCTGCCAGTCTGGAATTGGACGCAGGAATCTTGGGCATCTTGCTGATCAACCGCGCCCAGGCAAAATATGTGATCTCCAGGAACATTCAGCAATCCAGCACGGGCAAGAGAAGCGTCTCCGGAGCCCACCGACTGGACATCCTGCGCACCTTCTTCCACCAGGCAGCGGACATGATTGACGACTACCTGGGCAACTTGGCCGTGCACGCAGAGTCCTACTGGTGCTCGGATTACCACAAGTGTCACGCGCTCGTGCAGGAGGACAACCTTATTTGCGTACTATACGTGGCGGCAATACCCACGCACACGATGCGTCTGATATCGCAGAAGACGCTCAGCATGATTGTGGGCAGCAAAGATACTTGTTGGTAATTTTTTTTACTATTAAATATTCTGCTATTAACTCTATTCGCAACAATTAATTGATGGATCTACACCAAAAAATTCATTTTTAAAACGATTTTACGTTGATTTGAAACCATTCAAAGTCATAGTCAATTCATTGCAAACTTCAGGGGTTTGTGTCTTCACTACGCAAGTAAAAGGGTGAAATAATTTGTGAAAACAATTATTACACATCTGATTAGCGGTTTTCCATGGCGCTCTGTGGCAAAAAAAAACACTTTACAAGCCTTCCAATTGACCAAACACACCTATAATGAGCGATAAAGAACTGAGAGATTTCAATTTGGCCCCATAATCTTGATTTATGAACACCTCTCAACATCTACAATGTTTTCCCGCGATCGTGAGATAAAAAGCAAGCTGCTCTTATCAATATCCAGGGGACTCCGCGAGCCCATTGTTGCCCCCGTCGTGCTGTTTCCACACGGAGCAAAAAAAAACTATCTCTTTTTATGCTGTTTATGGTGACATGCCTGGTAATTTGGGGGTCAATCGCGCTCTGAGAATCGCGATTGGTTGGTCTGTCGCATTTTCTGTGGGATGATCTCACACACTCGCGTGAGACTCATGTTTTTCCACCACATCAGTTCTGTCTTTTTAATCTCTGGCCAAATTTCCCTGGCAACACATGATGAATTTTTGATTGCTCTACTCTCCAAACCTGAGACTAAGGGAATTACTGTGAAGTGACCGAAAAATATGAATTCTAAAATACAAAGCTTTTGCTCACTTTCGTAGATCTCATCACAAAGATTTTTCTTAATTTTCATACCCTTTTCACCGTAGATTTATCGTGTGAAAGGATTCAGGTGACAAATCAAATACTTCATATTGGCGTACGTAAAGTATTTCGACATGTGACCTCGAATCTAAATTCAAGGCAAACGCAAGATGTGCGTGTAGCAAAATTGGCAAAAATGATGGTTATTTTAAAGGAAAAATGTTGCTAAACAGATGAAAGAACTTCACCTTGAAAATGTCCACCAGACATGCCAGTGACGCCCAAAAATCTGTCAATCGCTGAGATCTTTTTAAAGCCACAGTAACGCCGGAGATTTTTTAAATTAAATAATAGCAATTGAACCAATTTCGACTGTGATGTTTTTTTGCCGTTCCTTCCAAGACGCGCGCGTTGCGCAAACAATCCCGCGGGTAGTGCAAAAAAAAGAGTGGCGAGAAAAGATCCATGGGGAGAAATTGTTTGTGGTGACTCTGTGTTGACCAAGATAACCCACTAGAGAGAGAGAGAGAGTCCAACACATTCGCAACGGGATTTCCAATAAAAGGCGGCGGAAGAGGAATTTCTGGGCAGTCAAGAGTCGCGCGAGTGCTAGTGAAAAGTGGAAGAAAAGGTGGAGAAGAACTTTCCCCACCCCCAGTGGATGTGAAGTGAACGAAATTTCGTGTCTGAAGAATTCCAGAAATATCACACACGCATTTCCAGTGAGTCTCTCACGCAATATCCTCGTGACTCCCCCCTGATCCGCAGGAAATTTCACAGATGAACTCTCTGCGATGATCTCTCATGGCCTATCGCAAAAATTGTAGTCCACAAAAATATCACTCATTGTGTCTTTTCACCATCGTTCATCGTGTTTTTCATTGCCTCATTCATTTAGTCAAAAATAAATCAGCTTCTGTCAATTTTCCGCGGAAAATTCCTCAAACTCGCACACACTTTTATTTTGGGTGGTTTCCTGAGTTATTTCATACGAAACACTTTTGCAAAAAAATCCATGCGATTGATGGATTTTCCTCCGTTTGCATTGGAAGCGCACTTGTGATTAAATGGTGAACAAAAGTGAGACAAAGCACAAGACTGAACTTTTATCATTAATTCATTCAATTTAAATATTTATATAGAGAGTGTTTTGTTGAAAAAGAAAGACAAGCACATTAATTATAGACACACTTGCCAAAGGTTTACTGTACCTCGTAAAATTTTGCGCGTGGCTGTAGGCTCAATAAGTTCTGTAATGCTAAATTGCTTATTTCTAAAAATTCGTTGAAAATGAAATTACTAATTGGGATTCAATTTTATGGGTAATTATTAATATGTCATAACAGTCTTGCCAAATTTTGAAAAAAAAAAAAAAAAAATTTATGAAAGTATCTCCAAACTTTTCTTTAAAATCTGTACAACTTATACAATTAGTATTACGAATATACAGATAATGTATCATCTATCATTCCATTAACTGAATGGTGAATGGGACAGACTGTGCACATGATCATCAAAATTGCACTCCGTCAAACCGTTATCATTTGAAATTTCATTGAATTTTCCACTCTAAATTTACATCGCGAGGATATTTTTATACACAAATTATTCTCTTTCTTTCTCTCCCGCTCGAGCACCAATCATCCACAAAAGTTTCAGAATCTCCTCGCGCAATATCACGCGAAGAATGACTTTGTGCAAAAACACATGCGGAAAATGACGATAGTGATGTAAACAAAATAATACACAAAAAGGCGAACAAAGTTCGTCACATACGCTTACTACATACATATACGAGAGTTAAGAAAAAGGTGGGAAAATTTGTACATATCACCGTTTGATGATTGACCCTCACTCTCTGCAATTTAATGATCATCGGTTTGATGAAGAGACGAGTTTTTCCTCGTGATTTGTGCGTAAACAAATCACAGTGTGCACTTTCACAGTCGTTTTGGGTGCATCTGTATCTGAATCTCACTTTCGGTTCACTGAGATAACTAGTTTTCATCACCCATTCAGCAGCCGGCGCGCAGGATGAAGTCAAAGAATACATCGGCAAATCTGGAGGCCAGTTTCGGTGTAAGGCTGCTAACAGCCGGAACTGCTGCCTGCATCGCGGACTTTGCCACCTTTCCGCTGGACACGGCCAAGGTGCGCTTGCAGATCCAGGGCGAGGGCCAGGTGAGGGTACCGCTGGCCACAGCCACGGCCAACGGAGCAACAGCGGTGGTCAATTCCGGCGCGCCGACGCCTCAATATCGCGGCCTCGTCGGCACCGTCAGCACAATTGTACGCCAGGAGGGCTTCAGGTGAGAAATTCCATCTCGTTATCGCCTGACCGTTGCGCGGACGCAAATCTACGCTCTTAAAGCTGTATATTATTGATATTTTGGAATTCGGTCCTATTTTGCGCGTGTTCCGGGCAAAAGTGCTCTAAAAGACAAGACAAAAAATTCAATTGCCAACAAAAAATTGCAAATGTTCCAATTATCACATAATATTCAAAGAATTAGAATTTTTTTAAAGAAATACTTCACGTGAATTTAAAGAGTTTTTGTCTAGATTCTTAAAGAAAAGAAACTCAAGCAAAATGGTTAATATTAATTTGACCAAAAATTTTCTGCATGCTGCACTTTATGTAAATACATCTCACTGGAAATTTCACTCGAAGATCTGCTTACAAAAGCACTTAATTTCTACGTCTTGAGATTGGTAAAGCATTGCTAAAGAAAAACTTACTTCTTCTCGCAGGGCACTCTACAATGGACTCTCTGCTGGCCTGCAGCGACAGATGGCCTTTGCGTCCGTGCGCCTGGGCTGTTATGACACCGTAAAGTTGCTCTATCAGGGTGTGTTGCACGAGAATCCTGAGGGTCTGCAAATCTTCACTCGTGTGCTGGCGGGCCTGACCACGGGCGGCATGGCTGTGATGCTGGCACAGCCCACGGATGTTGTAAAGGTGCGCTTCCAGGCGCAAAATCGTACCACAGCCTCACCAACCGCCGTGCGTTATCACAACACCATGACGGCCTATCGCACAATTGGGCGCGAAGAGGGCGTGCGTGGACTGTGGAAGGGCACGCTGCCCAATGTGGGTCGCAATGCCATTGTGAATGTGGCGGAGATCGTGTGCTATGACATCATCAAGGATTGCCTGCTTAAGTACACATCGTTGGAGGATAACATTCCCTGTCACTTCACTGCCGCCGTAATCGCGGGCTTCGCCACCACCGTGGCTGCTTCGCCAATTGATGTGGTGAAGACGCGCTACATGAACTCAAAGCCCGGACAGTACCGTGGCGCCATTGACTGTGCCATTCAAATGGGCAGAGGTGAGGGCGCGGCGGCATTCTACAAGGGCTTCGTCCCATCATTCGCACGCCTCGTATCTTGGAACATCGTGCTGTGGATCACGTATGAGCAACTCAAGATTCTCATCTTTAAGCCGCCTCAAAAGCACGACTGACGAACTTCTCTTTGTACAACTTTTCCCTTTAGTTCTTTATAAAATAAATTCTCTGATATGTTTTTTTTCTAATTATTCTGGAGCATTTCAGTGTTGATCTTCTGGCGCAGGATGTCGTTGAGCACCGGTGCGGCATCGATAAAGTCCACGAGAGTGGGACAGGGCAATTCGGGTGAGTAGTTGATGCGTATAAAGCAGTCCACATTCTTAATCTTCTCCTTCAATGTATTCAAGACCTGTTGAAGAGAGGGAAAATATGTATAAGCAAAAGCCAAGGTAATCACATAGGCAACATAGACAATGAAAATTTCTAACCGCTATAACCTGGGCTCTATGGTTGCGACAGAAAAGTATAACCCTATTGTCTTAAACTGAACTACCAGAGTTATTAAGAATTCTTATCAAAAAGCTTGATCTTGAAACATTTTTTTTTTAATTTAAAATTTTGAAAATATTGGACATTCCAAATGAGTCCAAATATTTGTTAATTGATTTGAACGTAAATTCCAATTTTTCATGAAAGAAACACAAGAAACTCACTTGCATGATTTCATCCTTTGCCTGAGGGCGCGTCTTGGAGCACTTGTACATCTCGCTCAGCTCACGCGCTGTGAAGCCTGACAATTTGTCCAGCGCCTCCGAAAGGACGCACACTTTGAGTTGTTCCTTTGACCACTGATCGGTCAACAGGATTTTTATGTTCCAGAAGTTCTTCTCCACGGACAGCTTCTCGGTCACTTGATGGAATTTCGCGCGGAAAATAAAGCTTTTGCTGCCTATCTCGATGCCACTCTGTTGAATGGCAGCCTTGAATTGATCGATGGTCACGAGACTGAGGCCTCGAATTTTGAAACTGTAGTCAGTGTCGAGAATTGTTGGTTTTCGGTGCGTTTCTGGCGCAGATTCGAAATCCTCAAACAGTGACGCATCCACAAAGTCACTCAGGGAATCATTTCCAGATGTCGCAGATGGCGGCGGAGGAGCTGACAATTCGCTGAGTTCTTGGGTCGTTGGACGTCCGCCGGCTGTTCTACTGGCCTCCAGTGTCTCCAGCTCAATCGCCATCAGCAGTTCGTCATCCTCGTCAATCATCTGGTCGAGATCTGACCGGGTAGGAGTGGGAACTTCCACGGCGCTTCGCTGTTCACAGCTTGCCATGATAGCTGGTTGATTTTGACTCTTTGTCACCTGTGATTCCTCCACAACGCTTACTTCCAGGTAATTACTCCGCGGATTGAGATTAATTGGCTTCCCCAAGGCCTTCAACAGCATATTCTCATAGGCATTGCTGACGAATAGCGTGTCAACTTCCCCGCCGAGGATCTTCACGTTAGCCGATGTAAGGAGAATTACACCATTAGAGCACTGAATCGGTCCTGAGATGAGAACTTTGCAACCGGGCACAATTTTCGTCGACAGACACGCCACGGGGCGATGCTCTATGGCATCAACTGTCCGTAATCCGTCTGTGAGCTCCAGTTTCAAAAGCCTCTTATTTCTGCCGGACAAACTCGCTTGCATCCGGAACTCATTTTCATTTTCTGGTTCGTCCAACTTCTTATCGTTAAGGCGACGCCACTGTTCATAGACGGATTCAGCTAGTAGAGAAGAGAGAGAGGGAGAGAGTAATCTAGAGAAGATGAGAAGAGAAAACCCATGAGTATAAGAAGTCTGGAAAACTCACAGATATCAATAACAAAGTTGATTTGTAGAGCAAACTTTCCGGTCAGGGAGAAAGGCTTTTTCTCCTGACTCACACGCTCAGGCAGACAAGTAACACTCGCTTCCTCCACATCTGCAAGAAGCCACTGTTCATAAGCTTTCCGGTATGCATTTTCCGCTGAGATTGCGGCATTTTCCTTATGAATCCATTCAAGACATCTACGAGAGAAATTTCACTAGATATCACGCATTTACTCGCAGTGATTCAGCAATTCTTCAACTCACCCTGTGAGCCAATCCACGTCTACTTTGATGTGATTGGAGAGGAAAGAGTTTTTCACCTGATTCACGAGATTAGAGGTCATTTTCCTCTTTCGACTTTCCCCAACAATACGACATAACCTCACTTTTTACTCACTCCGCGCCATGGTGCTGTCATCATCATTAAATTCAAACGGTGCGCTCAGTTGTGCTCAGTGCTCGTCTGGATGTCAGATGCATTGTTTTGAAAATGTTGAGGTTTCTGTGGACTCTGCGGCGAGATCTGCGTCCGTCAGTGCACAGGCTGCGAACCTGTAATCGCTCGCTTTCCAGTGATGACTCGTCCCAGCCGTCGCCGTCGCCGTCGCCACCAAAGAAGCGCTCCTTGCCACCACTTATGGACTTCCCGGAGTTGGTATGGCCGACAGTGTTCAAGTCCATGAAGAACTGGATCATGGTGAACTTCATCATCCGGCCGTACTTCGATCGTGACTTCAGCATGCCAGACTTCGTGCAGGGCGCCAAGCACGCCCTCCACGTCGTGTCCGGCAAACTGTCTGAGGGTGACACGGTCGGACTGTCCGACTGGGTGGCTCAAGAGTGTGTGGGTGAGCTGAACAACTCCCTCCGCGGCATGTCAGTGGCGCAGAGGCACGAGATTCGTGTGATCAAGGAGGACGTGTACTTCTCCTTTCCCTACCAAGTCGGCGTGATCTTCGACGAGGGCAGCAGCGATGCTCAGAAGCGCTGGGTGGAGATCACGATGATCTTTCATGCCCTGCGCGGTCTGCGTGATATGCAGGAACGCGGAGAGTCACCACCGATCAACTTAGGGTGAGTGTGTCAGCCTGCCTCACAATCTCCCCCAACGGTCTGGATAGATATATCCCTTTTTTGCAGAGTAATGCCAGAGTACAGAGGAAGGATCTCCATTTGCAACTATAGATTCATCAAGGAATTCACCAAGGGCAGCGAATCCGACTGGACAGTAAACATTGTAAACCACTTCAAGCCCAGCGACATGCTGGAAGAGTAAAAGACGGGCTGTAAATAAAGCGTAGACTGTTTATATATAATTATGACCAGATTCTGAAGTTTAGTATCCACAGATACGTGTAGTACAGAGACATCTTGAGGTGCATAAAGGTCTGCCTGAGCTTGAGGGCGAATCGCGTCCATTCGGACGTCGTCTGAGCTTGTTGTTGGCGGAAAACCGTCTGGATGCAGCAGCGTGACATTACGGAGAAGGCAGTCTGGCGGTTCTGTGTGCCCAGCGTGGTCTCGATGCTGCGAATAAGATCGTTTGTCTTCAAGATCAGTAACATTTGCCTGTCCACGTGCTCCAACACGTCGGCAATTTGGGGCAACACGTGTGATGTCTCACTCTGAATGGTCTTCTTCTCGCTGGTGGACGCACGTGTGCGATCGATACCCGTGAGGACGGCCTCCCAGGGTCGTCCGGTGACCATACAGGCGAAGACGCCATAGAGATTCCCACGGATACCCAGCTTTGCGCTGTACTCACGCATCGCCGGTCGATCCACGCGTAGGATGCTGAGCCAGAGTTGGGAATAGTCGTAGCGAAACTGGTCTGTGAGTGTGGAGTACAGCCCGTGATCCAGCAGCATGATTTGGGTGTCTCCGCGCGGTGTCTTGGCCACAAGAATGTTACCCGGATGTGGGTCACTGTGCACGAAGCCATTCACGAAGATCATGTTGGCATAGAGACTGCCCAGATGATTGGACACCTCAATAGGATCAATCTTGTGGCGCCGCATGTACTCCAGATCATCCACCTGGCCACCCTCAATGTATTCCATCACCAGCACACGATCCGTGGAGTATTCCCAGTGAATTTTCGGGATCTTCAGCCACTTGTACGACTGACACATGCTGGCGATCTGTTCAGCGTTGCGTCCCTCATTGAGGAAGTCCAGCTCAATTGGTAAATTACGCTTGGACTCCTCTACCAGCCACTGCATGTTGAAGTCCGGAAAGATCCACGCCATCAGGCGACAGCACATCTCCATTGTCTTCATATCCACTATAGAGTTCCCACGCACATATGGATGCTGCACCTTCACCGCCACCACACTGCCGCTGTCCTTCAGCCGGGCACGGTGCACCTGCGCCAGAGACGCTGTGCCCAGAGGCTCCGCCTCGAAGTCGTCAAACACCTCGCGCGGATCGCGCTTCAGATCCTGCCGGATGACTCTGAACAGATCCTCAACACTGTTCTGCGGCGCCTTGCTGTGTAGCACCTTCATTGTCTGCACAAACTCACTGGGCAGCAGGTATTCCAGCGCTCCAATGTGCTGTCCCACCTTGATGTACACACCCCTGTTCGTCCGGATGAGCTCCAACAGTCGCTCCGCCGCGATCTTGTGGCACACACTCTTCTGCTGTGCATACTCTGACGTCGTCTTGTCCCACTCGCGATAGTACAGCTGTCGCTTGTACACCCAGGCGATGTCATAGATGGCCAGACCCGCGTTAGCCAAGCGCACTAGCGCTACGGAGTTCACGTTGTAGTCATTCGCGTGCAGACTGTAGCCACTGCCTAGGAGTGTCGCACCCAACACTCCGTACTTCACCACACGTCCCAGCATCCTGGTCCTCTCTGTTGTTGCACAACAAACACCACATTAGCACAATTACATCACGCAGCAAGAGGGTCCTCTTAAAAGTCTTCAACACTCACCTTTATCGCCGTGCGCCCCAAAAAGAGTGTCAGTCAGTGACAAGGAAGACTTTCCAACTGATTTTCATATTCACGATATGTTCACCAGCTACGCTCTGCGGGCATTGTATTATTTAACCAGTGTGCGCCCAGCAGCAGTTTTTGCCAATGCGCTTTCACTTCTTCCGCGCCTCACGTGTGCATCACATCGCGGATGAGCGCGTATGCGTGTGAAATGTGCGAATGTCAAGGCGACAGTTGCTCACAATTGCTCAACCACCATCGCCAGATGTGAGCCGAAGCGGCTGAAGTGCCTGCCTCTATCTTAAAGCACGAAGAACTGCAATTTAACACTACTGTTGACGCAACATATTTCAGGAGTCTCCATCCGGAAACCTTTTGTGAGCTTGTTCAAGACGCAGAGAATTTCACTATTTTCCTCCATCTCTCTATTCAGAAGACAGTTGGCCAACAGTGAAATAAAGTCCATCTTCTGTAGGTGTTTCCGGATCTTAGGATTGTTCCCAAGTTCCTTCAGAATGCCTAGGAATTGATTCAGACCTGAAATATTGCATTGCGTTGAAACATGTTGCGCATGATTCAGTACCAGTAATGCTTACCATTGGAGTCTTTGCAGCAGAAATCCAGCATCTGGTGTAGCTTAATGAAGAGTTCGGCCGCCGAGGGATCATCCAAGGTGTGCTCATTATTTCCCAGTCCATCCAAGGAATTGCAGAGATTCTGTAAACAAAGAAGTGCTGTATACTCTTGTCGACCCTTCACTTCCCCTTGCATTTCTACTTACTCTCGAGTCTTCGAGCAGAATATCCTCATCAGTATAAGTGTTCTCGTCAATCTTTGCCAAGTGCGCAGCCAGTGATTTGATGGAATCGTGGAAATTCATAGTATTCTGAGAGAAAAGCCGGGAAACCATCAAGAAACGCCAAGAGACACACAGGAAAGCACCATTCAAAATGAATTCGATGCCAACTTCACTGCATTGGAATGTTTCGTGGTACACACACTTGGCGGCGCAGTGTCAGAAAGTGGCGTGATTTGTTATGCGAAAAGCTGGTGCGGCTCCTCGAAAAAGTGGAAAATTCTCAGTTCATTTCCATCTGTGCACATCTGAGAGTGGTTGGTGAGTGAGATCAGACATCCATCCAGCGCTGTAGTAAGAGTCAGTGTGAGTTCTAAGTGTTCGAGGGCGAAAAATTCATCTGAAGTCCAGGGAGAGAATAAGTGCTTGTGAGTGGCCACTTTTCACACCTCATTTTTGCCCCTTTCACCACACCAAGGACACTCCCCGTGGGTCAGCAGAAGCGCCCCACAATTGTGGCCCCATTTGGTCGTCACAAATTTCTCCCATTTTCTCCACGGGGCTCACCTTTTGTGGGCATTTGCATAAGCAGTGGCGCGCGCGTCGCCGGATTGCAGTGCGAAAGAACGAGAGGGCGAGTGAGGGAAAAGTTAATTGATTTCCTCGTGGATTCCTTAATTAATGTGACGTCTTCTGTTCTTGCGTTTTTTTTCACTCCATCACGCTGTCCATCGGCTAAGGGTGAATGTCAGTTTCTATGAGTGGAGCGCGCCCTAAAACTGCTCCACAAGCCTCTGGACTTTCACCTGAACCTTCACCCTGATGCTAATTTGTTTACCCGTTGACACCTGCACTCAATTTCGCGATTTCTAACCTCTCGCTCCCACGCACGCACGCGCCATCGCGCCAGAGCGAGACAGCAGAGAGGCGCGAATGCACTGCGAAAAAGCAGTTCTGTGCACGTGGCAAAGGTGTTCTGGCCTGATTGCCAGGGAATTCGGGGCTGAAGCGTGGTTAGAAGCGCGTCGAGGGCCTCAGATTGTCTTGTATTGCATCAGAAAGTGATTCACTCGATCGGATGATTTTGAGCAGTTTCGCACCTTCCATGCGAAAGTGCATTCGAGAAATTTATTCAAAATATTTTCCGCCAATAGGAACGCTATTGGTGGATTGACCTTGAAAAGGATCAATTCTATTGGATGAGAACATACATTTATTGTGTGTCTCAAGCAGGAGAACGATATTTTTATCTTAATATCTCTAATCTATTATTAATAATTTTTTCTAACAATAGTAAAGCTCCATTACTCCATTTTACATACGTAAATTCTAGTTCTGGGAACACATAAAATTACCGCTGTTAGCTTCATAAATAATTAATTTTTCACGTCATTTTTCCATTTTCGCTAAAGTCTATACAATGTTGTTGGAAGTAATGATGAACTGCTTGACGCCTCATAAAATTTTCGCTCCACAAGTCAAGAGCAACTTTCTACCGGTCTGATAACGATACGTTTTTTTTTTGTTTTAATGCCAAATCACTCTGAAATGGGTCAGAATGGGTGCGTTATCACAATCTCTGGGCTTTCTAGCGCTGCAGAGTGTCTTTGTGGGGCACGTGACAGTCGTGATTTATGGAGTAGTCAAAGTCAATGTCTCAAAACATGAAATTCGTGGTCAGAGCAGCATTGAGAGATTACAGTCTCCCTTCCCTTTAGAACCAATCTATTCCATTCTTTGGACATTCTGCGAACAAATCATCGACACGAACGGAGTTACATAAATATATTTGTGGCCTCTCTTCTCAGGCGATGTTGGATGATTATATGACCTCTAATCGACTGTTTGAGTTGATTACACAGTTTTTGTCCGCGCAAAAAGGCACATTTGTGACGACAGAGCGTCAATGACTCCTCTTCATGTGAATAACTGTCGTCAGAACTGTGATTTTTTCAGCTTTTACAACGAATTCCAATGCCATGGAGTGAAATTTCACCTCGATGATGCATGAATTTATTGATATTTGGCTGGGGAAAGTTTTTTTTTTATCTGCACACCTTCTCGTGGTCGACTTTCTCACTTTTCGGCTGTGGACAGACGACGTGAAGAGGCAGTGGGAAAATGTGGATAAAATGGCGCAAAGATTGCTTTTATTTCAGTGGTTGTTTAGATTAGATAATCGCTGAAATGGGGCAGAAAGAGTGCGTCCAATAATCTCATGTCACGAAGAGAGATTCACGATAGAATGTGACCTCTAATCGTATCGCCTTGAATTTGCCGCGTGAGAGATTCTTTTGCTCAGATTCACTCACAATGTTGAGGGGTTGCTGAGAAGAAGGCGCGCACTGGCGGAGTGTTATGCAAATGCGGGCGCGAAGTGGATAGAAGGAGAGTATCTCAAATGGAGAAAGAAGTGACAAATAAAAGTAGTTGACTTTAGAATTTCCAAGCTAATTGTTATGCTTCTGTGTCGCCTCTTTTTTCTGGCCTGTTTTCGTTGAGAAATGTTTCCGTTTTGCGTAACAATTCATTGTCTACGACCACCATTGACCCCAAAAAGATGCATCTTGGGAAGCTCCTGATATCGCAATTGTTGTTGCTTTGCAGGATAATAGAAAATGTCTGCAAAGGCCATCAGAGAAGCTTCGGGAAAGGAGTTGATCAACAAATACCTGGCGCCAGGCTCACGGGCGGCCAAATGTGATTTCGTGTCTGTGGATGAGACAACAAACTGGGATGATTTGCTGATCAGGAATCCTTGGCTCCAGACGACTGTGAGTATATTTTGTCAGTCGATCGGCATTGCGCAATGCTGAGAAAATCCAGGGTGAAAATATTTTATTCATAAACGAATCTTCTCGAATTCTTTTTCGCAATTGTCCAAGTAATTGTCTTCTAAGCCGCAATGCTTGGACTAATAAAAATTCATTTTACGAGAAATGTGTAAAGGAAAACTACTCGCAACTCCAAATCGGTGAGAATGGGGGAATGAGTGAGCGTTGCTGGGGAAATATATCAACAAAAAAAATGAGGTTCTAGAAATATTTTTTGGGTGAGGAAAATCCGTCATTATTGTTTGTACAATATTTACATAATTCATATTCAATGGAACGTATGTTTTTTTTTACCAGAATTTGTTTGGGTTAAAAATTGACGTTCCAAAATGAATTGGCGATTTTCAAGTAGATTTCTTGCACACGGATTTTCATTTTTTCGACAATGTCCACGAATTGAGAAACTTATAATAATTGTAATGAAACTATTATCATAACTCTTGGTCCAATTATGCGTTTTAATGACTCATTTAAAAAGTCATAGTGTCTGGCAAAAAGATGAAATCTGTACTAGAAAAAAAGTGTGGAAAGGTCATTAGTCAGAGCAAAAAAACTATCCTCTCAAATGTCTAAATTGATTTAAAGAGTTCTAAAAATGACAAATCGGCACTCGGCTGGAAAATTGCATAAGATTCGTGCTTGATAAGAGTGATACAGTGTTGCATAAGGAAGTCCGCATATGTGTAGAAAAAATTCTCCTCAGAGATGACCTTAAGTAATGTCAGAGATCATCATGTCACATTTGCTTTTTCTGATGCCTTTCACAGCCTCTCGTCGCGAAGCCGGATCAGCTGATAAAGAGGCGCGGGAAGCTTGGGCTCATCACGGTGAACAAGAGCTTTGCTCAGGTGAAGGAATGGATCCAGGCGAGGATGGGAGCGGAGCAGAAGATTGGCGCGTGCGTGGGGACGCTTAGGAACTTCATAATTGAACCCTTCCTGCCGCACAAAGACGACCAGGAGGCGTACGTGTGCATCTACTCCCACAGAAGTGCCGACACGATCCTCTTCCATCACCAGGGTGGCGTTGACATTGGCGATGTGGACGCCAAGGCGCTGAAACTGGACATTCCCGTGGGACACAGCGTCTCGGCGGAGGAGATTGAGCGAGTGCTGCTGAAGGAGATGCCAGCTGCCAAGAAGAAGTTCGTGATAAAAATTCATTCTCTCGAAGTGCTTTGGTTTATCACGTTCCTCTCCTTGCAGGTTTGTTGCTACTTTCATCTATAATCTCTATCAACTCTACGTGGATCTCTATTTCACGTACTTGGAAGTCAATCCTCTGGTGGTGACGGATCAGCAGATTCATATTCTGGACTTGGCGGCCAAGCTGGACTCCACAGCGGACTTTATCTGTCGACAGAAGTGGGGAGAGATCGACTATCCGCCACCGTTCGGGAGGGATGCCTATCCAGAAGAGGCATATATTGCTGACTTAGACGCCAAGAGTGGTGCTTCCCTGAAATTGACGATCCTCAATAGGAACGGACGCATTTGGACGATGGTGGCTGGTGGAGGAGCGAGTGTAATCTACTCTGATACCATCTGTGACTTGGGAGGAGCGAGCGAACTGGCAAACTATGGAGAATACAGTGGAGCTCCGTCTGAACAGCAGACATATGAGTATGCAAAGACCATTCTCACGCTCATGACATCCTCGCCGAAGCATCCCGAGGGCAAAGTGCTGATTACTGGCGGTGGAATTGCCAATTTCACCAACGTCGCCGCCACATTCCGGGGCATCATTAGTGCTCTGCGAGAATTCCAACCGAAATTGGTGGAGCACAATGTGTCCATCTTTGTGCGTCGCGCGGGTCCCAACTATCAAGAGGGATTGAGGAAGATGCGCGAGATTGGAAAGAGTCTGGGGATTCCGTTGCACGTGTTTGGACCAGAAACTCACATGACTGCAATTTGTGGCATGGCGCTGAATAAGAAACCCATTCCTCAGGCGTGTAATGTTGACTTTGCCACAGCAAACTTCCTTCTGCCAGGCGGACAGCAGCAGCAGGAAGCGATGAAGCAGACGCATACGGACAAGGATAAGGATACAGGTAAGAAGAGGGTGCCTAACAGACTCACACGATCACTGTTACTCCACACGTGCTAAACATAATCACACAAACATCACAATCTCTCAGTGCTCCAAGGAAGATTTCGCCAGTGATTGGCATTGTGCATGGGAAAGTGAATTGTTCTTGTTTTGCATGATCTCACTTGGAGCACTCGAAGAGCGGATACAGAGAATCACGTACAGGATTTGTGAGGAAATTCATTTCATTATGTGTTTTTCTCTCTCCCTTCATGCACCATGAAAATCATCGCTCGTGTTGCTCACATTTGCCTTTGTGCCCATGTGAATGAATGTCCAGTGACATCAGCATGCTCATCGTCTTTCGCGGCTGATTTAGATAATTTCTCTGCAGGCTCCTTCGCCACATCCACGACGGATGGCGTGCGAGGTGGCAAGATGTTCTCTAAGACAACCAAGGCGATTGTCTGGGGAATGCAAACCAGAGCCGTTCAATCGATGCTCGATTTTGATTTCATCTGCAGGTGAGGATGTTTTTTTCTTACTCCATTTGGCTGATGATTGCTGAAATGTGTCCTTGAATTTTTCAGACGCGAGGAGCCATCAGTTGTGGCCATGGTGTATCCCTTCACGGGTGATCACAAGCAGAAGTTTTACTGGGGCCACAAGGAGATCCTGATTCCCGTGTATAAGAAAATGTCCGATGCCATGACGAAGCACAAGGATGCGGATGTAATGGTGAATTTCGCTTCGCTGCGCAGCGCCTATGAGAGCACGGTGGAAGTGATGGAGTATCCACAGATTCGCACGGTGGCCATCATTGCGGAGGGCATTCCGGAGAATATGACGCGGAAACTCATCGTGATGGCGCATGAGAAGGGAGTGTCCATAATTGGGCCGGCAACAGTGGGTGGCGTGAAGCCGGGATGCTTTAAGATTGGCAACACTGGCGGCATGCTGGATAACATCCTGCACTCCAAGCTCTATCGTCCCGGCAGTGTGGCGTACGTCTCACGATCCGGCGGAATGTCCAATGAATTGAACAACATTGTGTCGAAGGCAACCGATGGTGTGGCTGAGGGAGTGGCCATTGGAGGTGATCGCTATCCTGGAACAACCTTCATGGATCACATTCTGCGCTACCAAGGTGACCCGGACATCAAGATGATCGTGTTGCTGGGCGAAGTGGGTGGCGTGGAGGAGTACGAAGTGTGCCAGGCGCTGAAGGAGAAGCGCATAACGAAGCCTCTGATTGCTTGGTGTATTGGCACGTGCGCAGGCATGTTCAAGAGCGAAGTGCAGTTCGGTCATGCCGGCTCTTGTGCCAATAGCGAACGTGAGACGGCCACGGCGAAGAACAAGGCGCTGAAGGAGGCAGGAGCGTACGTACCGACATCTTTCGATACACTGGGCGATCTCATTGGAAATGTGTACAAGGAGATGGTGAAGAAGGGATACATCGTGCCCGTGGAGGAGGTTCCGCCGCCCACGGTGCCCATGGACTACTCGTGGGCCAGGGAACTTGGCCTTATCCGCAAGCCGGCCTCCTTTATGACGTCTATCTGTGACGAACGAGGCCAGGAGCTCCTCTACGCCGGAATGCCCATCAGTGATGTGCTGAACAAGAATGTGGGCATTGGTGGAGTGATTTCTTTGCTTTGGTTCCAGAAGTGAGTCCTAAAAATGATCATTTCGATTATTCTTCAATTCACATCATGATTCTCGGATGTTTTCAGATGTTTGCCGCCATACGTTTGCAAATTCTTCGAGATGTGCTTGATGGTTACAGCTGACCATGGACCAGCAGTGTCCGGAGCTCATAATACCATCGTGTGCGCTCGAGCTGGAAAGGATCTCGTCTCGTCTCTTGTCAGTGGACTTCTCACAATTGTAAGTGTTATTTAATTAGAATGCTAGAACGTCACTAAAATGATCACCTTTTAGGGTGATCGCTTCGGAGGTGCTCTGGATGGGGCTGCTCGTCAATTCTCCGAGGCTTATGACACAAATCTGCACCCAATGGAGTTTGTCAACACCATGAGGAAGAAGGTGAGTGACAGACAGATTCATGAAATGTGCAATTTTCAAACTGATTTTGTGTCTCTTTAGGGTTTGCTGATCATGGGAATTGGTCACAGGGTGAAATCCATTAACAATCCAGACATTCGTGTGAAGATCATCAAGGAGTTCGTGATGGAGAACTTCCCAGCCAAACCACTGCTTGAGTATGCTCTGGAAGTGGAGAAGATCACCACCAGCAAGAAGCCCAACTTGATTCTCAATGTGGATGGCGTCATTGCCACATCTTTTGTGGACATGCTGAGGAATTGTGGTTCCTTCACGAGGTAAGGACTGTCGATTTGGGTAGTTTTCAAGCCTTTTTCATAACTTTGATCTCGAATTCTTTACAGCGATGAGGCTCAAGAGTACATCAACATTGGCGCCATCAATTCCCTGTTTGTTCTGGGACGCAGTATTGGCTTCATTGGCCACTACATGGACCAGAAGCGTCTGAAGCAGGGACTGTATCGTCATCCATGGGATGATATTTCATATGTGCTGCCAGAACAATTCAATTAAGGCTTGAGGAAAGGATAAATTCAATGTTCATTACTTAGGATAAATAGCAGACACACACACACACACACAAAATGGAAATGCAAGCAGAATAATCTAGCGCTGAGGAAAAAGGAGATTTATTGTACATTTAGAAATGTTGAGCGCACGAACAGTTTTTCCGGGTTTTCCTTTATCTCTTGTAGCGCGTTTTTATATTATGTTTCTTTGTGGACTTGTTTCTCAAACTGTTTCGAGCTAGAGAATCTCTCTAATGGATTATGGGGAGCTGCTAAAATTGTGTTATAGCACTTTTTTTTTATTTTTGTATGAGATTACCGATGATTTTTGCCTTTTTACCTCGATTTTGTGCATTTAGAAAGGGGACTTATGGGATGTTTGTCCTGTATTTTATCGTATTTGAAGAGAAACAACATTTTGACGCTGTTCTTGAGGTTGAATAGAGAGGGAAGGACGCACAAATTCCACATAGACAAAACCTCTGAAATTGATTGAATATGAGAAGAGATATTTTTTGATTGATATATTCACTGTTTTTGGGGTGGGGAAGCAAAAACACACACTTAAGATCTCAGAATGATGAGAAAATAACGAGAAAATGTGCCGAAAAAGAAATATTTTTTCATTGTTTCTTCTCAGAAAAATTTGTTTTCTGCAAAAAAAATTGCACTTGTTGATGTTTAATCGAACAAAGATATAAGAAAAAGAGAGAAGTAAAAACTTTATCAATGTAGATTTTGCACATTCCTAGAATAATATAATAAATTTGCACTGTAGAGAAAAAAAAATGAATTTGAGGGAGAAACAGAATAAAAAAAAAGTCCGTCGAAAGTTTGTTTGGATGGAATGGAGATAAATGGAAGGCTTAACAGAGATGAAAAAGCAAATAAAAAGGAGAATTGTAGATGAAAAATTGCAGATATTTTGCAATACATTTCCTTTATTTCTTTTGCTCAACACATTCAACAGATATTTTGTCAACATCAAAGAATTCTTCAGTGGCAACACAACATGGAAGAGATACGACATTCTTTGTCACATCATCTCTAAACGTTAAATCAACATCAATTTCATGTTTACTGACATCTTTTAAGCCTCTTCAATGGGACTTTTACTCCATAAATAACGAACAACAATAGAGTTTCCCGCCACGATGTCCGGACGGACGGGCGATGAGTTAGAAAAAGTATGGCTGAGGATCGCTCGTACGCCCGGACGGCGTGCGAAAGACAGGAAGCGGGAGGCTCCTAGGGAAGAGGAAGAGTAGAGCATCTCGTATTGTGCGCTTGTTTGTGGCAATTGGCGTAGCTGACCAGGAAATTGTTTGTTTACTATTTCTATTGATTGTGCGGAGAATGTGGTCTCATTTTGCCTGGAAACAAGTGGCTATTCACGGAGACAGACGGAATATTGCAAGAAATAATGACAGCCAAGCTATTTTGCTCTATTTCACGCTAAAATGCTACCAACTGGCAGTGATGCGATCTTTCCCTGGTCAGCCTTGTGCGCTCTCTGGGAGGTGCTCTACTGAGATTGGAGGGAGGCCTTAGAGGCCATAGTCGAAGCTCTCACTCCACTCGCTATAGCGTGAGTCCTGGTTCTTGAGACGCTGCTGGCACTCTTCTAGGTAGCTATCCTGGATCCTGTAGATGCCCGAATTGGCCTGATACATGAGTGTCTCCAGGATGCGCTCGTTCTTGATAGCCTTCGACGGCAGGACAATTTTGATAAGATCCTGTGGTGAGATGCGATGTAGCTTCAAATCCCTGGTCAGCCTGTCCATGATCGTGCGGAATTCCGACCGGCTGTTGCCGCGATTGTTAGCTGCTGCCACGGCTCTGGTTTTCACTTTGTGGCGCGCCCACGCCAGCATCGCCTCGAATTTTCGTATCTCCTGAATCTCCAGTGAGCGCGCCATGATCATCTGCACAATGCTCTCGCTCAAGTTGAGGAACTCCTCCAGCTTAAACAACTGATGCGCCTTCGTCTCGACGAAGGCTAGGATCATGTTCACGAGTTCTGAGGCCGAGGTGTAGCGCCAGTAGTAGCTCTCCAGATTGATCAGCATTGAGCACACGTACTCGATTCGGAGGAACTGCTTGGCGTGGTGGAAACAAGCTTGCAACACTGCGAAATATATTAAAATAAGTCAAGAGAGAACTTCTCTCCATCCTGTAAGTGTAAGGACTTACATTCGGGGAGATCGTAATGCTCGGCGGCACAGATGAGGCCCGGAATGGAGACGCAGGTCAGAGGACAACTGCCAGTGTGCAGATAGTTGAGTAACACCCGGAAAGTCTCCGAGTCGAACTCGATGATATTAAACTCGGTCTGGGCTAGCTTAGCCCGATCCACTTTCTGCACATCGGCACATACAGACAATCCAGGAACCAGGAATTGTGATGGGTTTTTCTCCTTGCCACCGTCCTTCCCATCTGGAAATAATTGAATTTTTTCATAGTAATCTTTGCTTAAAGATATAATAGAAAAGTCAACTCACTGGAGAAGTCTTGGATGGAGGCCCACTTCTTCTTATCATCCGCATTCAGTTGCGAGTTCTGCTTCTTGATGGACTTTCCCCAGCCCGTGATGGTGCCGAGTCGCGAGAAGGCTCTCTTCACCATCGGAGAGGAGGGCACACTCTTGGGACGCGGAGCCTCCATGTCAGGCACCTGCAAGAAGTTGGAGCTCTTCTTCTGGTTCTGCGGTGACACCAGAGCTGGCACAGGACGCGCTAGAATCTCAGCCACGGGAACTTGTGGCGAGCCAAAGCCTGTCTGAATGCCATACAGCATTTCCTGGAACACGCGGCTTCTCACTCCCAAGATCGCACGCACTCCAATCAGTTTCACCTGCAAACTCAGCAAAAGTTAGACTAATTCTACGCGCTTTAAGTCTAGATTTATCTTACCTTTTGCTTGGACTGACCAACAAGAAAAGCCACATCGAAAAGTTGTGGATTCTGCACTTGAGGATCAGCGTTCATGAAGGCGCGCTGGAAATCTTGAGCCAGTTGGTCGTGATCTTCAAACTGATCACGCACGGAGTCCAGAAGAGGCGATGAGGGACGCATGTGTCCTAGAAGAGAGCAGAAACAGGCAAAGATTGCAGACTGTCGGTCTGTTTGTCGCTGATTTCTCTCCACTGCTTTGTTTTCCGTTTTGGACTCTTGTGATGCATTTTCTTCCCTTCAGAAGCTTTAAAATTACTCCCTTATTCTATATTAAAATTTCAGATCAATTCAAAGCAAGTATTATATATAAATACCTTTTGTGCTTTCTTATTTGCAAAAGTAAACCTAAGACTGAAGCGCAGATTTCTCTTAGAATATCACATTCAAACAAGACTAGAGAAGAAAATGTGGATTACAAAATTCTCACCACAATTAAGGTAGCTTCTGCAAAGCCTGCTGTAGCGCATGTAGTGCTCATTGATAGTGATTATAGGCCAGTAGAAAGCGAATGACATGATAAAGAGGAGACAATTGAAGGCCAGAAAAGAGCAGAACGGCACAGAAAAGAAGAAAATGCTCCGAGGGCAGGGGAAACTCAGAGTGCAAAGAAGAAAAGTGCGATGGAGGTGGATAGGGCAAAGCGGAGAGAGTAGTAAATGAACAGTACATACTATGGTGAACATTGAATTGCACACAGCAAGTTACTTTGCATAATTCCTCACCGATCGGTCTCCACGAGCCGCGACGGTAGGGTTTGGGTATTTGGCCAGTTTCTGCGTGATTGGCGAGATTAGCCACGATATCCTCCAGCATTTGAGAGCGCGTCCGCTCCTGCATTCGCGCAAACTTCGGTGCTGAGTATGACGCTCGTTCGCCATTCACGATCTTGGTAAGGATCCATTCCCTAAGCAAGAGAGAAGAGTGTGTGTGTGTCCAGAAATTACGATTTCGAGAACAAAATCAATCTCACCTAAACATTTGATCCCGCACGAACACAGATTGCTCCCAAAGGTAGGGCTTGTAGGCTCCAACTTCATCCCTGGTCACAACGGACACTTCGTACCTGGTTGGTTTGCGTTTAATCCTCGCGGAAACGCGCACCTGAGATCGTATTTCATCAATAAAAATCGAAAAGACTTATTGTCCCTGACGGAAACTTACTAGAATGAATGTGTGCAAGAAATGGGATTTGATGCAGGCTGGAGAGAAGAGAGTATTGTCTGCTTCCAGGAACACCACGCAGACGATATCGTTGCCAATATGCCTCTTGCGTTGCAATTTTTGCACGTCATGCCTCTCGTAGGGAAGCATAGTCGAAACGTGGAACATAATCTCGATTCCTCGCCAATTGGTGTGAACAGAATAGAGTCCTGTTGAGTTAGACCAGTTAGACACTGTTCAGAAAATACTCAAGACAGGAGAAAACTAAAGAATCTCACCCGTAAGATCGTGCACGGTGTCTAGACCACCTTTGTATTTGTCGAAACCTTTGAGTCGCACCTTGTCACCAAGCAGTTGCAGGAATTCCTCAAACAAGGGTGAGTTGTCATTGTTCTCCAGGATTTCCTCTTCCGTATATTGATTCTCCTTGATGTAAATCACACCGACCTTCAGTTCCGACTTGATGAAGACTTGATCTAGCTTTAGAAGTTCCTCCGGAGTATCTTGCAGTTGACCCAAAGTCAGTGGTGGATTTAGATTCACTTCTTTTCCCAATGATCTCACAACTTCCTCGCGATTGTACCTATAAAGGAAACGCCACATATTAACCACAGTTAATACTGAGAATCATAAAAGCAACCAACCTGTCTGCAAATACACAGGAAGCTGGAATTAGTCCATGAACTGTATACGAAATAGCTCTGACCAGAATCCTGAACTGATCTCTCCCGTTCAGCGTCTCCTGCTTTATGGATAAAATCACAGGTCCCAGATCCTCGTCATTGGTGAAATAGTTCCAGTGCTCTGTGCCATAGAAGTGTTTCTCATAGGTCTCCTGTTCCACAGAAGTCAGCTCGAATCCCTGTTGCTGCTCCCATTGCTCCTCGATCGTCGTCTTCTTCTTCGTCGCTGTGTCTGAGTCCTCGTCATCTTCACACAGATCTGTACATCTGTCCCTTGTCTCCGACTCATTATCATTGTCAGATCCACTATCATTCCATCCCTGTCCTGTGGAAATCTTCTGCCTGGAGCACTCGATCCAGTATCCAGGCGTAGGGATGAGATTGTGTGGGAACTCCTCACAGAATTCATCCGAGCAGGCCTGAGGTGGCAAAGGGAAGATGAGTGTGGTGGAACTCTTGCGTCTGGCCACAGCACAGCCCAGAGACTGTGGCTTGAAACTTCTGAGCTGCTGCATGAAGTCCGAACACTCCATCAGAGCCACGTCTGCAAAGTGTAGATCACACAAGATATGATTTTTGAAGCGGCGAGCGCGTTTCTGGTTGGGTCCGGTGAGATTCACGCCACAGGAATTGCATCTCAGACACTCCTCATGATAGTGGTTGTTCTCATACTGTGGTGAGGGATCCGTTTGTGTGCTGCTGTCGAAGACGGTACTGGTTGTCTCCACAGTCATTGTGCCAATGGTTCCGTCGATGATCTGCACGCTGGAGTCTCTTCTGCCCCTGTAGCGACAAACATCGTCACTCTGAGAGCTTTGGCGCCTGAAGTTCCGGCAGCGGATCATCTCATCTGTGGTGCTCTGGCGTCGGAAGCCTCTGGCAATCAGGATCTCCTCCGTGGTGGATTGGCGGCGGATGGATGGCCGAACGCTGGGCTCAGACGCCACCACATAGGTGGGTGGACAGGCGCTGGGACTGGGATCGCGACTGGAGCAGCAACTGCTGGAGTCTGGAGAGCGAGACATGCGTGCTGTGGAGGAGGATTGGCGGCGGATCTTTTCGCGGCAGCGCCGATGTATTTCGCTGTCGTGTTCGCGGCTGCGGTCGGGTGAGAGGTGGGAGCGTGAATCACGACGGCCGCGAGCGGCTGTGACGGAATCGGGACTGAGGCTATCACGACGAGCGCGACGCTCCTCGCCGTCCGTTGTGAGCGTGGGCTGTGAATCCCGTCGGCTGCTGCCCGGTGGCTCATCATATGTGGTAGCTTGACGCTGCAGGCGCTGCATCTTCGGCACCATGTCCGGACTGGACTTGGATTCGCGACGATTCACACGGCCTGACTGTGTCTGTGACTGGGAATCGCGACGAACCTGGGTGAAAGATGTGTGGCCGTTGGTTTTGAAAAAAGAAGACAGATATTTTATTCACACGGGAAGGACGGAAGATATTGCATTGGCACTAATATCTTATGTTGGTGGAGTTCCAAAAGGATAGAGTTACATGCGTTTTTGGGCCTTGAAGTCAATACAACTTCATTTGCAGCCGCCATTCCTAAACTAAGAAAGATTGGAGGGAAGAAAAGGAAGTAATATGTACAAACTAGAAGACATGGTAGCTTCTGCTACAAAACTACGGACCTCCGCGCACTGAGGATAGGATTATCTGGCTATCCCTGGCGCGAGAGGCCTTCAAGCTACCTACAACTCTCGGGGCGTAGGGCTCACCTTGAGTGACTTGAGAGTTGTGGGGCTGGTGGCGGGCGGCGTGATCGAGCTCGTGACTGAGACGACTGGCGGCGGCAGAGCCTGGCACGAGCTGTCCACGAGCGTGGCGGAATCAGGCTCCGTCGCCGTGCAGGTGCTCACCTCGAAGCCCACGCCGGACTCCCTCTTGCGCCGCATGCTGGCCAGTGACTTGGACGCGGCCTGCACGTGTCGGAAGCTGCGCACGCTGTCGCCGGAGCCGCGCCGTGAGTCTCGAACCTCCGTCACATCGCGCTCACGCTCCGCCTGGCTTTCGCGCTTATTCCATAGTCTCACCAAGTCGGATGTGTGACTGTACTGTCGGGAATCTTGCCTGCAATTTGAGATAATGCGAGCGCTTAATTTCCCAAGACCCCTCATCAATTATTCTAGAATCGATTCTCCACACGCACGGGCGCCATATGCTGACTCCCCACCCACCGGCGCCCCATTCATACACTCGCCAGTGGGGCGACCAACAAGTGGCGCGTAATTGTGATATCGACTCGTCACTTTTCCCACTTTTCCTACGCACTTTCCCACCCGAGAAGCCACTCTGTGCCTCTGCGCGGAGGCTCGGGGCGGAAGTTGGACGCCTTCAGAAGATGGTACAATTGACCTTTGTTCCCGTTCTCGAGTGTGAGCGATTTTAGAATCCCTCAGAAAAATTTGAATTTACATCCGCATCATGATTTCCATAAGAGCACGACACACCAAATGCAGGAAAAGACTTTAAAATATGGATTGCCTCTTCTGCCCTGACAACGGAAGCTTCCATATGTGAACACGTGAAGGTGCCACTCAGCCTCCATCACTCAATGTCGATTGTTTGGCACTCACCTTGAGCGACTGCTTCTACCCCCACCGCCGACCTCGGCGCTGCTCTCGCGTCTCTTGTAACCACCTGATGAGGACTGCACGCCCTGGATGTCGATGCTGCTAGTTCGGTTCCAGGGGAAGCTCCTGGCCAGGTCCGCGAGTGTCTCCCGTCGATTGAGGGTGTTCTTCACGTTCTTCTTGCAGCTCGTGCCACTCCACTCCCTCAGGATGTCCGTCAGTTGGGCGATGGAGGAGCGACGACGGCGCGGAACACCTACGCACAGCCAACAATGAGAGGAAATGCTGAGGGTGGGCGGAAAATGTGGGTGGTCGAGTGCTCTCTTTCTCGCCCAAGGATGCCAACGGAAATCCTTTTGAATGGTGCTCGATGCGCTCCGAGTTAAGCTAAATGCGACAGTGAGTCGACGTGGCGGCGTGAGTGTATCCCTTTTTTCAGGACGCGGGAACTTCTCAATGGGCTTATTTACGCGTGATTACCCGTTGTAAAAGAAATCGATATTGTTTACAAATGACTATTCATAGAATTGAATTAAGCTCTCACTGATAAATCAAAGTGATTTTCCACCAAATTAACCCTTCACTTCATTGAACAGCAAATTCCAAGACAAATTTATTACACATCGCAAGAATTTTCCTCAAGAATCTTTAAACGTTTATATGTATATGATTGTGTTTATTTGACTCTGGCGACACGTGAAATCCTACATATTGATAAATAAGAACGCAGGATAAAATAATTATAGAATACACACAATTTATCTCATGTAACGATAAAATTATAGATATTATATATATATATGAATATATACGTATATATATTCAATATATATGATTATTTACTCAAACTCAAAATTCCATTAAGCAGCTATTCGTATTTGCTTAAGCGATACAGTCATCATTATATAAACAAACTTTAGACACTTTCGCCAACTTTCCCCTGAGAATTTATTAAAAACCCTCTGATTTTGTCATATGGGCACCCGAGAAAGTTACATGTGTTCTCTTTTAACTTTTGCAAACTCCCCCGGACATGTGGCAAATTGAATGCCTCCCCCTAAATGTAGCGAACGGATTAATTTGAAATGGTTGAGGATGAAAGGCTAAAAATAAGAGGCTCAAGCGGAAGCGGGAAGGCCGTTTGGGGTTTCTGGGTCGGAAATATCACAGGATATGGTTGGCATCCTTGCGTACGTCCTCAATGGGCGGGGAGTGGCGCTGGAATGGGGCTCTAAACTCACTGGCAATCGGTGGGGTGTTTGGCGATGAGATCTGAGCCGCCGAGTCTCGCCTCCCGCCCAGTCTCTGGCGCACCGTGGACTCCTCTAGCTGCGACGAGTGGGTGGCAGACAAGCAATTTAAGCGTTAATATGCTTCAGATTTCCCTGGCAGGGGGTTAATTGAAAAAATGCGGAGAAGGGGATAGGAATGTTCGTGCAATTTTAAATTTCACTGTAAAAGCTATTTAAATATTCTCTGAGTGTTTTAAAGTTACGTGAATAGAAATGAATTCCCTTTGAAATAATTTTCTCAAATAAATACCTATTGGAAGTAATACAGAGAAAGGACATGTTCTATAATTAGAGAATTTTGGTGAAGAAATCACTAGAGAGAGAGAGAGGACTTTGCTTTTCATAGAAACTCCACCCAAAATCCACTTGTTCAACATGTTGATTGGCTCTTGTAATCCTTGTAATCATATTTCAATTCTTAACATGCCAAAACCATGTCGCTCTCTCAACTCCCCCTCCCCATGTGGTTGGGGGTGGAATTCAGGGGCGCTCACCTGCTCTCGCATGAAGTCATCCCAACCGTTGCCTCCCTGCCACACCAGGCCCACCTGGTGGCTCATGATGGGCAGGTTGCACACGAAGCATATCGCCGACATCTTCCGCCTCGGCTCCAGCCTGGGATTCTCGTGAAAAAGCTGCGAAACCCTGAAATCACCCACTCGGACTCTACAGTCCCAAAATTAGCGCACTCACACTCCAGCACTCGGGTTGGGACTCTTGGGCGGCGGGCGCACTTTTCCACCGATCGACTGCGGCAGTGGCGATGCACTGACCGCGGAGGATGCAACGGAGTCCTCTGCAGGACCTTTTTTCCACCAAGTCACACGCGAATGTAACAGGTGGCCATTAAAGCGGAGACGAGTTATGTGAGACTGAGATCTCGTGCCCATTGAGACCAGACTCTCGCTCAGCATCCCCACCAGCATCCTGCAGAGCGAGACAGCGCCAGCAGGCGACGAGGGTGGGAGAAGGACAGACAATAGCCAGCAGACGACGGAGACGTCCTGGCGCCTGTGCGACCGCGGAGGAGCGGCAGCTTCTGTATTTTATGTTATATAAATAGAAATGAGCTCCCAATCAAAACAGGATTAGAGGCCGGGATCGATACTCCCCCGCCGAGGCCTCGTGGCAGCAACAGGAGCTGCATGGACGCAATTTTGGCTCGTGTCTATTTATGGCATCATTTTTGGGGTAACCTCCCGGGCCCCCTGTGGCCTCTTGATTAACTCACCTGGGGGCAGGCACATCGCCCAGAAAATCCAGCAAACGCTGAAAAGTCCACCCTCCGACTGTGATTGAATTATGAGCGGAAGCTATGTAATGTATTGAAATAAATGAAGCCCTAATATAGCAGTAATTAAATTAATTCATCAGCCCTTTCATAGTAGCGTGGTTTCAGTAAATTAATTGCGTCGGAATGATTGTAATTTTTCAACTCTACTTATCAGAAATATGCTGGAAATGCGTTTCAGAGGTCGGTTCAGTGTTAGAGGTTTTTAGGGCTTTTATGATTCCCTTCCATTCTAATAAAATCGATTAATAAAGTAATAAGCGGCAATAAAACTGTTGAGTCAGGAAAGAACCCATCATTTATTCCGGAACAATAAATAATATTGGGAAACAATTTTCCTTCACCTAAGCTTTTATAAATTCATCTCAAAGGGCTGATATTAGTTAGAAAAATTTTTCAACCTCAGTGATTGCAAGAATTTTATTTTCGTGTCAAAATCAAAATCCGTACTAATCTTACTCATACAAAAATTGTGACGTAGAGCTTGTGAAATTTCCAGATTGAATCAAATAATAGTGCAAAACGTGCAAAACAACCCTCTACATTATTCTTTTTCTACTTTAGTAATCTTCTTATATTCTTATGAGAATTTGTCGTTACTTCCAATCAGTTTCAATCTTCCCCTCCCTTTCCAGTTGGAAGCGTGCGCTGAACAGCGGCCAATTGGAAAGTTCCATCTGGCAACTCGCTCTCGCCATTGGGAATTGTCAGTGCGATCGAAGTGCTCGGCATGTGTGCAGTTTAATTGATTTTCCCACTGTCTCTGCGGCAATGCGGGTGGAAAAGTGAGAGAAAAGGAGTGCCGAGTGTCCAAACAGTGTGAGTGGCAGCCAAGAGGCGTCCGTCGGCGAGGGAATCCGCCCCAGGCGCCCCGGGAGGCGACGGAAAATTTTCGAAGGGCCATTGTTTTGCGTTACGGTCAGTTTATTTATTTACATGTAGATGTAGAATATCTGCGTAACTGAGCCACGACGTAGATTATATTATGTGTGCTGAAGGCGAAGGATGTGAATATTCGAGAAATTATCGATTGAGTATTGCGTCTGAGGAGGCGAGACGGTTTCTCAGCGAGTCCTGGGCGGAGTCTGGGCGATCCTTGAGGTGGAAAACCGCCCACGCGAGAGCGGGTCTCTGGGAGCAATTTCCAGTTTGTTGTGTGAGGCTGGACAGACGGCAAAATGTGCGAGTGATCAGCATAAATTAGCTGACAATTACATAATAATTAAGCGGAGAAAAGAATAAGACAAGCAAGACAAAGTGGACAGTCGAGTTGCAGTTGATTTTGTGGAAAATAGAACACGAGTCGTGCGAGCGCACATCTCATGCAAAAGCAAACTATCTCGAGAGTTTACTGATTCGTTGTATTGATTTATATTCTAATGTGGAGAGAAAATGAACGGCCAATGGTCATACTAATGCTGATAATAATTGTTCTCTAATTACATTTCTCGGCTTCTCGCACTTCAATCACAATTGCACTGATGTTTTACCTCTGATCTTACTGGAGTTTTACATTTAAGAGGCGGATTTGCCTCACGAGACTCTGTGTGCAGAAAAATAACAAGAGAGACATGCAATTTTCTTGTTTATTTGTATTCTTTGAAGTGTCCGCGTGTGTGCGGAAAGGTGTTATATTGTGTGTGAGGGGGAGAAAAAAATGTGCCACTCAAAGGGAAATCTACGGCTTGGTCGGTTTTCTAAAATTAGGTGTAAAACATCAGTAGGGAAAATTGTCGCACACACGCGGAAAAATCGGTGCGGAGTGGAATGAGTTCAAGGAAATGCAAAATGAGACAATAGGGTAATTTCTTGAGCGCTTTTTGCACAAAGAAAACTCTCCAGAGGAACGGAACAAAGGACAGGAAGTGCGAATTGTCTCAGCGCCTTAGAACTTGTCTCTCTTTCTTGAATTCAGCACAATGTTTTGGGAGGAGAACAACATGTGGTGTGGACTTGAATAATGTCTTGTTCACAAATTCTCACTGGTATTATACTTAACATCCTGATCAATTAAAATCTCGATGGTATTTCTGGATTTATTTGGCCAATTAAACTCGCACCAAACCGTCGGAATGGATTGAATTTTCTCGTTGAGTCAATTGAGGCAAAAGCTGCGATGGGGAAACAATTAATTAAATTTAATTGCTTCGAGAAAATCACCTAAACATTCGCCCATTTCCGCATGAACACGAGCTGTATTGGTCATTTTCGCTCTGTCGCAAATGGCAGTCCATTCATAAATCCGCCGATGGAGTAAATAAGCACATAAATCCGATCGCGGCGTGCACGCGTCAATGGCGGGACGCGAGGGGGCGGATCTTATCGGGGGAGTCAATATCTCACTCTGGCCACATGTGGAGCCGCGCTGCTGACTGAGTGATGAACTGTCGAGCCCGGAAATTCCCAATCTCAATCGCCAAAATCATTTTTCACCACCTCTCTTTGGCGCATTCTCTCCGTTGAGCGGCAACAGAAGGTTTTCTGCTACACTTTTTTCGTCCATTGGACAAAATTGATGCGAATGATGTTGCTGATTGTCCATTTTGCAGATTAACTGTTTAATCAGATTACCACTGCTGACTCGTAATACAAAGTGAAGAAGTCCAGATGCTGATAAACCTTTTTCTTCTCTATTCCACTCAACATTTTTCATGTTTATATTCCCAAAGTCGTATCTAATTTCGAACAAACATCGCTTTGTCGTCCAAGTTCTGCGACTTTGTTCTTTAGAAGGCCAAAAAAGAAGTGTGAAGTTTTTAGAGACAATTCTCTCGTGTTAAACATTTCGTGCTTTGTAATGAAAAAGAACTGAAAATCATGATTTTAAGAGATGAGAGAATGATTTCATATAGTCACAAGTGATGTTGTGACCCTATTAACCTAAAATGGATCATTTCACAATATTCTATGGCTTCGGAACGTGTATAAAAAGACGCCTAATTCTTGGGAAGAAGGCTTCTTCTCATGCCATATCACTTCCTATAGATATTAATCAGCATTATGACTTTCAAATCCCCTTTTGGAATATTAATATCATGTCATTAGCATAATTAAATATGCCTCAGAGCATTTCCCCGGCAACCTATTGTCCCGGGGAAAATGCTTGGGAGGCACGGAAGAGTCTGAAAGCGCTAGTCAATCGATCGGAATCAGTGGTGTTTTGACATTGAAAGTGTGTCTTGCAGCTGTGCGCGCTACATTCCTTCAAGTTGACTGTTTACACTGGGATTTTCTAATCATATTTCTTGTTTACAGATCATTTTTTGGCTGACTCTGGGGTGATTTTGGTCATCTGGAGCGATAGGAAATTGTGGTGACAGGATTATGCGGTGAAGAGTGAGTGTTAGTGGCGCCAAGATGATGAGATATTCAGAGATTCCGCATGATTTCTCGTCCGATAGTCTTCACTTTGCCGAGGTATGTCAACTGTTTATTGCTCAAGTAGGAATTTTTGGTGGGAAAAGTTAATATGCATCATCGTTAAATGCTAATAAAAGTCACATAAATCAAAACAAGAGGATTTTCAAAATGAAATTGATGAGATTATTTGTTTAAATTTTGCGGTGAAGTGCGAGTCTTTGAAAAATATATCATTTCTCTCTTGATGATTTTTGTGTGGATTATTTTTTTTAAGAATTTCACACAGCGAGGCAAGGAAAATAAATTGGGAGTTTCTCAATAATTCGCTCGCTTTTTTTGCGCTCATGTCCACTTGCCTGGATGATTTTACGCAACTAACAATTGCGGCCCAGAATGAAAGTGAGGGGAAAACTTAATGAAATGAAAATTGATTGAAATTCCAAACCATCTCAGTGTGAGCAAATGGGCAAAATATGGTGCAATTGGCCACAATTTGGGGTCATGATTCACACAATATATACACACAATTTTGTGGTGATGTGTTAATAAAATGGCTCAGAAGAAAATTCCATCAAAATGCCAGAAAAGTGCGACAAGGTTGTGGGTGGCTATTTTTAAACGCTCTCATGCCTCACATGCTCGCCCATTGCAGCTGACTGAGGAGCAGATGTACAGGGGCACGCGCGATGAGTCGCCCCCCAGCGATCTGTCATCCCACAGCGGCCCAGCGCTGCCACTGATCGGCGGATCGGCGGAGAAGAATCACTTCCACTCCAGGCATCATCACCACACGCTCTCGCGCGATCCCAGGGCCAAGAAGCTCTCACTTGGCAGCGGGAATGGCATTCTGAGCACTTCCGGAGGGCACGATTACGGCTACATCAATCACGGGTGAGTGCAGAGTTAGACCACTGGGAATTTGCGCTGATTGAAGTGACTTTTGCAGACTCGTCAGCTCGAAGAAGTCCAACAGTTTGCCCACAAATTCAACAATGCAGGATTTGGAGTCGCAAACCGTGAGCGCTCTTCGGCTGTCACCTGATGATTTAGCCAGTCAAATCACACTGCTGGACTTCCCTGTCTTTGCTGCCATTCAGCCGGATGAGCTCACGAGTTGTGCGTGGACGAAGAAGAACAAGACCACGGTGACGCCCAATATTGTGGCCTTTACCAAGCGCTTCAATCACACGAGCTTCTGGACGGTGCAGGAGATTCTCAATGGGGCCACGCCGAAGGTGAGGGCGGAACTGCTGGGCCACTTCATTCGCGTGGCGAAGAAACTGCTGGAGCTCAACAATCTGCATTCCCTGTTCGCCGTTGTGTCTGCACTGCAGAGTGCCAGCATCTACCGCTTGGCCAAGACGTGGGCGTGCCTGAGTCGGAAGGAGAAGCAGACGTTCGACCGGCTGGCGGATATCTTCAACGACCGCAACAATTGGGCCAACTTGAGAGAGTACTCGGAGAGTCTGCGAGTGCCCTGCATCCCCTACATTGGCCTCTTCCTCACCGATCTCATCTACATCGACCTCGCATTTCCCCATCACGGCGGCGGCCTCGAGCCAGAGCAGCGGAAAACACAGATGAACAACATCCTGAGAGTGATCGCCAGCTACCAGGGCAGCGACTACGGTCACATTCAGCCCCTGATAAACGTCCAGAAGTACCTGCAGAGTGTGCGATTCCTCGAGGAGCTCCAGAACATCTTCGAGGAGGATCAGTACAAGTGAGTTGCACAGAAATTGCATTCTATTTATAACGTATTAATTGCCACAATATTTATGCACTTTGCCAAGTCAATTAGTTTATCAATTATTCAATCAAATAACAACGCCTTCACTTGACTAGGTTCAATTTAGAGAGCAAGACAGAATGCAGCTGATAATTGTTGGGTAATTGATGAATACTAACTTCGCATTTGCTTGCAGGAAATCCTTGAAGCTGGAGCCCTCTTCCTCTGTTCCCAGTTCATCGTCAGCCACGGCGGCCAAGGACGGTTCTGGTGTGGATTCTGTTGCCATTGCATCGCTCAATCTCTCGCCGGCAAAGTCAGTTTCTGCCACGAGATCCTCCAGTGCCGCCTCGTCGGCATCCAAATTTGTTCCCGGTCACCGAAAGAGCCGCAGTCTTGGGACAAAGTGAGTGAATCTACATTTGGTGTGTTCTGGGGGGAAATTCACTGTTTTTTGCTCCTCGAATATTTTTTTCTTTTGCTTCTCACCTGCAATTTTTCTTCACCGGAAAAAACTTCCCACCAAAATCTCACATCCATCTCATTATTTTCTCCACTGTTGTTTTTCTCGTGTCTCTTTCATTTCATTCTTAATCATTTTTCTCTGTGTGAATTTCCTCTGAGATGGACAATGAGAAAAAACACACACACACAGACAAAACAATGTGAAAAATGTTTGTAGATGTCGTAGCACGAGTTTGCCGCGCAATTTTCATCAGCAAATATGTGCTTGTCCAGCATTTTCTGTGACCAGAACTCTGCCAAGCAATCGATGCAAGTGTCGGTGAGTGTCTTTGACGTCCTTTTCACTGTTTTGATGGAGCATCTTTGTTCATTATCATCCACATTCTATTTCAATATTGATTTTCTCTCCTCGGCATTTTCACAACATTCATTCTCAGTGTGCCGGTGAACAGTCACTTTTGCAGAATTTTAATTTATTGTTTAGAAATATGGTGTTATTTGTGGAAAATACTCAACAATGTTGTTGTTCCTTCTTGGTTGGGGTTTATTTTCTTTAATTGCATTCGTTTGTGCTTGTGCGGCAGATGCCAAAAGGAATAAATAACAGAAGCCATTGGCAGTGGAAATATGTAATAAAGTGCGCGGATATTTCGAGAGGCGGAAGATTTGTGATGGATTTGGGCGGTGGTTGCAGTAAAATGGCCATTTCTCTTCGTCTAACTGAAGATTTATGAGATGATTTTGGCATTAGATAATCGATTTTGATGATTTCAGCGAGAATTTTACACGAATCAGCATCTTTACGGGTTTTTTTACTATTACATGATTATGACTCTATGTTGTCGTCTTCTTTCTGTTGTATATTCGTGTGATGATTAGAAAAAGAAGTGTATGTTTGGCATGGTGAAGAGATTAGATGAGGCTCTCTTCTGATGTTTCTCTTCTTTCCCGCAGCATCTTCAGCAAGACGTGTCAGGTGGGAGTGGCACCCATGACAATATCCTGCTCAGAGTCTCTGGACACTTCGGCTCAGTCCCACCAGTCGCGGCATTTGCTGGACGATTCTGTGTTGGAGGATCGTACACTTCCGGACGCAATCTCGACAGGAAGTTCAGACGGAGTTTTCGGTGGTTTAGAGTTGGACGGTGATGCTGGACAGGAGTCGCTGGAGTTTCAGGGATGCGTTCGGCGGAAAACAGTGCTGAAAGATGGACGGAAGCCCGCCGTAGCGTCTTGGCAGCGCTATTGGCTGCAGATCTGGGCCAACTCGCTGGTTTACTTCCCACCAAAGTCCTTCAAAGGGTGAGTGCGCGTGGTGAGGCTGTTCGCCGCTTTAGCTAATTGTCTGCATTGCTTTCCAGCAATGAGAGGGGCGACTTCAAGCGAGAGCCCTGCAAAGTGTGTCCTCTGGATGGCTGGCGGGCTGAGCAAGTGGATAACATCCAGCAAGCGAATACATTTCAACTCGTGAATGTGAGCACGAGTACAATTTACAAATTTCGCACGAGTTCCCCGAAACTCACGACGATGTGGCTGGAGTCTCTGGAGAGGATTGCCCAGCAGAGTGCTGAGAAGCAGCTTCCCGTGAATCTCATGTCGTTCGAGTGAAGAAGGGATTTATTTTGTATATGAATCTCTCTGTGAATGAGGAGAGTCTCTCTAAATGGCTACTACTGGAAGACTGATGAATTTTATCTCGGATAATTTTTCCACAGAAGGTGAATAACTGAAATCACTAGCATATCCATGACTTTATTTAAATGGAAAACAAACCACTATCATACTCCCAATTGCGAGTTTTTTCTTTTATGTACATTTCTGGGTTGATTTATTGTTACAATCACGTAGAAATAAAATACCATTATGATATATAAAATTGAAAAGAAACTGCATTTTCATTGAGGGCATTTATTGTAACGAGTCTTTTTGGCATTAACGAGGGTTCTTAAGGTAAGTGAAGTCGACTTTCGTGACTAGTGACGATGAGGAGTCCATCCAGGAGGAGGTTTGGGCAGCGGGATGTATTCCTTGACCTCTGCCGGACTCCAGACTCGCTTCCAGATGGCCACATAGACTTTCCTGGGTTGCCATGTCTTCACCCAGCGCGCATTCCAGACGATCTTCTTGCGCCAGAAACCTTCCCGCCACGGCTCCCGTGCGTGCACATGGACGACTCTGCAGAGACGCGGTCAGGGGTTAAACGGACTGTTTGCGGTGCGTGAATAATTGATGAGTGGCGTGGAAAGTAAAAGTGAGTTCATGCACGCGGCTGGAATACAAATTCACTTTCCCGCGAGTGCACTCGGATGCACTGACTGGAGGAAAGGCAGGCGCTCACCAATAAATCAAGACACGCGTCAATTGAATTAGTCTCGAGGAAATTCCCTCGATGTTTGTTTTACCTGACGCGATCATGCCAGGTGAGATCGCTAATTGTTGGGATTGATCGTTTTGCAGGTAATTTTTCAGTGCTTTCTTCAGGCAATGCGTTTCATTAAACAGATGTTATGAAAACTCATGGCAATGTTATATGAAATCTCGTGATTTTTGTTGGATTTGTATTAAAAAGGAGTTAAATGTTTGAAAATATGAACTTTTCATACTTTGAGATTGCTGCTGTGGAAAGTCCAATGATAGCTAGAAGGCACCAGAGAAATACGATCTGAAAGTAATTCCACTGTTAAGATGTTGTATTCTCGGCCAAAAGGTCACAATTCATTCACCTGAATCCTCATCTTATGCACTATTGAGTTTGATGTGCCACTGAATTCACTGTCAAAGCCACACTGATGATCGGTATCATGCCAAAAAGGCCTTTTATAGTGCCTCTGGAGAAAGACTTGGCCAGAATCTCCTCTTTGTCCATTCACAAACAGTGTAAAGAGAGCACTTGACGCGTGTCTGGACTCTCAACAGATCCTCCACTTCCGATCGGAGGGCAATTTGAGTAGTCAGAGCATGTTTTGCCGTGTTTTGCACTTTCCTGCCCCTTCTTGGGCGGCCTCACGTGCGCTCTTCCGAATATCAAGTGCAGTTTTGGCGGTTTCGTAACGCGCACGCTTCCATGCGTAAGATCACGCATAATGACTCGAGCTTTTTGGTGGAGTGCTTCCGACATGAATGATTGATGAGATTGCTGACAGATTTTCCTAAGAGTCGAATGAAGAAAAACAACATAGAATTTCTCTCTCGAGTGTTTGTCATTTTGTATAAATTCTTTTATTGGTAGAAAGAAACAACAAAACTTGGACGTAACAACATGCTTCCTCGGGCATCGCGCCCGGGATTCAATTTCTCCTAGAGCAGAAGGGACAGCTGGTCAGTGCTGCTGATACAAATAATTAAAAGGTACAATACGTTTTCTTCCTTAAGTTACAGCTGATCTGTTAACACACGCAAGTATATAATACTTAAACAAAATAATATAAAGAGAACCTAGCAAGGATCGCCGTCTCTACAACAAATATTTACATTGCAACGGGCTGAGGGACTGCTGGGATCAGGCCGCGGGCGACTGCGTGGCGGCCTGGACTGGACTGAGGATGGGATTGAGTGGCACTGGAGTAGCCTGAGGCTGCTGATCGTGTCTCTTCCACACGACCTTCGATTCCTGATCCTTCCGGTCCCACCCGTGCGCTTGCTCGTGGTGTTCCTGATGCTGATCATGGTGATCATGGTGCTCCTGGTGGTGGTGGTGATCGTGGTGATCTGGCGAGGGGAACCACTCTGAGATCCACACTGGCTTCCAGATCTTCTTCCACGCTGGCACCCAGATCTCCTTCCAAGCCGGCACCCAGATCTGCTTCCACGCCTCCTTCCACTCCAGCTTCTTGTCCGGCACCCAGATTTGCTTCTTAGATGGCTTCCATACTTGCTTCCAGTCCTCCTTCCATTCCAGCTTCTTGCTCGGCACCCAGATTTGCTTCTTCGACGGTTTCCAGATTTGCTTCCATGCCTCCTTCCACACTAGCTTCTTGTCCTCCACCCAGATCTGCTTCTTCTCTGTTCGCCACGTCTGCTTCCAGTCCTCCTTCCACACCAGCTTCTTGCTCGGCACCCAGATTTGCTTCTTGGCCGGCTTCCAGATCTTCTTCCACAGTGGCTTCCAGACGAGCTTCTTCTTCCACAGGTCGTGACTAGTGTACTCCCACCCCTCGTGATCCTTGCCCAGGTATTTCTCACCCGGAATTCCCACTTTCACCCACTCTGGCACCCAGATTTGCTTCCATGCCGGCACCTGGATCTCCTTCCACGCCGGCACTTGAATCTCCTTCCACACTGGCACCCAGATCTTCTTCCAGTCGGGCACTTGGATCTCCTTCCACGCGGGGACCTTTATGGGCTGCCACACTGGTTTCCAGATTTGCTTCCAGGCCGGCACTTGGATTTCCTTCCAAGCCGGTACCTACAATTACACGAGAACGTTGGTAAAATAGGACTTATTAGGCTCGGATAGTGGTCCTCTCACCTGGATTTCCTTCCACACAGGCTTCCACACTTGCTTCCACGCGGGCACTTGGATCTCCTTCCAGGCAGGACGCTGCGTGGGTACCCAAATAGGCTTCCAGATCTTCTTCCACGCCGGCTTCCAGATTTGCTTCTTGGCGGGCTTCCAGATCTTCTTCCAACCCTCCTTCCAGGTCAGCTTCTTTTTCCAGTACCCGGGATCGTGCTCCTCGTGATAGTGATGATGGTGGTCATCGTGGCCGCTCGGAGCAAAGCCCACTCTCTGTTGGACCACCTGCGATGAACTCACTTGCGATTCCTCGGCCGTCTGGTCCAGGACCGCCTTGGTGGACACCAAGGAGAAGTGGAGCGCAACTCCGAGGACTATCTGTAAAGGGTTGAGATTTGAATTGTAATCGCCTGGCGGTAGGCAGAACGCTGGTTGCATGGGCGATCGCACGCGATATTGATCGTCACATAGAGAAGGTATTTTCTGCAGCGATTAAATATGCAAGACCCTCCCTTTGTTTTCTTCTCTCCAAATCAATCACGTTCGACTGCACGTCCAAATTGGCACTAATGTGGGCTTCGGAATAAATTTGTACGTACGAGCAACGAGTGACTTCACAATCTCATAATCGAACCTCATGATCGTCTAATGATCTTCTTTTCGCGCCTCGCGCGAGTCGATGAACGCGCACAGGCATGAAATGAAAAGTCACTCAATGAGAGTGTTTATTTTGTATAAAACCCTCGTCCGCTGCCGTGCAATTAATCTCCTCACCTCCTCACCAAACCCATTACAAAAGCCATTATTTTATTGTTGCACTCATTGTGGAGTGCATTCAAATCCACGCTTAATTACTGCATCACAGAGTTACTCTTGATCTTCTTTTTTGCCACAGCATTTTCTATGCACTCCCATTTTGCAGGCTCTGTGAAAGAGTTTAGTGACAAACGTCTCTCGTGATTCCTCCCGATTTGACAGATGAGAAAGCAAGAGTGGTTCGCGAGGATCGCGAAAGTGAAACGCAAGAAACAAGAGACAAAAAGCTAATTGATGCGAAAGGAAATCAGTGACCCGCTGGCCTAGTACTAGACGCTCAAACATTGGCCAGAATGAAAGTTATCGTGATGGAGAAGCAATTTGCGACTCATTTGTCACCTGATCATTGGATTTGTCTACGGCAAGATTGATGATCTTCGGTTGATCTGCCTAGGTGCTAAGTGGAACTGACACTTTTCTCCCCTGAGCGTTTTCTAACTCGGCAAAGCAAACAATGGATGTAACTCACCGATCACGAAGATCCATGATCTTCGGTGCAAAGACCGTGCTTTGACTAATTTCAATTCACGTGTGCGTAGGGGAGGGACGAGCTGCTATTGCACAGGAAACATTGGCTCTTTAGCGCGAATTTGATGGCGTTAATAACACAGTTATTACGCAATACCTTCTGGCAAGAGTGAATCCAATTCAAAAGGCCTAACGTCAAGACAGTCACTCCCCTATGACCACAAACAAACCTCCGATTGCTATTTTATAAATGCAGCGAAGAAATTTGCAATTATTGTAGTAATAATGCTATGGCATGTAAAATGAGAAACACACGATGAGTAGAGGAAATATTTGTCTTTCCGCGAAAAGGCAGAGTATTTTCAACCATTCAATGTTACGCAAATTGATTTAAAGGAGAAAGTAATACAATATGAATGATTGCAATTAGATTGTAAATGGTATTTTATTAAAAACACCGTCCAAAGTGATCTTTCTTGCCACCTCAGTGGCTTCGGTAGCCAATTATGCAGATAGTTGTTAAACATGAAATACATTTTATATTTCCAATTGAAGCGATATTTTTATCTGTAACTTTTGCATAACACGATCACAAGTTGGCAAAAAAGGCATTTTTCCCTGCACTCGTGATCGAGGTGATCTCTCGAGTCAACCCAAAGAGAGAGATTCATGAACTTTCTCACGCAATTCGCATTCAATGCATTCTTTCACTTTGACTGAAATTACCTCACAATTTATTGCCTTCTTGCCATGCTCGGGTGTTATCATGTGCGATTGGGGCTTTTCGTGCAGGTGATTTGTGTATCTGAAGTGATCAGTAATGGCCCAGCCCCATCAGAGAGTGAAAAGCGGAAGGGAGGCCGCGACCGCACAGAAATTTCCTTTTGATGAAACTCGCCATTAACTGGCGAAAATACCTCAAGAAGGCATTAATGCGGCGCGATAATGAGCTCTGGAGAGTGATCGTGTCAATAAATCAGCGATCTTGACAATGAAATATGGCTCTCTTTGCCTCCAGGGTCCATTCAAATCGCCCAACAGCCAAAGCGAATCGATCGTGAGTGATAGAAAGAAGCAATTTGTAAACCTCCCAAACAATCGACTTTTATCAACACTTCTGAATTTCCCCGATTTTTGCGGCCCACGATCGCGTTATGCAATGTTGACGATCGCGAGGAGAGAGAGAGAGAGATCAATTTGCACAGTGTGACGCCGCTGCGAAGAAATTGAGGGGAAATTCGCGCGATCTCAGGTCGATTCACAGATCTTCACGTGCAGTGGCGACGCGAGAAGCTCGATCCCTGCATTCATTGTATGCTAATCACTTGAAAGATCGCGATTAGAAAGACATAGAGAGGCTCAATTAAAAGCGAGAGTGAAAAGTGTCGCGATCATTTAGGATGTTTTCGCCGCGATGTGTGGGTTTTGCAGAGAAACTCCATAACCGCAAAATTGGATGATGTCAGGAGAGTCATAAAGTGAGATTGAGAGGGAGTTGTAGTCATGTCTTTTTGGTATTATTGACTTTGTGGTTTCGGCAGCATCTCGGTTAACTCGCAGAGTTTCTTATTTGCCTCGCGAGTCACGAGATTAAATAGGAGAAAAATAGTGAACTTATGACCTAGAGACAGCGTCAACAAGGGAGTTTATAATGATATTTCTTCAAAATGCATCTAACTTTTACGCTTTTCCACCCCAACGGGAATCAGAACGAGACGCGGAAGAGTTGCCAAAGGTTTCTTCAAGCTTTCTTGGCCAATCTGAATTCCTTAGCGCCCCATATCGTGCTCACCATCGAAAATTTCTCTCGTTTCATTGCTTCCAGACCGCGAGGCGCGCGTAATCCAGAAATGGTTGAGTAAGAAATAAAGAAAGTGCAGTGACGAGATAAGAATTTTATGCATTTCGCCGCAGATAATCGGACTAATTGGCGCTGCACTGGATGCGAATGGGATTCAGAGTGGAAGAGAAAAAACACCTTCACTTTCTCAGGAAGATGCGCGATCTTCCGTCCAAGTTTTCCAATTTCGTTAATTGTGTGAATTATGGGTGTCACGTTTGGTGGCGGGAAAAAAGTCACTCACACGCGGACGGTCAGACTTTTTGCTGCTGATCGCGTCTTGATTCTTCGAAAGCTCATGGCGCGCGGAGGTGAGAAAAAATCCCATGATTTGCCAACTGCTCTGAATCACTTTTCGGTGAGAAAGTGGCGCCCAAGTCCGCGTTTTCTCTTTTTTCACCTCATCATCAGCGCGCAATTTTCTCACCGTCTCCCCAAGGCTTTTCCATCACGGTCACGAGACAATTTCCCAAAATTGTCTCCCCGCGGCCGAAAAAAACTTTCACGCACTGTCTCTGATCTCTCGCGAGAGGCGGGCAAGTGAAGGAAAATGGAGAAAATTGAGTAATCCACTAACCACAAGACTCCAACGGGACCTCATGACGCCCGCACCAGGATCAACTCTCTGTCACTGAACTCTGATTCCTCAGCGAGGCGAACAACTCACACTATCTGACGTCCAGGTGCCCTCGGCGTCCGCCTTTATAGCCTGCCCGCGACTCCGTGGCATTGGCCATGGCGGTGGCAAGGTGATGGGGGCCCCAGCCACCACCACCGGCATCTTCTCCTCCTCTTGGCGGGAAAGGCCCCACGCCGCGCCGCCGATGAAATGTGAAAACGATACCTGCTACACTTCCCTCTCGCGGCTCTGCACGCGCCTCTTTCGTCACTCTCGCGACTCGGCATCAGCTTCTTGAGCAGTTTTGGCGCCAATCCGTTGGCCTGACAAGAGCACTTTGGAATATTGTATTTTCGGCGAACAATTGCAACTATTTCACGAATGTCTCAAATACTAATCCTTGATATTCACAACAATTGGAAGGGTTTTGGGCATTTAGGGAAAAGATGTCTTGCTGTCAAAATTTTCAATTAAGGATTCAGAGAGAAAATCAGCAGCAAAATCAGAAGGCATCTCATTGAAATGTATTTTGAAATAAAACAAAGTACTTAATTGTTATGTAAAAACTTTGCTAGAAACTCTGCATAACATCTGTATTTCCTCTATACTAATTATTTTTGTTACACTATAGCTTTATGGTTAGTTAAAATCCAAATGAAGTTGTCCATCACTGACTTCTGCACAATTATTCTTTGGCCATGCATTGATAAGTCCGGAAAATGCAGAAACATTCGTAACATCAGTATTGCATAAAACCCATAAAATTTCTAAGCTACTACTGCGTTAATTCTTTCTCAACTGACTCTATTATTCAAATTTTTTCCTCTTTCCAGACTATAATGACACTATTAAGCTAATGTGTCTTCCCATTACTTTATGGACAATTTAGGGCAATTTAACTCTTTAAATCCTCCCAGAAGAATTGTCACAACTTTCATCAGCAATGAAGAATCTCTGTCGACTTTTACTCACGAACGCAGAAACATTCGTATTCATGTGAATTTTCGCATTCTTCGCCACGCAACGTCTCACTGGATTCCCGCAACGCTTGCGTGGATGTTGATGTGTTGTTATTTGCCGACCCGGCGCCTCCACGGCGTCGAGGGTGTTTCGATGGAGAGGGATTTGTTGTTGTTCCTCGAACGGTCGATGGACTCGCGTGCGAGCCCAAACGGCTGTTATGTGAAATTAGCAATAAATAATAAAAGTAAATTGCGCAGCCTCATAGCTTAAAATGGCCTTTTGAAATCGAAAGTCAATCGCGCAGTTCTGCGACAAGACACTCTAAAAGGCTGCGCGCGGTAGTGAAAACCGTTCCGGCGAGGAAGTGAAGAGAAAGACGAACCCGTTTTTGGACCAGCAAGGGTACACTTCCTTCTCCGGTCGCCAGAAGAAATGAAAGCTCAACGAAATTTCATTTTCTATGGAATGCCTCGGCAGTCACGACCAGGTTGAAAATCTCGTTTGATTGCAGCACTCTTGAGGTGCATCTCCGCAATGGGCTCCATTGCCAATGCTGATTTATGCGCTTGGCAATCTCACCTTGCAAACGAGCGCCACGGAGACACTCTCCTGGTGCTTCCAGCTCAACGGAAGGTCTCGCATTTGAGCATCTTTGCCACTTTCCTCGTTACGACACACAATCGTGGCTGCAGAATTGCGCCAGGGCTTCATGACGATTGTCATTGCTGGCTGAATCACGAAAATTTCCGTCACTTTCATTCGCACTGAGTCCACTGCTTCCGCAAATGTACTAGCTTTGCAGCGCCGGTGTCACGATGCCGCGATAGAGTCTTCTTCTTCTTGTCTTGACTCATGAGTGAGATAATATCGCATAGGTAACAATATGGTAACTTCCGAGGAAATTTCTAAATTAAATGCTACTCCTCCTGAAGCGCTACGCTTATATTCTATCCATACAGCCCATTATACACGGCCAGAGTCTGCATTCAAAATGAATCATAAAAGTTGTTTACAAACAAAAAGAGCGCTCATGTGCATATTTTCACCTTTCGCCTTTGAATGTCTGCTCCAATTTTTTTCCTCTATTTATCACTAGTTTATCTCCCAGTGAATCTCTTGAATGAAAATGAAATATGTTGGAATTTATGGGCCCTTCGTGTGGTTCCTTTCCCACTTGTGATTGTATGTACATTCGTGGCGCACTTTTATTGTCTTTCTTCGAAAGTGACGGAAGATCTCTGGGTAAAATGCAGCACATTACCAGCCCACAAAGGTTCAGCATCACGTTGGGTCGTAAAAAGCCGGGCTTTAGAGAGATCCAAATAAAAGCACTTCTCTTGACGACTTCGGAATTTGATTCTCCTTTTGTTGCCTTTGGAAAAGACAGCGCAGATCAGCGGCAAAATCCATTGACTCTCGCAAGGTGAAATGGTCAATAAAGAGCTCCACAACAATGCAAAAGAAATTCTCCGCACTTGATTAATTTTCCCCCCTTTTTCGCGCCCAATACCACAGCTCCAGGCGATGCTCCGCAACGTGGTTGCATAACGAAACACTCTTTGCGGGCTTTTGCGATGGTGGAGAAGAGAAAAGGAGTTTTCTTTTCTGGCACATTGACGTGCACCTCATTAATATTAAATTGATTGAAAAAACATATAATGCAAACCGCGTTCTTCGTGTTACCAGAGTGCTTCACCACCTTAATTGTCGACAATTACGGTCCGGAGGATTTTTGCAGATTAGCGCAGCAATTTTCGCAGAAAAATATCAGAGGCAAATAGCCGACAATTGATGTGAGAATGAAGACCAAGTTCAATGAGTCACCGAGAGAATGATCCAGAGTGTTTAATATGTTCCAAAAGAGCAGCTTAAATTGTATCAATTGCCTATTCAATGGCTTGCAAGACATGTTGTCGATAAGAAATCTAATTTCCATTTACAAGAAAACACCAATGTTTCCCCATAATTTATACAGCGTGAGCTTCCAATGTGCGACCAATTCTTGGTGTGAAACTAATCTCTTGGCCGATTAACTCGCGCGATGGAGTTGTAATTCTATTTGCCATGCGCGCCAGCATAAATCAGCCCTGAGCCAAGATCGTAAATATGAGTTAAGTTGAGTTAGAAAATGCCAAACGACAGACATAAATCCAGGTGGGAAGTGAAATGCTCTCAACATGGCTTCGAGTAGTTTTGCAGAGGTCTCGAGGAATGCGGAGAAGAGATGCCTTGGCAAGGAAAAGGCTGCGTCTGGTGTGAATTCCTCAACAATTAATTGTAACTCAGTGGATGTTTAATTAACTGGCAAAGAATTCCCTCTGGTATTTCGTTATGTGGCGCTGTGGTGGACAAAAAGCAGCCCAACTTTCACTGGATATCCACTTCAATATCTCCCCCAGAGTCCAATTTATCCATTATATTTGCTATTTTGTAATAATTTAATATGCTGTGAAAATAAACATACGCGAAGGTCTTGTAAAATGTGTTAAAGCTCGAGCTGATTGAAAGGCGGACTGAGAGATTAATGGACTTTTAGAGGGCGAAAGTGGAGAGAATTGGCAAAGAAAATGGTTCAATATCACGGTAATCTTTGCAATTGTCCTTCACGAGAGTTCATGCGTGTGTGCAAGTCAAGTTCCTCTGGTGAAAAGATGCGCTAATTGTGGGAATTCTTCATCACTTTCGCTCATCCGCCAAAAATGTCACCCAAAATAGCCCTCTGAAGAGCTTATCTTAAAAGCAATGTTTATTACTTTGCGAATTGCAGAATCAACAAGCAAGTGGCACCGAATGGAAAATGTTTTGACATTAAACATCCTCAGTAAAGAGACTCTTCTTCACATGATGGACTCAAGTACAATTTAATTGATTGTTTTTCGCACTGTACAAAATATTTTTATTCAAAATACTCCATCAAGAGAATGTTGTTTTGGCGGCTTTAGCCTTGCTTCTTGCGACTGAAAATTAGCGTGCAAGAAAGTAAAAGTGGTTGAGTATCTTTCTCCTTTCGGTGTCACCGAGAGTGAAACTGACTCACATTTCGTCCATTGCGTCGAAGACAATTTATATTTCCTCACCTACGCTTTAGGGAGGATTTTCGAATGTGCCAAAAACGCGATGTTTACCGACCTGAAGATGTGCGGTGTTATGGAGCTGAATTCCCCAAAATTACTCACTTATTATCACACGTTATGTTGTTCGCGTCCGAAATTTTCCTCCGGAGGCGTGTTATTGAGAAGACACGATTTTACAACACTATTGCTTTCGTTTTCTGGTCAAGCATAGGAGGAAAAAACAGGAAAAATTCCAAAACTTGCAGATTCTTATAAAAACAGCCGAAAAGGCGGTGAAATTATGAAAGAATTCTTACAAAATCGACAATTGCGCAATATTGAGCACTTTCTTTTGCTTCTTTTTCACGGATTTCCATCGAAAATCGTGCAGTGGACAAAATCACTGACTCATGAAAACACACTGACTTTTTTCGCGGCTCTCTCAAAAACCCATTGAGACGCTCGAGCGTGCGACTGAGTGTAATTCATCATCATTATCTCATATTGGTGAAGAGTTTGTTGATTTGAGTAGCAGGTGATTTGACCATTAATCAGAGCTGAGTCCATCCTGGAGACTCTTGAAAGGAGTTCATCTCACTCGGCTTGTTTATATGTCCAGATCTCTCGCTGATCCAATCAACATCAGCCTGGGAAGTTAATGATGCTGAATGTGGTGGCAAGAAGTGGTTTCTCTCGACGGAATTAATTAGGAAGTATTATTTATAGACTCTTAATTTAAATGATAAAATCAATGGTGTGGCGAGGAAAAGGCTGCAATTTTTTTTCGGAAACTGTGTATACTTTCGACTTTCCTATTCAGTAGAGTGTGGAAGGAAAACAGAGACAATTTTCCAAAAATTCCCAGGGCATTTAAATTTTAAAAGCCACATAGCGTTTTTTCACTTCAGCAATTTCCTCCAAAAACCCTAATATTGTTCATGTGAGCATCATAAAAATCAGCCATGC